ACATCTTCCACGCCACCAGGTCCCTCCTCAATGTCTTCATCCGTAATATCGTCCAGTCTGCTTTGCGCAACTAGCGGGTCTGAAAGGTCCATAGGCAACGGTGTATGTGGGGCGTTTATACCGTTGACCATACCGTTAACCATACCGTTAACCATACCGCCATTCGCGAACTCCCCAGTATGACTAGATGTGAATGCGGGTTTAGGCGGCACTCCAATCCCCAACTCTCTCACAGCCCTCTTCATACTCTCCAGCCTTGCCCGCTCAACAACACACATCCTTCTTGCCAAATCGCGCAACGCCACCCGTCCCGTCTCCACCCTATTCTCCTGCCAACTCGCCAACTCCTGTGCTACAACCTGTTGTGTATACCGCAATTCCCTGCCCAAATCCTCCAGTTCGATTTTACTCTTGTCCATTTTATCTTGGGCGTCACGCTGCACGCGACTACGCGCGTCGTCGAGAAGACCAAGGGGCCAGCGGTCTGAGCGGCGGACTGACAGGTTGTGCCGGTCTATCGCTTTCTGTGTGGTGGACATGGAGGTTATGAGTGTTGAGGGGCGGGAGAGGGCGGTCAGGATGGCGGTTGTTGTGCTGGATATTGCATGCATAGAGTAGTAGAAACCGGACATGGGGCTTGCATCACTCTGCTTCAGCGTTTGTGTATACCGATCTAGCGCTTTGAGATGTTTGGCCGGGAGGAAAGTAAGGGAGTGGAGAGCTGTGTTTGCGATTTTAGCGGCGTCGTTGAGGTCCGAGGATGCGGAGCGGACTTTGTTTGCGCGCCGTAGGACGGAGCGTGAGGCGTGATGCAGGGCGCGGACGTTTTCTCGCATGTGTTGGACGAAAAGTTCGACTTCGCGGACGTCGTAGATGGGGGCGTACTCTTCGCGGAGGCGCTCGACGCGTAGTTCGGCTTTGCGGGCTGAGCGCTCCGCGAGCATCGAGGAGTCGATGTCGGGGACGAGGAAGAATTCCCACACCATTTCGTGGGTGGAGAATGTGGGGTGGCGGAGGAGTATTTTGAGGAAGGCGTCGAGTCGGAGCTGCATGTCGCGTAAGATCGACCGCGATGGTCTTGAGGGTATCAGATAAGGCGATGCTAGATTCTGAATAGCGGGTAGCCATGAAGCAGGATGTTCCTGTGCAAGCCATTTTGCAAGGTTCTCGAAATCCTGTGATGACCTCCGACATGTCGTGACGGTGATAGTCTTGTTATCGTTTGGCGCTCCAGACTTCAGCACAAGGCGTACTGTTCCGTCCTCGACGAAGAAAGACCGAACAACAGTAGTCGTACGGCCGTCCGGACCAGCTTCGTTCGACAAGAGCACCAGGTCATCGATACGGTTCCGAACGTCGTCGTCCTTAGCGAGCTCTACAGCAGTGAGACCACGAGCGTCCCTGTAAGAAAGGTCTACTCTTGGATCTTGGAAGAGCACCCGTACCATATCTGTTCGACCGTATTTACTAGCGACCATGAGTGGTGTAAACTGTCGATCGTTGGTCGCGTTGGCGTCCGAATCACAGCGATACAGCAGCTTTGCGGCTAGCTGAGGGTCAGTGATGATGTGAAGCAGACTATTGCCCTTGTTGTCAACGTGCTCATCAAGATGTAGTGGTTGTCCATCATCCTGATCTTGCGTTGCAGCAAGTAGTGCCTTGTCGACCATGTCGTGGTACTCATCGTGATCGTACGATCTACATAAAGCGAACACTGGCGTCTGACCGTTCTTATCCTTCAGCCGCCAAGGAAGAAGATGTCCAATGCGGTCGATGAGTCGAGGCTGATTGAAGAGATAATGTGCTACGCATCTACCCTTCGCGTCTGGTTTTGAGAGATATTCTTGCAGTGCCTGGGGGCTCGGACTGTTGTCCAGAATGTAGTTGAGGATCGTGTCCGTCGTTCTGGCGTGGCCTAATTGGATTGCTGCACTCAACAGATTGGTGCCTTCATTGTTGTAGTCCTCGAAGACAAGGGAAGGGGTATAATACTCGGTGAGACTGAGTAGATATTGCAGGGCCTTGTCCTGCCTATTCTCAATCGCCATCATAAGTACTGACTCGCCATCGGGTCCTTGTGTCATGGTGAGCTTCTCTATCGAAACATCGCCCTCGATGGCGCTGACGCGGGAGTCAAGGGTTGTGCGCGAATGGTATGATCGTGCCGAGCCACTTGACATGCTCCTAGTGTCCGTAATAGAGACCTTCTTCTTCATCTTCGGTCTACCAGGTAGTGGTGGCGTTTGAGCGCGCTGGAAGGGGAAAATATGCGCCAAAGGGCCATCTTCATGCGCACTATTTCCGCGAGATGGGCTTCGCGGTCGCATCGAGAATTCGTCGTCACCGTTCAAGGTCGTGCCGGCTACAGAGTGTAAATCAGATAAACTTGCAGCAAATCTGACTGGGCGGTATCTCGGTGGGGTTTGGCTTCCATCTGAGAAGCTGTCGACATCTGCGTTGAAGGATCTATCGGGTTCCAGTATACCTTGCATTGTCGCAAGATCACCAGATTTCGTGGCCTGCCACAACGCCCTATTTCGCCGACTCGCTCTTCGCAGGCCGCCCGAATCTGTAGTGAGGTATGAGAGGACAGCCTCAAACGTGCTGAGTGCGTAGCCCATCTCTCCACTCTCGACATCATCGATGAAGATGAAGTGCCGCATGTAGGAAAGTCGCGCCTGCAGATGTCGTACTGGCGCCCTTATCACTACTATGAGCAGCAATGAAACAAGGGTATCCGCGTTGATGGTGAGGAGATGATCCTGCTTCTCCGACATTTGCTCTCCGTTTGTCATAGTCCTCGCCTGCGATTCATCCGGCATTGTGATGTGCTTCTGCACTCCCAAAAGTATCTCCAGCATCTCTTGTGGACTGCCTGCTACACCCATCTTCTTGAACATATCGACAGCCTTCGAAAGCCGGATGGCTAGCTCTTGCTTGCCCTTGCGACCATGGCCAATGTCGATTCCAACTTGCGATATATCGATGTCCACCATTTGCCGCGTGCGGCGCTCGAGATCCTTGTCTTCTAGAAGCCGTATCTCTTGTATCCGTGGGAAGAGGATTGTATGGTGTACCTGCTCGGCGATATATCGCTCAATCATGCGCTCGACGATTGGGCCGGTCAAGTCGGTTGTCGCACCCAGTAATGACAGTTGCTGTTTGTCTACCATCTGGAATAGGTCAATAGCCGCTGTAACTGCCGTCTCTAACGATCTCCGCATCTGGTCCTCCTCGTCGCTGATTTCCAGATTCGACACAAAGCCGTTCGGGCCGTGGGACATGCTGCTATGCAAGGACAAAGGCGTTGTCTCTGCTGAGGATACGGATCCTCTTCTCCGTGAACTCATCGATGAGCGCCGCGATCTCTGTGATGGTGTCGCCGGCAAGGGCTTTTCTAGCTCCTTGCCAAACTCCTTGAACAGTCTCTCCAAACCCGGTTGCATCTGCCGAGCGATCATAGGGAAATGATTCAACAGGTCGCTGAACGACTTGACCTCCTTCTTCCGCGGCATCGACGAGCTGGCGGCTCCAGGTGGGCCCGCTGCGCCTGACGGTCCTGCAACTGGTCCCACATCTTGTCGCGGTTCTAGTGTCGCCGGTATTATGGGGTTCGCATCGAAGGTGCCTATGAGGGGACGCGAGATAAAGTATACGAGCCAAGGCTGCGCATCGAAGGAGTCGGGGTAGAAAATGGTATCGCTCAAGAGCTGCGCTTGGTTGAGTGTCTTGAAGCCTGTGTCCTGATTAGCATCCAGAAAACAATCCTTACTGCGACCCATATCTACGCACCTTTGTTGCTGTAGATGAAGGCATCCTTGACTATCACCGTCCGACCATTTGCGGTTGTGAACTGCTTCGCCTTCCCCCGCGTCTCCCTGAAACTACCAGAGTCCTTGACATGATTGTTCGGCCCCACTCCGCCCGGTACGCGCAGCACATGGCTTGCGAGGAAGTCTTCGGAGCCGCTGAGGTCGATGTACGAGGTATTTGATTCCTTGTCGCGCGATGTAAGGAGGACTTCGGTGGTCGGGACGAGGAGGACCTATGTTGAAAGTGTCAGTATCTGCGCTTCCCCTGTATTCGCGGGTCTCGTACGTGGTGCTGGGCTGGCTGGCACTGGCTGGGGAGTGCACTACGGAAGAAGGCCCGTAAGAAGGGATTCAGCACGGGAGGCATTCAATCGACATTAACGATGCTCTGGGGGTATTTCGGCATGCGCGGAGCATGTGACTTGGCGAATTAGGCGCGCGATTAAGTATAGGCTTCAGGAGGGCTGTGGTCGTGAATAGGAGCCTGGTGCGATGATTCGGAATGCGATGGATGGCGACGGCGTTGGCGCAGCGGCGGTGGTGTTTACGGTGGTTGCGCAAGGAGCGGAAGTGATGCGAGCGGCGAGGCTAGCACACAAACAGGCGGTCGATAGCAGAAGGTTCGCAAACAATTGGGATGATGGCTGATACCAGCGTCGCCAGATCCATTGGCTTGTGATGGTGATTACTGCTAGCTGCTCACGGCTAGCGCTCGACGCGACTCTTTCGTCATCGCTCCCGCCCTTCCCCAGCTTTGTCTCACCACGCCACGTTGGCACCAAACCTTAAGGAAACACTGTTGAACGCGTTGGAGACTCCGAAACGCGCTTTCGTCGCATCTCCAGCTATGCGAATGTTTTCCCTTCTATCTGAGAGCGCGTCATCGCCGCCCTTGCGCCACAGCTGTGGCTGAAATGTGGCCATACACGGTACGCCCACTGTGGACAGGATAAAGCGACCGAAGGCGATCATTTATAAGCACTACTATACGACAGGCATTGCCTGGGTAGATCCTCGTGTGTCATCTCTCATCTTCCATCCCATGGGAGGGCGGTTTCACGAACCTGTCACGTAACGCTTGCACAACGACAAGCAACTGAGTGCGTATCATCGCGTTTTCAAGGTGAGCGATAAAGTCTTGTATATCGAACAAGATTGATCTATAGAAAGAAGAAAGAACACACCCATCTACTTGGTAGACTTCCTACAAAGCTTTGTCCCATAATCCAACACACTCCAGTTCTCCGTACCAGGCGTCGTCTCCGTAAAGAAAACACCCTCAGGATCCCACTTCTGGCGTATCTTCAACAATCTAGCGTAATTACTTCCCCAATAGGCTTCTTGCCAGTTGGGTTCGTTGAGGTCGCCTTCGTTGACATAGCTAGCACCGTTAGGCGAAACGTCCCTCAGCCTCTTACCAAGGACATTGGTGTTGAAGTTTTCGCGCTCCTTCTTGACCTCCCACGGCTCATTACCCTGCATGATTACATTCGTAATAACGAAACTACTAGCGTTGCGCCACTTAGGATGAATCGCATTGTCGACTTTAGGATACGCACGACCGGGGTTGACGATGTGACCAACGTTGAAACCGAGTTGAGTGGGCTCAGGCATCGCGGCGTAGATGAGTGCATCTGCGATTTCGTCGCCGTGGGTGCTGATATCGGCTTGAGTGAAGAGGCGGCCGCCGACAATGGATTGCTGGTTCGGCGGCTCGTCTTCGAACATGTCGATGTAAAATTCGAAGAATGTGGGGAAAGCCTTTGTGTGGGTGTCGTAGGGGACTTTTGCGGCGTCGAGCTGCTCGTATAGGGGGGCCATGACCTTTTCCAATTGTTCTTTGTTCATCTTGGGGCCGACAAAGGGCGCGATGTGGAGGCGTTGCGGGCCAGGGCCAACCTCGAAGTACACAAACATGCCATGCTCGCTGTAGTGGTTGGCTAGGTTGTGGAAGATGTGCACGCCCTTGGCGAAGAGCTCGGTGTCGTTGGTGTGGGTCGAGTTGATGTTGAGGATTGTGCCGGCGGTGGGGACTTCTGGGAAGGTCTTGACGGTGATGGCGACGACGACGGCGAAGGAGCTAGGGCCGCCTCCCTTGAGAGCCCAGAAGAGGTCGGAATTTTCTTTCGCGTTGGCAGTTACGTATTTGCCCTCGGCGGTGATGGCGTCGAACGAGAGGACGTTGTCAGCGCCCATACCGTAGATTCCTGTGAGTGGGCCGTGTCCACCTCCTTGGATGTAGCCGCCACCCCAGCCAACGGTTGGGCACTCTCCACCCACGATGACCACCTTGGGGCTCTGGTCAAAGCACTGTCGGAACAACTCGCGGCCCTGAACACCAGCACCAACGATAGCGGCAGTGCCCTTCCAGTCACCGGGTCCAGTGTACTTCTTCAGGAACTTGACATCTCTGAAGCTGTGGGTGTTGATGATGAGCGAACCGTATCCGGTCGAACGTCCCCTGCGTTTTCGTCAGTCTCGTCGTGCTCTAAGACGCAGAAGATTGTCTTACATGAAGTCGTGACCAGTATTGCGGATGATCAAACGAAGGTTGCGCTCTCGTGCAAAGTCCACACCAGCTTTGATCTGCTCCCTTGTGGTTGCCATGATGACGTACTTCCCGTACATGCCTTGTGTGCAGCTACCCGATGGGTCGTCGGTTGGCATGCAGGTGTTGTTCGTCTTGAAAGGCCAGAGTTCGGCGATGGGATGATCGGTTCTGGCATTGCGTTAGCATCGACGCGTGTGTTTTCTCAAGGAGGTCATTCATACAGCCATTGCTCGTTAGCCCAATTGGCTTGAGTATCCGCGCACTTCGCAGCATCGTAAACGCTAGTTCCATTTCCGAAGTCCTTGTAGCAAACAGCGCCGGGTGGTATGGCGAGCTGCAGTGCGCCAGAGACGGTCTGGTTGAGCTTCGACCAGTCTTTGTTGGTTGGCCAGCAAGAGTTGTCGGAGTAGCATTTGCCTGATTCTAGTTATCAGCACACATTCCCGAGAATCGAAGAGGAGACGTTGCTTACACTGATAGTCAACGCCATCCACCTTCTTGACCTCGCCGATCCATTTGGCGCCCAAGACACCGTTGGTCGCCAGCAAGAGAGGAGCGAATAGTGAGAAGCGACCCATATTGACGAAAGGGGATGAGTTCACAGATTCGATCAACTGGCCGCAAGGTACCTGTGGGCTTCCCGTCTATTTATCTCGACCATGGCTGCAAACGCCTCGCAGTTCCCTACGTAGCCTAGCGCATCGTCCTGGAGAAGCTCTAGCCTCTGCCATTAGCAACACGGTACGCCCTGCAGCATACTCTTCTACCCTGAGATTGGCCTAATACTAGCAAAGCGCAAGAAGTAGTACTGCTAGTCTGCTGCCGTCTTCCAGACCCAGGGTACCTGGAAATACAAGCCGCACTCAACAGCGGGAGTAGAGCCACAAGAGGTGATTAACTCGCACTAGAACCCATCGTCGGTACCGGGCCGCTGGGAAACACAAATGAGTTGGCGTCTTTGCGGCGATCCTATTCACCCGGGTAATCTTGGGGGCCTGGTAGACTGCTCGCCAAGACAACGGTGCTGCTATGGCTTATTCTTTTCGCCACGATGGAAACCACTCAGGAACCTGAATCTTGTGATTGCCACGTTGTCGATGTTGGCGAGGCTGGCAGAACTGCCGCAGCGAAACGCTGCACTCGGCCTCATGTCCGGTATGCTGCTTATGCGTGTAGCATTGCGCCTCGTCTAGCCAAGCCGGTGCGATCTAAACGCTCGACTAATTTAGCTGCGTACCAACAGATCTCGCGTCGCAGTACTTGCAGTATGTCCGGTAAGCATCGAATCTGCAATCGAATCAGAACTTATTGCGGCGCTTCTCAATTGAAGACGTGCAATCAACGCGCGCTTACGCGCATATATCGAGCAACGGCAGTCGGCGATTTTGGTCAACGTAGATGCATCTGGAAACCCTTTGATCTGCAGTGGATCTATATCGCGCTTGTGGGGTCAAACCATGGGGTACCCTTTGACCATGGGTGCAGGTGAATGATTCGGTGCGGTTGAGTAGCCTCGTCTGTAAGAATTAACCTTTCGCTGGCATGAGCGATGAGCATGGCGACTTCATGCAGTAATTTTAGCCTCGGGACAGCAGCTCTCTTTCTGTGTAGTCTCCGCATCCGCCTGTCCACGCGGTTCGCAGCTCCACTTTACTCTGGGGCAAGGGTCCAGCGGCTCGCTTCCGGAGGACCGCTATTGGATTTTGCTACTGAGCCGTCAATCAGTCTTTTCACGCACATGGATAGAGCTTTGAGAATACCATGACATCGGCATTTGTCTCGGTCGTATTGATGTTCTAACGAAGACGATGAGACGACGGCCCTCTGGATGATCGTCGTGATCGTCGATAGTAGCGCCGGTTCCATGAGTCCGCAGGTCCGGGAGACTGGACATGACACGCATCCGAGCCGTGTTTTCGTTCGGGGCACTCCACGCTAGCGAACCTGACTTGGCTCAATTCCATGTGATAGTCAACGCTGGAGCCCCTGTACATCTTCTATAGCTGCATCCGCCGAGGTAGATGCTCAATTCCACGTATGGAACTGGGGGCCTTGGAGGCGAAGATCTGGTTCCAGAACCAGGCTCATTCACTTCCTGGCTCGAACCAAAATCATCGCACGGTATGCAACCTCTTAGGCCAGGCGATCTGCTACCCGAGTGTCGGTATCGTAGTCAAATATATACAGCTCTGGAAAGTCCGCTCGAAGTCGGCTTTGGGTGACTCTAGTCGCTATGATTTGGGGGGTTCCATTGTCGAGCTCTACAACCTTCTTTACGAAACACTGTTGCGCTGAATTCTCCACGATGTTGTAGGAGAATTCTGATTCTGCGTTCCCTCCGTTGGGCTCAGTAAATGCCTCGAAACGAAGGGTCACCGAATATGGCGCGATTATGAAGATCTTAAGGGAGGAACATCGTGTATGTGTCCATTGGAAAAACTGTGTCGAGAGTTGGTGCTGGATGTCGCGAGCATCTACCCCAGGCATAGATGAATAGCGACTTTAATGTTGCGGCTATGATAAAGATGCAGCGTCTTCAGCTTCTTGAGCTTTTCGATTGGTTCCTAGGAAGTGTGCGATGTCATCAAGTCTTCCGGTGACAACGCTGGTGAGTAGCCTGGACTCGCCAGATAGCGTACGAGGGAATGATGTCGTTGCTCTACCTCAGGTGCAGGGAGATGATTATCATGAAACCACAAACCGAGTTGCCCCAAAAAGCTGAATCAGCTACATATGTGTCTTAATTCCCATAGTCCTGGAAACAGAGTGTGAACATCTGCATTCTGACACGTTAGGTCGAACAGTGACAGAGCCCTGAGCTCTAGGTGCAGTCGCCACATATAGAGTGGATCGCGCGACGACGTTTGAGGGTCTATAGACACATTTTGGACTCCATGCATGTGGAGAAAAAAGTGCCGAAGATTTTGATTCCTTGTAACCAGCACTTTTGCGTCGTCGCTTACAGAGTTGTCGAAACGTTGGAATTGTCGATCTTTCGTAGTCCGAAGTACACTAGATTCCGCAGTTCGGATGAGCTGGACAGGTATCCTAGTGGTTGATACCTGCACATGGATAGAGACAGCTCAGTTACCCGAGACAAGTCGAACATGTAGGGTATAGAGGCGCCGAATGATTCTGGGAGGCAGCCTTCGAGTGAGAGTTCACGCGCAACAATTTGACGACGCTTCGTCGAACCATCATAGCACTCCCTGTCCTATTATGTGTTTACGTCCCCTGTCCAAACATTCACCGGGAAAAGAACGGAAAATAATTCGAGTTCAGGTAGTCTCTCCACGAATTGGGCAAACCCATAGGTCTGTTGATGCCCAGTGTGGAATCCGTTCGTTACACGACGAAATTTTGCGGATATCAGCTGGTGCACATCGCCACACGAAACATGTAGACTATCTATCAATTGCTGGCGTTCTCGAAGGTGGCTGATTATGGCTGGGAGCCCTGCTTTGGAGCATGTGTATGCTACTATTGCCAACAGTGATCCCATCTCAGATCTGCTTGACTGTCGCAAAAGCCCTACCAGTCTGCATCTCGTCTGGACTACAGATTGCAATCTAGACAAATTCTGGCGCATGCTTGAGCGCAGAGACCCTGGACTAAAGAGTTTCGGCGTGCAAAAACAATACAGTGTAAATCATTTCGGCGATTGGAACGATCAGTCATCGCGCCTTCTTTCGAGATGCCAGAATGTGCAACATCTTCGCTTACCAATATCTATTCATGTTATGGTTGAAACCACATGGGAAGATGCCGAAGACTGGGCGGAGTTTGTCGTAAACAGGGTTCTCTTGCGCGCTGCAGCGATATAGCTGACGATTGGTAGACATGATTCGAGAAGACGTCGCAGTTACGCTCAATCCTGTTCACATACGATCCAGTAATTTTCGATGGAGACTGCGATGGCCCTAACAACGAATACCTGAACGAGTCAGTTCCCAACCTATAGACTTTGCTACCAATCTCTTCCAATATCTTGATGCCCGTGGATGGTATCCCAACTTAGACGTTCTGGTTACGGGCAGACCGGTGGATATTGAGGGCACAGACGACAACATACAGGGTTATGGACATCGACTAGAGCACGAGAATTCATACCCATGGCACTGCTTTATCAAAGGCTACCGAATGCCAGGTCGGACCAGAATTTCGTCTAAGAAAAAGACTGCTATCGCGGTACGTGTACCGGCACATGTACTGCGATCTCATCAGCCCGGATGCAACATGCCAGACATCATTCCACGAGCGCATTGGGTGGATTCCGCTGCTGGAGAATCCTGGGGGTTCCTGGCTGATCTTAATATCTAACATTCCATTACCATAGTATAATTTCATCTCGGGTATAGGCTCAAGCAGTTCGCAATATGAAACACCATCTATTGTGCATTCGGCCTGAACACGCTCATACCGTTCTTCTTGCCCCAAGCCCAAACCTTACCATTCAGATCCGGCACCATGACCAACCAGATGATTGTCGCGATCCACGCTCCGATGGTATCAAGAACGACATTATTCCTCTGGCTACCTGACATGGAGCCATAACGCATCAAATGCACTAGCCAGTTTGTAGGGGTCATGAAATCGCCACCTTCCAGTCCTTTGATCGCCGCCGTTGCAGCTTCCAGCTCAGTCTGCTTGGGGTCCGACGACTCTAGCTCGAAGCTTACGGGGTGTTTTGTCTTGTTCTCGTTTTCGAAACCGGGTGACAGTATGCTGCCTGGGAAGACAACGTGGATATCGACGTCAAAAGGCGCAGGTACAACACCGGTGTTACTCGTCTTGGAGCGGCGCGCCGCGTTGTAAAGCTGGACTTCGGAGCGGAGACCGTCGGCGAGTGACCGGATCGCGGCTTTGGCGGGGGAGTAGGCGGAGTAGCCTGCGAGGTTCATGAAGGCGAGCGCGGATGAGGTCATGATGAACTTGCGAGGTAGTTCAGGAGCAGAGCCCTTTTCTTGCGACTTATACGGTACTTCGGGGTAGAACCACGCCTGCAGTGTCTTGTGTGCCATGTATGCTGATGCAAAGTAATTCAGCTCCATCTGTCTCCTCAGCGTATCAGTGCTCGTCTCGATGAAGAGCCCTGGCACTGAAGACCCCGCGACACACCACACTATCTCTGGTACGCGTCCGTCATTCCAAGCTGTGGCTTCCTTCAGAATGCGCGTGTTCTCAGACTCTGAGGTCACGTCGGCGGCGATATAGGTGAAGCGTTGGGTCGAAGGATTCTTGGCATGGGTCTTCGCGTGGGCTATGGCGGCTTCGAGGTTCTTTGCGGTACGTGCGACGAGGATGAGGTTTGCGCCGCGGGCGGAAAGTAGACGGGCGATTTCGCAGCCCATTCCTTGTGAGGAGCCTGTAAGCAGGACCGTCTACTTACGCCATTAGTGAGCTGTATAGAGAGGACGGTAGAAAACTCACTCTCCCCTCCACTGGGAATTGGTTGCCCTTCCAGAACGCGAAACCCATGATGTCCGCACTAATAATTCCAACGAGCACCAAGAGGATGATGGTCGCTCCCAATAGCAATTGGGACATGAGGAAAGGCACTTTAACACTCCAATAAAGGAGATTATCGGACGCCTGATGTCTGACTCTGCTTATGCGGACGAATTGGTACCGCAATGCTCAATTGGTGTACGGTCAATCGCGTGTCGGTATCGCACGAATTCACATGCGGCGTGCTTACATACGCCCTGCAGCTTTTAGCTCCACTCCACTAGTGGAGACTTTCCGACCTCCGCGGTAAAGCCAAGACTTCTTACCGAAAAAAAGTTCCCGCGCGACATTTGCGACCACCACATACGCCACGCCACAACACATATCGCAATCATGGCAAAAAAGAGAAAGGCTGGTAGCGGCGGGTCGCGCGCGCCAAAAGCACTAAAAGAGGAGGATTCCAGGATGGCAGTCAACTCGTATGAGGATGTCGCGGATTCGGAGGACGAGTTCCATATTAATCGGGACAAGATACTGTTGGATGAAGGGCCGGCGGCTAAGAGGCTGAGGAAGTATCAGGAAGAGGGTTAGTCAGGCCGTGTTACAGGTATAAAATGCGACAGCTAATCTGGATCTAGATAAGTTCTTAGAGGCCTCGGACGAAGAAATCCTCGATGCCGGCAGCGACGACGACGAAGATGAAGACGACTTCGACGACCAAGATACCGGCGATGAATCGGGAGACGATGTCACGGGACAACGTAAACCAGTCGACGAGGAAGATGAGGATGTGGGTGGATGGGGTGCCTCGAAGAAGGATTATTACAACGCCGATGCGATAGAAACGGAGCAAGATGCGTTGGACGAGGAGGCGGAAGCGCGGCGCATACAAAAGAAGCAGCTACAGAGCATGACAGAGGCGGACTTTGGTTTTGACGAGGACGAGTGGATGGCGCAAGAGGGAGAGAAAGATGTAGAAGGTGGCGCTGTGGTAACGGAAGTTCTACCCCAACTTCAGATCACGGATAGCATGACCGAGGAGGAGAGGATGAAGATTATGCGCACGCGATACCCCGAGTTCGAACACATTTCGAAAGAATACTTGAGGCTGCAGCCGCTTCACGAGGAATTGGCCGCCGCCGCGAAGGCTGCCGAGAAGGTATCGAAGGCACAAATGGCGAAGTCGGGGAAGACAGACAGAATTCCACCAACACCAAAGGCTGTCACAAAATACCGGGCTTGCGCCGCATATCTCGCAGCGATGGCCATGTATTTTGCTGTACTTGGCTCGACTGCAACGGACGATGGGTCACCAGTCATTGCGATGGATCCTACTGAGCTACACGAACACCCAGTTATGGAGACTTTACTAAAGTGTCAGAAGGTGTGGACGCGAATAGAGAACCTACCTATCGCGGATCCCATGGTCGAAGCCGATGAAGATGACGACTCGGCTATTGAGGATGTGAGCGCCGAGGAACTCGAAAACGATCTGACCATTAAGAAGCCTACAAAGCAGAAGAAGACCAGGGCGGAACGAGCAGCAGAATTGGCGCAAGCAGAAGCAGCAGCTCGACGCGCTGCTAAGCTCGCAAAGACAGAGCAGGACCTGGCATCACTCGATACCCTCACCGACAAGGCTGCCCTCAAGAAGGCATCACGCAAGAAGAAGACCGCAGAACCAAAGCTCAACCTCCTCAACGCAGACGACTCGGACTTCGGCGAAGAAACCGAGCTCACCGCCCACGAAGCCGCCGAAAAAGCCAAGAAGAAAAAATCCCTCCGTTTCTACACCTCGCAAATCGCCCAAAAGGCAAACAAGCGCGATGCCGCCGGCAAAGATATGGGCGGCGATGCCGACATCCCGCACCGCGAGCGCCTCAAGGACCGACAAGCACGTCTGCAAGCCGAAGCCGAGAAACGAGGACAGCACAAGGACGCTGGTCCTGGTGTTGCTCTGGGCGAAGACGATGGCGCTTCGTCTGCTGATGAAGCGCCAGCTACCAAGCGCGACGACTTTGAAGATGAGGATGGTTACTACGATATGATCGCTGCGCGCTCGGAGGACAAGAAGCAGACTAAGCTTGAACGCGCGGAGGCTTATGCCCTGGCTAAGAAGCAAGGTGCGCAAGTCATTGAAGAGGAAGTCATTGGCGATGATGGTCGTCGTATGATTTCTTACCAGATTCAGAAGAACAAGGGGTATGTTTTCTCCGCTTTTTCTACTTCCCTCGAGTAAATGCTAACAACCCACCTAGATTGACGCCCCACCGCAAAAAGAGCGTGCGGAACCCGCGTGTCAAGAAGAAGGAGAAGTACAAGGAGAAGCAGAAGAAGCTCAAGAGTATGAAACAAGTGTTTGATAAGGGGGCTGCAGCAAAGGGCAGTGCGAACTATGGGGGTGAGCTTACGGGTATTAAGTCTGGGCTTGTTAGGAGTAGGAAGTTGTAGGAGACTTTGTGTTGGATGGAGATACCATGGTTGTGCTTTCCAAAAGTCCGAGAGTGCAGGTGTTGTGTGGGTGCGATCACAGATTTGGCAAGAGCACATGTTGGGATGTAGTAACTGACAGGAACTCGTGATGAAAGACGATATAGTCCTTGTATCATTACTACAATACCCTTGCTGTAAGAATTCCCGCCTAGATATGAGATATCGGTTCGCCTTTGACAATTTCCACTTCCCCTAGTGTTCATCCGATAAAGCAGGTAATGAAAGTCCTTTTGCCACTCTTCTGAAAACGATGGAAAAGTCGTGTGCTTAGCGCAATGTGTTTTCGTTTCCCTCGCATGTTCATGTAGTTCTTTGCGTCAACAATTGCCTCTGAGTGTTTAGTCCAGCATTTCAGTGAATGACGAACGTAGTGACGGGTCCCCTGCGCGCTGCATCTCTTTGATATTGCTCCATGAGATGAGGGATGAAGGCAGCGCCCATATACTGAACGTGATCGGATGCTTGTCCGGTCGAGTCGATGTCGTACTTCGTTGGGGTCAATTGCCGAAGAATATATAATGGCTGGCCACTGTAGAATGTGGCAACGTGATCTCCTGGTTTGCATCCAGGGTGAGCGAATCCAATGCGACCGCCTTTTGTGCTGAAGAACGTATGTCCGCGCCTATATACCCACCGTTGATGACACTGCTTCTGCTCCCAGGTAGGCTGAAAGCGTGATGGTGAGTACCAAGTCATCAACTTAGACAACATTTCACAGTATACGTTTCTCGCTTTCGCGCCGATAGAGCAATCCGCAAAGTGAATCATGAGGAAATCGTCCGGTATATCGGCTACGCCTTCGCTCTTCCCATAAAAGACACGGCGAGCTAGACTTAGACATTGCATGAGGTGGCCAACGGCAATATCATACAACAATGTATGCTCTTCCGAATCTCTATCATAGCGCTCGTATGCAAAGTCGAGAATTTTCGTATGTTCAACAACCTCTTCAATGGTGTCTAGCACAAAACCTCGGATCCGAAGCAAATCGTCATGTCTTACGGTCCCAATGAAGGTTTCATCATGACACTGGATTTCCCAAGCTCTTGCTGTTACTTTCGCCCTCTCTATTTCGCTGTTTTCTTCACATAAAGCCCAACGATTGATCGCGTATTGTCTCTCTGTCGTATTATTCCACTGCCCATCAATCACCATATGGCATGCTGATGCTCCGGAAAGATCTGGGCACCAGGATGGCAAGTATGAAGATCTAGGTCCCAGCGTAGGCGGAATTTGCAATAGTCTCATCCCACCGGGTGTGTCCATCAGAGCTTTGGTAAACATTATCCATGTCTTCCAGTATTCAAAGCGACCCCGTTCACTGTAGTCAACCTTTGAAGTCATTGCATCTCGAAAATCGGTCTCTAAAAGTCCTACAATCGCCCAGACACGATCGACCGGCTCTTTCACGTGTCGATAACGTAAGCTGTATAGATTGATTGCAACATTCTGAGAGTGTATCACGGTGCCCCATCCTTGTTGAGAGGTTAAACTGCGATAAAAGTGGATAGAAATGCAAGTGACGTTCGCAGTACTGGTTCTTGCATCTCTTCCTATATTAGACAGTTTTCCGATGTAAGTGCTACGATGAAATCCTTCCGTAACGAAGTCTACGAACTCATCGAAGTCCGCCCAAGAGCCACCACAAAGTAGTGTCGCTCTGGGAGGAAGGATGATCTCCTGATATGTCCATAGACGTCTGAACCACTCGCCCCTGAGAAGTTGGGATAGTCCTTCAAAGAATACGTATGCATCGCAGAGAAGTTCTTCTTTGACTGGGTCACAACAATTGGGATCTATGGTATAATGCGCTATCCATTCTTTTGACTTCTTCTTTACGTCTGGGAATCCTGCGAAGAAGACATCGGTTTCGAATGTGGAAGGACCCATCCATACGATGACAGTTGTGGTCCAGGCATAGATGTCGCGCATCAGGGATATCTGATTACTCTTCTCTTTCTTATCGTCTTGGTTGATACATATTGCATCAATCCAGATTCTCCTCTTTTTTGTATTTCTTTGGTATCCGTGAAGGTAATGTAACATCTCGAGTGCGGTCGGTGTGATGATGAGCGGTTTGCCGTTGTATAGAACAGTCTCAGTAGCTGGCGCGCTCCCCCACACATACGAGATCGCATCGTAATCAAGATCTTGGGCCAGCACGTGTCGGCGCGACTTCAACTGGATGATGCCGTCGATATATGCTATCTTGAGGAGACGAATTTCATTGTTGGCAAGCGCTTTGCTTTCATATGGGGAGACCGGAGACCTGGGATCGGGTTCGATTGTGGCCATCATGGAGATCCGTAGAAGTCCGACTGGTTGAATTGACCGTCGAAGTCAAATGTCGTTGGAAGAGAAGTATGAAAAATTATCAGGTTGCTCGAACTGACAGCCCGAAGGCAGCGACAAATTCAACGATCACAGTCGCAATAGCGTGATCAGGCTGAGTGGGGAAACAATGCTTGATAGATAAGTCGGCATCGTAGTCCTAAGCCTGCCGTCTCACCAGAATGCACGCCAAGTGAGGAGCAGTGTTAGCCAGATGAGCAGACCATTAGATCGGGGAAGTGGTGGGTAGAAGTTTGTGAAATTGCGGGGACCAGGATGTCAGCCTTGTGAAGTGCAAGGTGGCTAGTGTGTGTGTTAGCGCCTTGGTACAGTAAGAGACGGAAAGCGCAATGGAACGTGTATCATGTTTATCTACTTCATTACTTTCGATACAAACCCCGACGCTATGAAAACATTACAAATACATTATCGGGTATCATGAATCTCAACGCACACTTCCCTTCCTTCTCCTAATCTAAACCTTAACAGGATACTTCTCCCTGATAACCTTTCCATACCTAAATAACAGCGCCGGCACAGGGATAAACGCAATAGCCAGGAAGCCCAGCAAGCTGTTTCCCCAGCCCAAACCTAGTGTCTCGTACATTGTCGGCCCCGCAAGCGGCAGCAGGGCGCCGAATAGACAGCGCAGGGCTGTCATACCGGCGATGGCGGAAGCGGCGAACTGGGGGAAGCAGTCGATCATGTAGGTCTGGAGGGGCGCGAAGATGCCCATGAGACCGAAGCCGAAGGGGACGAGGGAGATGATGGGGACGATCCAGTGGATTTTGTTGTAGGCTGTCCAGCCGTACCTGGTGTTGTTAGTGAGTGATAGTAGGGTGAGGAGGGGAGAGGACTTACCAGAAGAAAGAGATCGGGATTAGGAGACCGAAGAACACGCAGAGCGGTAAGCGCATCTCTGGTTCGTAGACGCCCTTGTTCTTCTTCGCTAGTCGGATGATAGTCGCGTCGCTCGTCTTGGCTACGAACGCGATGCCCATGAAGTTGCCGATTCCGATACCTAAGTATGCCAGACCGGTGATTTCGGGAGACCAGCCGTAGGTTTGGATGAAGACGGGTGTGATGGTCGTGAAGAGGAGGAACAGAAGGCCGAAGAGGAAAGACATGTAGAGCGAGCAGAGCAGTACGATGGGCGATCGGGTGAGCATCTTGAGTGGGCGCGTGATGCCGTTCCCGAGGATGTGAAGAGGACTGAGGAGAGCCGCATCCTTCTCGTAAGTCATGATGTTCTGAAGCTCAGGGCGGTTAAGCTCCTTGCGTAAACGCAAAGTCTTGCGGTTAAGCAGCACAGCGTGGTACGTCTCGCTGTTGAAGACGAAAAGAGCCACTGTCAAGAGACCACCAACGATGAGTACGACCCACATGTCCCATCGCCAGCCTGCGCGTTGCGCAATGAAGCCACCGCAGATAGGGCCGAGGATAGGGCCGAAAAGGATACCTGTACTGTAGAGCGAAACAGCTTTTCCTCGCTGCGCAGGGACAAACATGTCGGCGATGACACCGGTACCGATTGTCAAACATGCGCTGCCTCCGACGCCAGCGAGGAATCGCATGCCGATAAGGCCACCGAGGTTAGGTGCGAGCGCGCACCCGAGGGTGAAGCAGCAGAAGAAGAGGTTGGAACAGTTGAGTACAATGTATCTGCCGTAGATCTCGGAGAGCGGACTCAGGAAGAGCGGGCCGAATGCGAAACCTAGGACGTAGACACTGACGGAGAAGGATCCAAGAAGCTGCGATGTGTTTCCGAAGTCTGCATTGACGAACGGGATGCCTGGTGCGAAGATGGAGGAGGCAAGTGGACTGACGAAGGTGATGGCGGCGACCAATCCAAGGAGTGTGATCTTTCTTTTCGTTGTGTAGTTACGTGGGTTCGCGGGATCATCTTGGGTATCCCAGCCGACGAGGTTGTTGTCGAGATCGGATAAGGGGTATTTCTCTGGTGCGAGCTGGTCCTTCTTCGTGCTCTTTCTTGATAAATGCTTCTCGAGGTTTTCTCCGATATCATCGCTTGCTTCCTGGGGTTGCTTCAAAATGTTAGCTCTTGTTCGGAGTGTTTCAAAAGTGACGGCTGGCGATGATGGTGCAGTAGCCGACCACCCGATGCCAGGATAACTTAGCCTGAATGCCTTTCCGCATCATGCGCAACAGGTCGCACACTGACGCCAAAGTCTTCAGGCCGTAGCAGAAGTGTTCTGACGGAGATCCTGTCCTCAAAAGTTATTGATGCTTACCTTTTCTTCCACAGCCTCTTCCTCCTCTTTGTTTGGTCTCGCGTCGCCCTTTTCTAAGTCTGGGACATGTGTATCTGAGCTACTCCTCGAATGTTGGCGGTATGCTTCTCGTGTTGATGAAGACATGCTGTGCGATGGCTGTAGCTGTCGCTACGATATCCGGGTGAGGTTTCCGTGCGCAAAACTTTCCCTGCAATCGTGTTTCTCAAATTTGGTGTTTGCGGCTGTAAGGGACTCGAGAACTGTTTTGAGACGGTTACCGTTGTAGTGTGCACAATCACAACGCCAGGAGTCAGCCGCAGGTATATAATAGAAAGACAGCAGGCAGCTGGATTACGAAATGAGTCCCCATCGTTGCCCGCACCCTGAACGTATTTCTGTCCGTTAACCCCGAGGTTCTCGTACAAGACTAAGCCAGGTTTGGGGGGCATGATCTCGGTGAACGGCGTTAGCGAAAGCGCGAGACAGCGACGCGGGGAAAAAGGCGCCGTTCGTTCATACTCCCACGAAATCGTCCGCGCTCGATACTAATTGAATCCCATGCTTCTGACGAGAGCAGAATATGACGCGAGAAAGCCGACTTTGGTGACTGTAATCCTTCGGCGCATGTACAGTGATTGCGGTGCGTCGGTTTTCAATAAGCACCGGGACTTCGTCGGGGCGGAGCCAGACCCCTGCCAGCCGGCTGGCTTGTGAAAGCTTGGAAGGGGCCAAGCAATATTCAGACTCCTTGGGCTCTTTCAAGTGGTATGACTCTGAAAAGGGCGCAGGGCGTAAGAGATGATGGTGTGGATGCTCATGCATAAAGTCCGATCGTATGTCCGCCCGGAGCTAGGTACCAAAGTTAGGCATACCGCGAATGTCGGATGAGTCTTCACAATCTCCATAGCGCAATCTCTTGCTAGCTTTCGCACTGCAGTTGTTGGCGGCGGTCGTTAAGACGGTCGCGAAGCTGAATGAAATGTGGACTGGAGAAGCGAGAAAATTGGATGGAACGATCAAGGAAAACACCCACCACTCCTATCTTTTACCTTATGTTTGATCGTCAGCGATCGCCATGTTCTATGGAGCCACACTGCGACACGGTTGTACGTCGCCTCCTATACCTAGGTACTCGCAGCTACACTGTCGGTTGCGCAACAATCGTTACGTCGCGAGATCTTTTGGAGCTGAGAGTGTGAAGAGAGAAAAAGACGAAGCGGCCACTCTACGGAAGGGTGAGATGTCGTTACCTTTAAGTTATTCGGAGACGGTGCTACTGCGGCTGTCATATCCAAACCGCCGTTTGATGATGCCACGGTTCATGATGCTGACGACAGCCAAAACCTTCAACAATAGCGATGATTCGATGAGCGTACAGTACCCACGCATGTTGACCATGGGTTTGGAACTTGCGAGAGAGAATGTTGAATCGAAATCGGGAGGTCGCAAAGGTATATAGTTTCCGTCACAGACTCGGCTCTCCTCTCGGAACCTGCGCTTGCCGACAGAGCCAGGCAGAGAAGCGCCGCGGCCAGACTCATGGTCACTCATCCTAAGGACAGTAGCACTCTGCACTTGTGAGTTTCAATACCTGTTGCGACAGATGCGACAAGGGATTGCGCAGAGACCAATACCAATTTTCTGGCGATAGACGAGGCAAGGGCGCTAGAGCCATTGTACTTGCCGAGTCTGACCCGCGGCAGCGACCACCTTCGAACACATCGACTCTCGTCATAACCTTTACGTTCGATCGTAAGGCACCTCGTTTGATCTTGATACACAGATTCTACCTCTTCTCTTTATAAGCGTTAATGCGGAGCCTACGGCACGGCACGGTCCCTCCCAGCCGCTGGCGTTAGTGGACCCCTTGGAAAGGTGCATCCTGAACGCACGAAAGAAGGCACGTCCAGACGAGTATCGCGCACCTCACGCACGTATGCTGGACCTTCAGCTCGATCTTTATGCCACCTACGTCTTGCCACAGCCACAAGAACACATAATTCCAATACGCCCCATGTTAGCGCAAGGCAGCCGCAGAGTGTTTGTGGGGAACCAAGCCCATCGTCTCCAGCTCCAGAAGCTTGGCCGTAAGATCGGAACAACTTTCAAGACAAGCTGACGAACTAGACTGAGATTCGATGACACATCAATGATTGACCTTCAATGTTCCTTAGCCTGGACCTGGGTTGCGGCAGCGCGTCGGCGCCCTGGGAGATCGACAGCGGCTTCGTTTTTGCTTACTGCGTCCGAGCGGCTCAGTGAGACGACGTCCGATGCTTCACGACCTACCATTGTCCATGCTGGCAACTTTTGTGTTACGTACAGGTCTGTTGAAGCGGGGAAGTGAAGATGAGGGATCTCATTGGTAAGACTTCATCGCTTAGAAGGTTGTGAATTGCTGACCGACCAGGTCGGTCTCGTAGTCTTTCGATCGAGCTACTCGGGGCGTAAGGCGCAAGTCCGGGGAAATCGCCGATATCAGGTCATCCGTCATGGCCAAGGACGCAAGGTACGACGCCTGTTAGGATGGGCTCGATCAAGCCCTCCATTCATATGTTCTTGCAAACGTATCACACTTGTTAAGGTACAAGACCTGTAGGATGGGAGAGATACGCCTCAAAAGAAGAGACCAGGAAAGTACGGCCGGATTGTATGACTACCAGGGTTTTTGTATTCTGCCGGCTTGACGAGGGCTCCACCGTCTACAGGCCCGTTGTTATACGGCCGGTTGAATCCGCATAGGGAACCGCAAGCTGCTGGGCTAAGACACTCCGTTGGCATCGACCGCAGCAATGCCTAAAAGGTCACCTTAACAGACTGGGTTGAAGGTTTATGAACAAAATGATGACCCGAGAGCAAATAGTATGTAGGTATTGGGGGCCAGCACCACGAAAAGAGCTGGCGTCTCGCGGGTTCATGCCAACCACCTGCCTGATCATCTCCACTGTACGACCTCAGTCAGTAAACAAGTGGATATAAAACAAGGCGTACCTCTTCATCCACTGTCAACCTTTTACGCCCAACTCCACATCACGGTCCACAACCTCCACCTACGCCCGTCCCACCTAAGCCCTCGAGATGCAATCAAGGTCGCCGCCTTGGATGGTATGCGAGACTCAGCCTTTCCATGACGATCTCAATCTCAGTACCGCAAAGATCCTCGCTGCGACCATGACGCCCCATCACATCTCGCCTTCTCATTGCATCTCGGACCGAATGCAAGACACCAGGCCAACTACCTCCCTTGACACCGGTGACGAAGCTGTGAGACACGGGGGGTTCTAATAACATCATCGTACAGTATGAATGGGCGATATGGGATGCCTAAACAGCAGACAGATGAATATATAAGAAGGTACTTTGCACCGAGCAGAGAACCATCATCACAACAAGTTCTTCAATCATCACACACACACAACAAGCCTTCAATCTCAACGTTCCACGAACAACACTTCCCAACAAATCACCATGTACTTCTCCAAGATCGCCATCCTCGCCGCTGCCACCATGGCTAGCACTGTCGTTGCGGACAACTGCTTTGCTGGATACGCGTACTGCGAGGGTAACCTTTTGACTCAGGGTTCGTCTTCCCCTCCCCCATATTCCTCGTCCTCCCTCCTCCCTGCTCCCCTCCTGCTCCCCTGCTCCGTCTTCCTCCCTACTCCTCCTTCTTCTCCCTACCCTATCTCCATCTCTATCTCTCTCTCTCTCTCTCTCTCTCTCTCTCTCTCTCTCTCTCTCTCTCTCTCTCTCTCTCTCTCTCTCTCCGGTTCCTCAAGTCTCCATCTAACACACTGACAGGCGACTACGCCTCCACCATCTACCAAGTCCTCGACGCAGCGGGCCAACCCACCGACGCCAACGCGCGCGCCAAAGCCCTGTTCAACTGCGTCAACGGTGGGGCTATCCAGTTCATCACTCTTTGCGGTGGCGACTGCAAGAACGAGCCTTTTGGTAGCCAGGTTAGTGATCACTGCTAGATCACTTCCCTAGTCACTTTCTTGGTTACATAGAGTTCCCGAGGGAAGAGAATAAAGTGGAGTAAGCTCGCGATGTGGGGGATGGGGGATGGCAAAGGGGTCGGCAAAGGGGAGATGGGGGATGTGGAGGCGAATGAGAATGTGGAAGTGGTTAGGTAGAACTGAATGTTACGCTCGTTACTCTAAGTTTTTTTTGTTGCTGTTTTGATGTTATGGCAATACACCAGTGATGTTGGTGGGGATGTCAGGTTCCGATCATGTTATTGGTGAATATGGTTCACTCACAATGAAAAGACATGGTAGCAAGACTGTCATGTTTGCTCATCATGCACAACGAATGAGGAGTAGAAACATGTAGGGAAACATGTCAGTCATCTTTCGTGTGTATGTTCATCGAGGTATGCTGCATCAACTTTTGTCGTACGTGAAACGAGTCGTCCGCACCATTAACCTCCCTTCGTCCGCCCAGAAGACATAAACATATGAAAAGTCTACCTAAAGCATGAGAACATAGCTCCAAGAAGCTAAACATCAGAAAAGCCACCAGCGCCAAAACAGTAAACAGACATCCACCCAGTACCCATTTTTACTAGCCCCATTGAACGCCACAGCGTTCGTCATACGTCTCGTACATGCGACCTATCCACTAAGAAGGTCCTTCACACTCATACCCCTAGCACCACTCCAGCTACGACGGTCGGTATTCAACATCATCAAAGCCTCCGTAGCTTCCTGGTCCTCACGATCAGCCTGTGGTTTCAGCGCCGGTGACGTCAACGCGAAATGGACGGAGCCATGCGATGAACCAGGAGCAGCTACAGGACCTGTGCTAGGAGGGCCGTTGTGGAAGGGGTTGCTGAAGTGGGTTGCAGATGGTGTGTGAGCGCTGAAAGCAGGCGAAGGGTGGATCGAAGGCGAAGTTACTGTGGAGCGGACTGAGGCTGGCCCGAGCGAGTAATGGTGTGGGTCGGACGGGCGCAACGCGGGGGAGGGGTTCGCCGAGTAGTGCCCGTTGCGATCGTGGGGCATGATGGCTGGGGATGTGGTAGTTGAGTGGGTGTATACGCTTCGGTCGGAGGGGTAGATGGCAGGCGAGGCTTGGGCGAAGGTGTATTTGGATTGGGCGGGTGGCGGCTCGACGTAGGTGGGTGATACGGCGTCTTCCATCTCTTCGTCTTGCTCTTCGTCTTCGTCGTCGTCGTGCATGCGTCTGACTGGCGGTGGAGGGAGCTCGGAGGTAGCAGATGATGGGGAGTCGCGGCGGGAATTGGCGGTCTTGAGGTCGGAGACGCAGTGCTCGAGGTATCGCATGTACTCGATGGATGCCTGAGTGTGTTAGTATATGAATGTGTTATAGGTAAGTGTCGGGAAGTACCTGTAGAATGGCCAGCTTATGCATCTCTTGTCCTCTACACGCCGGAATCATGTCCTTGAGTACCCCAAACTCCTCGTTCATCTTGGACCTTCTCCTCCGCTCGATCAGACTGTGTGCCGTCTTCCTTGCAATTTTACGACCTGCAGCAGTGGCGTTACCCGCCTGCTTCCTTTTGGTACCATTAGTGGCAGCGGTCGTGGTCTTCGCATCCTGTATTTTAGACGAGGTCTTGGGCGTTTCTTGGGTATCCTTAGGCTTCATCTGAATGATCTTACGTGATCGGGTAGGCGGAGGCGGGAGAGAATAGTCGTCCCTGGTGATGATGCTCTGCTGGGAGCGTTTGCGCGCATGACCGGGCTTGGAAGTCGCGACTGGGGACGACGGGGAAGGCGGCCGGTAGGACGAATCTGAGGCATTTTCGGATTTACCAGAAGAGCTAGCTACACTTCCTCTGCCACCCAGTGCTGCAGGTGGCAAGTTGAAGCTCGTCTCCAATTGAGGGGCATTGGCGCTGCTCTTGCCGGTGATGTCTGTCGACGGCTGGGGAGTCGGAGGGAGGTTTGGGCGAGGCATGATGGGAGTAAAGGCGCTCATAGAACGTCTTCAGCCTGTGTCCCGCGCGTAGAATAAGTCAGAGAGCGACAAAGAGGGGATAAAGGAACGACAGAGACAATGTATGGCGTGCATTATCAGCATTGGGGTGTCGCGTGGGCTCTTTCGTGTCGCAGCGCTGGGAGAGGGATCCCGTGGGTGTCCTGCGCTCCCATGATTGGCTGGCCGGCCAAGATGCCTCAGTAAATGGCGCCAGTCCCTCGCGCCTCCTATGAGAACGTCACCCTGGGAGCGTGGGCGTCGCGGCCGCTGTAGGCCTCTGCGAAGCTGCAGCCTCTTGAACGAGTGGGTCGGCCATCGAGTTGGGAGTAACCGTGGCGAACGCTGTTGAGGTCCAAATGGAGCACGTGCTCGACTTTCTTCCCCTCCGCCGGGCGAGGATACAGCGTCGCTGGGTTTACCCGCAGGCGCAGAGCGAAAAGGGCCGAAGCATGTCTATGGATCGCGTTAGGCGGTTGCAATATTGATAGAGCAGCAGATTGTGGGTGTTGGTGGCATGTGTGCATGTGAAGACGGCAGTAAGCTATCGAACCCTTATTCTGTAGTCGCGATAATGCCCCACCATTATGAGAACGTGGTATAGCGGCTTCGTCTTCCTTGAGACGCTGCAGCGTACTTACTAGGAATGATGGCTTAGCGGATGAGCTGTTCACCTCACCCTCGAGGTTCTGCAATCGACAGCTGTCTCAAAGTTGCCCGTTGCGGACTGTGTCCACGTTCTACAGGCGCGGTGTCGGCAAATGAACAGTAGAAGATGGGGGAGAGTGAATAGAAAACCACCGTAATCCACGGGTTTGCTAGTTGCCTCTTTGGGCTATCATTCGAACGTGTTTGAGACGGTATATCGAGTCAGCTGTCGTCCACCTCTGTCGCGAATTCAACACGACGTCATCTATAAGCTGTAACTCAGCTTGACCTCACTGACTGTGATAAAACCCTAGGGTTTTCGATGGCTTTCGAAACTTGCCTGTTTGGGAAGGTGTACAAGGCACCCAATAGGGGCAAGCGCAATCTTTCGACCCCACAAGTCAGCTGGGTGTCCATCTCGATGCAGACCACGCGACACCAGGTCATCATCCTCCATCTAAGCCATGACTGCTGCGTAACTTTCCTGCGCATCTATCCTCGCACGAGATCAACTGGCGGTGTTACCTTGACGATATCGCCTAGTATCGATCATCTGCTGTTCACAATGCACGAACGTCTCCGGAGTACCTAGGTACCTTGACCTAGCTGCTAAATTTATTCTAGGTCGAACTAGCTACATCGTCGCATTTGTGCATCTTACCCAAGTTCGCATCTCTCTGTTCCTGTTACTTTGTCATGAAAACACTATAACTGAACGAGGTCCGTATCCTCTTAGCTGCCTCCAAAGTACATTCCACCTATACGCGCCGTGATCCACACAGCTACAAGCAAGCGTCAGCCCTGGCGAGTACCTTTAGAGGATATTTTATGTTAGGTACAAACTAAAATGGTAGGAGATGTGGAGTTGCACAGGCAGCTGCGAACCTTTTAGCTCGCCTTGGGTGAGACTTCTTGCCGGCATGAGCCTCAGGAGCACCGCGTGACCTCGCACTTTAAGGTACACACGACACATAACCACGTAGATCCTAGCACGAGCTGCAGTCACATCGCCAGTTCAGATGTTCGGAGCTATTCGTCATCCAAACAGATCGCTTATTCCTATCGCTATCATCTACGTCGCATACGATTCAACAAACTCCACATTCTCTCATTATGGCAATTCCTTTCCGGCCCGCGTCACCTGCCGAGGACCTGCCCCCATACTACCAAGATACAGGCAACGACGATATTCAACAATGCTTCCGTAGCTTCGATGCGGACCGGAACTTTGACCTCTTCGACCGGCAAACAAGAGAGCACAGGAGCCGCAATTTCTGTGTCGATTTTGGAGAAGATGCAGGTGATGCCTTTTGCGCTTTCGATCTCAACGCACAGGCGTACAAAAAGCTGCTGGAATCGCCACGGCCGACTGAACTACACACGCGATGGATCAATATCTGGATGCCCTACGACCAGAAAGAGCTGATCCGAACGCTAGCCTCTCACTTCGACTTCACGCCACGACTGCTGGGCATGATGACAAGCGATCCCATGCCACCACGAAACAACCCGTCATTGCACATGAAGAAGAGCTCTTCCACACTGAGATCGGTGTTCTCCCACAAATCACACACATCGAATCTGTCCAATTCGATCAGGGAAAAGGCGAAGCAGGCGAATGAACAAGCTTTAGACTCAGAGTCCAGTATCGGTCTAACCGAGATGATGCAATCTACACAGCTAGAGCTGGTTCGGGATCTTAGTCACTACCAGCTGGTAGATGATGTCTGGCATTGGAGCACTGTGGATCAGGGTCGGAGATGTAAGTTGCTCTTTACTTGCCTGGAGAGATGGGCCTTGAATTAAAGAGCTCTGCTGACAGTAACACAGACATTTGCATAGGCTACAACTCGCTACACAACGTTCGCAGCAAAGAAACCAACACCCGCCCTGCGATCTCGGATAGAACCCGAGACATGCCCCACGGCAAACGTGTATGGAATTGGCTTCTTTTATGCGAGGATAAAACCGTCATCTCAATCTCCGAAGACCCATTCCCGTTTGCTAACGGCGCATTAAACAAAGAAGACCTGAAAGTACTCTTCACAACACGTCGCAATCTTGTGAACGTCTTCAGGCAACTTACGAAAGCGCCGACGCCGCTAAGGGAGGCAGCACTCACTCAACTACCCATCCGTCAACGCCTCGGCAGTAGCGATGAGGAAACCGCCCACCGTCCCACGGATGCCCCGGGCCTACTGTTCTACTACCTCTTCGAAGACTGGGGCGCAACCTTCGATCTCATCTCCCGCCGTGAACACGGCTACGCCGCCGAGCTCGACCGACTCCGACAAGAAATGCTTCAAACAGCCAACCTCACCCACGTCGACCAACTCCACCACATCGGCTGCCAACTCGCCGTGCTAAAACGCGTCTACCAAAGCTACGAATTGATCATCGAACGTGTCCTTAAGAAGCAAGAAGCCACATTAGCGTCACTTAAAAACTCGCACATCCTCTCCGGCAACGCCTCACTCATCTCCTCCCACCCAATAATAAACGACTCGCCCGGTCCACTCGTCCCCGAAGCCGACAGCCTCCTCGGCGTAGCTCTCAGTTCCGCCGCACGCGTCCGTTTCGAACGCCTAAAAGACCGCATCCAGCTCTACGCCCTCTCCGAAATAGCCGAATGTCTCGACCAAAAAGAATCCCTCGTAATGATGAACTTCAACCTCATCGCCATCAAAGAATCCTTCTCCGTCGAGCGCCTCACCTGGGTTACTTTACTACTGGCTAAGATCACTATCCTATTCACGCCTGTGACGCTGATGACGGGTTACTTTAGCATTCAGTTCAAGGGGCTGGAGTTTGAGATGCAGAGCTATTGGCAGGCGTTTGGCATTACCTTTGGGTTGAGTGCGGCGTTGTTGGTGCTTTTTAGTTGGGTTAGTGGCACTTTTGAGGGGAAGATTATTACGAGGAGTTGGACTAGGGCGGTTTATGATGTGGGGAGGAGGTGGGTTGTTGGGAGGAGGAAGAGGGGGAAGATGCTTTGAGGGCGGGTTGAATGGGGTGATGGATGGTGGGTGGTGGATTTATGGGCTGTTAGATCCACGGGATGGAAACGAACTGGACACTCGTGTGCCCAAGAAGTCATGAAATGAATACTTCAAGGTACTCATCGTGCCTCGCATCACCAGGCTCCTCTAGTAGAGCAATTTTGCAAGCTTTAGTCTCATGGGCGGTTGCTGCTACTAACCGTGACCTACTTTAGCGTACAACAAACTCGCTGGTCACGAGTCGTCCTTCCGGCCATAGAGAAGAAGTCATCGGCGAAATATCCTCCATACACAATAGTCCACTGCATCAATGACATCAACTCAATACGAGGCCATCATGTGGGAAAACGAAATGAAGAAAAAGATCATATCTCATGCACGCGCTGTGTTCGCCGACCAAGTCCGTCCTAGCACCGCCGTCGACGTCGTCACTAGTACGAATGATATTATGAAGAAGGGTCAGGAGTACACAAGCTATATCTTGCATGTCATCGCTCTCGACGAATCATCTGTCCAAGACCAGTACAAGGTTCTGATGTCTACGAAGCAGAGGTCTACCGAGGCGGAAGGGCTGGATCTACTCGTGAGGGGACTACAGGGCAGGCTTTCTAAGATGATAGGCGATTTTGAGGATGTGTAGAGAGTATGATGCTGCCGCCGTGGGAATTGATGTATTGCCTGGACCGCCGATGCGGGAGAGTGAAGTGTAGGACATGTGCTCGGTATATTATGTATTACACCTTCAAATATCTTTGCAGATGAACAAGGACTATTTTTTTTCCCTACGACCCTCGCTGTGAGACGTTACTAGATAATGATCGTACATGCTAGAAACTTACATCGATACCGGTGGGTTGCTTGTTACTCACATCATTAGACAAGCACTATTCACAAACAGTAATGTATATATATATCGTGGCTTATTCTCTCGAAACTCTTGATATCATAGCTGCAACCGCTGTACTTCACTCTTATCGACACTTCCTAACACATACCGCCGTCCCTCCACTGAAACATACTAGCATGTCCATGTCCAAGTATGACACCATCTTGTGGGAGAAGGAAATGAAGAAGCAAATCACATGTGTGTGCCCCCAGCCCCCAACTCCCAGTCATTCCATACCCTATATGTCAATGAATGCTGATAACGCCGTCCTGCCTCAAAGCTCACGCCCGCGCCCTCTTCGGCGCCTACCCCTACGGCTCAGACTTTGATATCATCCATACATATTCCAGAGACGAACAAGACAAAGAAATGCCTTACAATATCCACTTGATTGTATATAAGCGGCCGCACAAAAGCGAAGAGTGGGAACGAGCTCATTCGGTTGACGGTAACGTTGATGTCGCGCAGGGATTGAGTCGTCTCTTGGAGTCAATGAGAGTGGGACTGGGTTGGAAGCTCGATAAGCCGAGAAGTAAGCCACCGGCTTCGGACCGGAATGATGACGTTGACAACGCTCCAAAGGGCAGCTGGAGGGAAGGTGTGGATGATGATGGCCGAAGAGAGAAGAGACGTCGTAGTCGCAGATGAATGTTCGATTGCGAGTGGTGCAATGACTCTTTGCTCTTACACTACCGCGGCTTGACGACGGCATTGTTGTTGGATTTTCGAGTGTTTGTTACTGCCAAATGTGGACTAGCTGAGTATGAGCGAGGAGGTGAAGGTTAATCCAAAGTAGCACTTTGCACAGTAACTAGATAGGAAACTTTTCGCCCAACCTTTTACCCTGCGCTTTTACTACATCTAATACGAGCAATTATCAGCGATGGCTTAGTCTGCGCCCACAGAGGCCAAGCCCATGAACAAGTACGAGACCATCATGTGGGAGAAGGAGATGAAGGAACAGATCTGTAGTATGCGCCCTATTTCTACTCGTCTATCCATTCTAAAAGGCTGACCCAATCAGCTCACGTCCGTGTCATCTTCTCAAAAGAGCTAACCCCGAGCTCCCCCCTCGACATCGTCAACGCTAAGGAATCCGGTTGTCAAGTGGCACTCATCTTCAAGCACTGCGTGGAGATTTCTCTATTCGACTCAGTCGAAGGTGTCTTTTGCAAAGAGCTTGGAGGTCATGCTGGAGGGTCTACGTGGCGATTTGAGCCCCATCTCAGGTAAGTTTTTGGTACACACGCTATCAGAGATCTTGGGTATATGGCGCTAACTGTGTGGTGACATAGGATTTGACGCCCAGAAGGTATACGAGAAGACGTCTGCTGCGACCCAGGATCCCGACCCTTCCCAGGCTCATCTTCCAAGCTTGTGGCACCCGAACCCTGGGTATCGCTTTTTAAACATTTGATTTACCTTGCTACCAACTTCTCATCTCCTAAGGAAGGCACTTATTGAGAGAACATTGTAGGGGGGAGATCAAAAGGCGCCTCAGATTAGTGTGTCGAGTGTAGCGAGCCTACAATCTCAGTGGCACATGAAGACTCAAGGGTACGAAGTAGTGCTGCTTAAACTACTAGATAGCTTCAATGCACCTCAACCGAGAATACCATCTCACAAACCACGTAATCTCATGTCCTTCCAAATCCCTTTCACACCTCCTCAACTACAGCAAATCATCCTCATCGACCTTCTCCCCCCTCCTCCCCGCAAGCCAAACCCTCCCACTTTCATACGCCCCTAGATACAACCCCGCCCCAATAAATGTCCAAACACCCCTCAACGCACCGCCTCTCCACAACCCCTTAAACCCCTTCTCCTCTACAATCTCCTTGCCCACCGCCCAACTACTCTTCCTGCCTTTCGACTGTGAAGACGAGGATCTGAGAGGGTTGAGAGTATCCGCCGCGTCCTTCGCCACGTTCTTAACCGTGTCCTTCGAGCTCCCAGCCGACTTCCCTAGCGCGTCAACTAGTCCATTCTTACTTTGCCCACCGCCGTCCTTTCTGGGAGCAGGATCACTCTCAGCAGCAGCAAGCATAACCCTCGTCTTGACAACATCAATCGGCGTCGTAATCACCGCACTGACCGCCCCCGCACTCCCTGCACTCACCGCCGTTATCCAGCCCATCTCGAATATACCCCCCCTCGTCAACCCCTTCTCATCCCTATACTTCTTGATCCCCTCTTTCAGCCGCTCAAACATCGGGAACTGCATCGCTGTAAACGGTAGGTTGCGGCCTGCGAGTGCTGTGTAGCCGCGCCAGAGGGCGAGGGGGTTGGACCGGAACTTTTGGAGGGTTTGTAAAGTAGCGTTTTGAGATTGAGAAGTTGAGGACACCATCTGTGCATTTTGCTTTATGACTTCTGCGGGAGTGAGGATGGCGCAGGAAACTAGTTCTGCCAGAGAGGATGCAGAGGCGTGGACGAAGGCTATAGGTAGAATAGCCTCATTTCTCGTATTGGTATTCAGACGTGTGAAGAGAGATTTTGTGTGTTCGTAGGTTGTGAAGAATGCTCCTGCTGTAGGGATTGTTAGTAGGTATACTTGTCTATCTCCATATTGCCTCTTCTGGGTCTTTTGCATCTCTCATCTATATCTCTATATTCTCCTCCTCCCTCTTTTCTCTGGCTTCCTCTCAAGTGATGACGCGATGGATGAGACATCTCACGAATTGTGTTGGGATTACTTACAGCTAGGCAACGTAGCAATGATCACACTCCCAATCCCCTGATACACACCACGGAACAACTTGGGATCCACCTTACCCGTCCGCGTATCCGTGTAAAGTTTTGCATATTCCGGGCTTTGAATGCGCGTCTTTATTGTGTCGAGAGGGTAGACGAGGAGATCAACTGTGAAGGCTGCTATGGCACCGGCCTTTTCTCATGCCAACGTTAGTCGGTTTTCTTGAGTTTCTTCGTTCTAAATAAGCTGTAGATGATGCGTTTGTTTGGTTCCATCTCTTTCCCATTCTCTATTACTCGCTTCAGAGGAGTCCCGAAATCCGTCGCATATACACGGATACCAAATGCCAACGTCCAAGCCTCTCAGAATCCCACAAAAGGAAAACAAGAAAACTCACAATCAAAATATCAGAACTGGTATTCCCTGCCATTGCAAAGAAAAAAAAGGACACGTCAAGCTGCCTGTCGACGCAAACAATGAAGATCAGTTGTTTTCGCCAGGATAATTTTGGTCGCCTCGTAATCGATCTTCAGGTACATACAGGGTCTGATAAAACCACATGCATTACGTCACCGATGATCCGCCGACACGACTTTGCAGCTAACGGCATACACGACTTCAAGTGCCGGAAACGACGAAGGACATTTACTTGATGATGATTGATAATTGTCTTGATTATTTTGTATAATGTTTTGTCTTGTCTCATCTAGCAATTTCGATTCCTGCCATGTCGTCGCTGCTCAAGCGACAGTACCCCATTTCCGTGCAGCAGCATCCACGATATCAAAGAAGAAGGGGTATATAGTCCTAATCCCACCCAGGAACGAGTTTGTCGTACATCATCCCAAACCTCCATTTCCCCCATTCCCTAAACGCCATAAAAACACTTTTCATAAGCACATATCCATCGTAGATCGAACCTGCGATCATTTCCATTTCCATCATGAAACGCAAAAGAAAAGAAAAGAAGGGATGCTACTACTACAGCTTAGTATCCTGCCTATTGGAGTCACTCAACCTGCGGAAGGGCCCTTGCATCGTGGCACTAGGACCAGGCCTAGCACTACCCGCACGTGTAGCGTTACTCGCGGCGCTCGCACTTGCGCTTGCGGTACCTGGTGTTCTGGAACTGCCGGCAGCGTTGGACCTTTGTTGAAGCGTTGCACTAACTACCCATTGCAGGTGCATGCGCATGTTGCTGATTGCGGCGTTGACGTGCAGCATTTCGTCTTTGGAGCGTTGGCTTTCGTTGATGATCATCATGTTGGTGCGGCCGTCGAGGTCGGTGAGGGCGTTGGAGATGCGGGATACTTCTTCGCGGAGGGAGTCGTGTAGCGTGAGGAGGTGGTGGACTTGGGAGTCGAAAGGAGGTTGGGCGGAGTTGTTGTTGTCATTTCCCCCTGGTGGAACTGGTGGGAACGACGCAGGTGGAAGGCGGAAGTCTGGTGTGGGCGCTTGGGGGTTGGTGTCGTTGGGGTCCAGGGGATCGGTAACAGGGAAGGAGGCGTCGTTTCCATTGGCTGGATACAGGTAGTTTGTGATGTTGGTGAGACCGTCTTCGAGGATGCCGACTTTCCTAGTCAGGGGCTCCATTCGCGCCTCGTTCCTCTCGATGCGGGCTTGCTGTTCGCGGAAGTGGGGCGCCATGGTTGCCATCGCACAGGTCGGTTCGTGGAGTACGACGTCGGCACGCTCGGCCTGGAACTTGCATCCGACGATGGTGCCCTGGCATGATATGACATGTTTGGGGCAGTCGTTGTTGATATGAGGCTTGAGGTCTAGCCGGAGTATCTCAGCCGAACAGAGCGTGCAGGTGGTCAAGCGGTTAGCACAGAGGCTTCGCTGGTGCTCGTCGAGGTCCTTCTTGAGGAGCGAAGCGTGACATTCCTCGCAGCTGACGGTGTAATGCAAGCAGCCCTTGTGAAAGTCCTTTTGCGATATCTGCAAGCGACAGTCCGCGGCAGAGCATTCGACGGGCGTGTATTCGCAGTACAACATGACGTGGTCGTTGACGTTGACGCGTTGGGCGGCCCAGTTGCAGCCTGCCTTGGTGTTCGGGCACCTGACGACAAGCTCATCCAGCATCGTCTCGATAATCTTGGGCACCGGGCGAACGTCACTGTCGCTTTCGACAGCATGCCGGCACGTGGGACATGTCCTCTTATGCTGTGGCGCCCATGCGTGATCGAGACACTCGCGGCAAAAGTAGTGGTCGCAGGAGAGCTGTACGGGCTTATCAAAAGGGGCGTGGCAGATGAGGCAGGTGAGGTTGCTGTCGGGCGTGGAGACGTATTCGAGGTTGGCGAACTCGGGGGGTACTTTGACGATTCGGCTGTGACGGCGCTTCGTTGATGGTGAGTTTGACACGCGGACGGCCAAGGGCGAGGGGCTGCTGGGAGGGCCGCCGACGGGCATTCCACCAGGATGCTCTTCGGCCCAGCCAGTCCGATTGGCGTTGCTAGACGAGCGCGACGAGCGTGAGGACCGGCGGTCGTTCGGGGGTGGGATGGGGCTTGGAGACGACATGCTGGGGGAGTTGGTGTGAAGGGTTGGCGAGAGTTGTCGTGAGGGTTGGCGACTGGTAGACGCTTATCACAACAGAAGCGCGTTCACTCGCGTCGGGGCAGCGACAGTCGGCGGTGAGATGCGCTGTCTCGGGTCTCCTCTTGAGTGTCGATCGAGGTGGCTGCGGGTGGGCGTGTTGGGAGGATGGTCGCCCTGCCAGTCATCCACGGGCTGCAGAGCGCCAGAAGCAAAGACTATATAGGGCGGTCAGGATGGCACATTCTCCCGAAGCAGAAGGGAGCATGCAGTGGCTTGGTGGTTGCGCGACAGAGAGACATGGTGCTGCCCTGGCCGCTCCCCACCAATGATGCCCCAGCCGCCCAGCCACGGCATAGTGGGCCTGTCGTCAGCGGTCCGCTCCTGGAGTGCAGCAGCCTTGCCATCTCCACTCGAGCTTTAGCTGCAACGTCGTGTGTGTCTGTTTCGCGTTGCTGTACATAGTCGCATCCACTCTTAATTATCAAAGTCATTCGCGCTTTCCCTCGCATCGTTCGCGCTTACCATTCACGGCGCATCGCACTCGTCACCTATCTCCACCCTGAAGCCACCCTTCCACCCACCACAGCCATCATGGCAACCAACCCCCCACAGCTCTTCCTCCTCGCCGATCATATCAAACTCTCACTGCTCGAGCGCCAACGCGCCCTCTCCCTCAACCTTCCCTCCAATAGCCAGGATGGTCAGATCTCACGGTCCTTGGAGCAATTGCGCTCCGGCATCGAGTCGCTGGAGTCGCAAGTCCAAGACACCTCAGACGAGTAGGCCACCCGATATCCCTTTATGCAATAAGATTCATTGTACTAATATATCCTTAGATCGATAACATCACAACTCCCCCGCCTACGCACCCAACTCGCAGAACTAACCGCCCAATTCACACCTGCCACCAAATCCAGCACCCCAACACCCACATCACCAACCCTAACCTCCCCCAACAACCCCTCTCTAACCTCCGACTTCGCCGCCGCGCAATCCAAAAAACCCGTGCCCGCGCGCCAAACCTCAAAGTCCGTCCGCTTCTCAGACAATACCGATGAAGAAGACGACCCAAACCGCTCCTCCCTCTTCCCCTACCGGGACGACCCCTCCGATTCCACCCCAGACCAATCGTCCCTCGACAACGAGCAAATCCACCAATACCACAGCCGCGTCATCGCAGACCAAGACAGCCAACTCGACAGTCTCGGCGCATCAATTGGCCGCCAGCGCGAACTCTCTATGCAGATAGGAGATGAGTTAGATGGGCAGGTTATGCTGCTGGATGATGTGGAGGAAGGGGTGGATCGGCATGCGGCGCAGTTCGTGAGAGCGAGGGGACGTTTGGATCGGTTTAGTAGGAAGGCGAGGGAGAATTGGAGTTTGACTGTTATTGTGGTTTTGATTATTATTCTGGTGTTGTTGATTGTTATTACGAAATGAAAGAGGGTGAAAGGATGGGGACGGGCGTAATTTTAGAGATTGAATGGACGGCGTTTTTGGTGGGATGGAGGTATTAGATATTTGATCGAGATACAATACCCCGAGATATGGGTAGTTAAGTCTGACACTGCACTTAGAATGAGACACTCATCCACTTCTTACTTTTGCTCATTGCTACCACAGCTACAGCCACGGCATACACATACTCTCGCCAACACATAGCCACAACCTCAGACCCTCCGTCGTCCCCAACCCGACAATTAGCAACACCAAGCTACGTTTGCCGCAACCACTCACGCCCAAACGCCACGCCATGATGCAAAAAAAGAAAGAATATAGAAAAAGGCTAGAGCACACGCTGATAGTGATGCTTGTAGAGCTCGAAGGGTATCGCTGTATTTTGATATGCAAAGGGACAAGGCCGTTTAATACTTTCTTTAGTCGGCGGCGTAGGAATATGGCAGACGCCATCTTTCCTGTATCTTGGAGACATAACAGTGAAGACTCTGCTGTCTTCACGGTATGCCGATTGCCTTTTTCGATTTGTCGTATACGACATATGTGATCGACACAGCAGGAACGACCTTGAGCAAGTTCGGCGTGAGACCCTTGAACAGCCCTCTAACACCCTCACCCGCGATAGTCTGTCTCGTGACATCCATGATACCTGTGTAGGTCCGTGGATGAAGGACAGTACCTTGACTCTGTAGTCGTGTTCGTAGAAGATTGAGCGGGTAAACGGCACTGGCTCCGAATGCGCCAGAGAAACCGCCAATGGCTGCTGTCATGAAGCCACCTGGCTCGGCGTCTTGTTCGTGGCATCCGAGTCGCTTCGCATTGCGGCGGGCGACGTAGCGTTTGAGGTACTCGAATGTGCCTAGATCGAGGGCTGCGTAGGGGAAGATCCCGACGATGCCCATGGGTAGACCGCGGTAGTATGCGGGTATTCCACCAGCATTCCACATCTTCTTTGCTGTGGCCCAGATCAATCGGTTGCCGTGTAAGCCACCAGAGACGGTCTCGCATTGCATGCGACTGGGTCGGGTTAGCGCGCGTTGGGTCGAAGTCTTGACTATACTTACAACTTCAGGGTATCGATGGGGTAGACGGCGAATTGTGAGACCATGCCTGAGGAACGTCAGCGTTGGTCCGATTACATCATCCTCAAAACTCACCTGCTAGACCACCAGCGACGAATTTCGACCATGAATGTATTATGGCGGGGTCATTATGTCCTTCTATCTTAGCGAAGACGCGTTTCGCAGCCTGCGCGAGTTAGGGGAAGCGGTTGGTTTACTTGACTATACTTGCCTCGTAAGAGCCGAATTTGATGGCCGATTCCGGCATCACTTTCACGACGTTCAAACCGTTTCCTATTGCAAACGTCAACTCCAGTCGGCAGAAAGCATTGACAGATACTCACCAGCGTACAAACTGCGCATACCGCCAGCCTGCCAGAGCTCCTTGGTGGCGGTCGCAAGTGGCCTCCAAGCGTTCATGGCAGCTTTAACGATATTGCCATGCTTGGCGGCGACGACAGCTTCTTCCGCGACATTGGTCTGGGCGATGAGGTAGACTTTCAAACGATCGAGCGGAGCAGTAGAGGTGCGAGAAACAATGCCTGCAACGCCTCCCGCCACGAAATAGCCTGGATTGGGAACACAAGCAATCAGCATGGTTCCTAAGCTCTCTATAAGTCCTGCCCGTATCTCTACGAGAGAAGCGCTGCTCGTCTCGTTTGCAGATCGTGGCGGGAGGGTACCTTGGTAGGCAAGTGTCGAAGTAGATGAAGCCATTGCGAGCGGTGCGCTGGGTTCTGGCGGAAGGGGATTGTAGGGCGGTGTGTGCGCTACAATGAAAAGGGAACCAAAGAAAAAACGAAGAAAACGCTGTGTAGTACCTAGGCCTTGGATTGTGTCGTCACTGATGAGAACGTCGCCTTCTTGGTTTACTTTCATGGTGGCGGAAAAGTACGACATTACGGCGCCGAGGGACGGTGCGCTGACCGGAATGAATAGAAGAAAGTCCCTGGTATCCGTCAGTATGGTTTCGTGAAAGTCACAACGCGACGTCTGCACAGCATCTTGAGATCTTGTCGCAGTTTTAGGCCAAACGACAATGATCTCAGTCTGTCCGCACTTCCACCATGTATGATGCTCATCCAAACTTCACCCGTTGTGACAACCGCAAATTGACTGGATACATACCGCCATTCTTCAAAACTGATGGTGCCATCATTGTTGGTGTCCACTTCTGAAAAGAACTTGTCGAGATTAATGTTGGGGACTGTAAGGCCAGCCGTTCGCAAAGCTGAGCGCAGCTCGTCCTTGGATATCTTGCCGTCGTGGTTGTAGTCGATGGTCTGGAATAGGTGCTGAAGCTCCTTTTCGGTTTCGTGTACGAATTTGCGGAATTCTGGAATCGCGTCAGTATACGTGCAATTGGGTCTAGAAAAACGCACCCACCTTGGTATGTGATCCTTCCATTCCCATCGGTATCTACAGCCTGCATCACCTCGTCCAGGAGCTGGTCCGCATTTTTCAAGGCTACAATGTCATGTTAGCGACCTGAAAGTTTGCGCGCAACATGCTCCCTTACGATGATCCAGCTTCCGCAGACCCTTTTTGAGGCCTGCGAGGTCAAGATGGCCCTGTTTGCGCGTGTCGAGAGTTGCCCATAGTTCGTCCACCCTGGCGTCGGCAACGCTTGCGCTCTGTGTGTCCATTGTCGTCCTGCTATCTCCGGTCTATCATGGCTGAGGGTCGCGACACACACGGGAGGGCGACTATCGACAAGGGGCGAGGTGAATTGCGAGAGGAATGGCTGGCTGGGAGGGACACGGGCTCGTGTAGGCTTCGACGTGGGGTATGAGGTCAGTCTCAAAGCTTGGAGAGGGCGGCTGAAAGAGGCTAGCTCCCCATGCCGCAACACCGAGGGAAGCCACGACAGGAGCCTAACATTCGCTCGCATCTGATTGGACACCGCGTCTGAACCCCGACACTTCCTTCTACGCTCCACATCTCGTGCACTCACTTCATATTGATACATTACCCGATAATGCGTTGAGACGTCCTTTCTTTGTCGCCGTGCACCCGGCTCACACTGGTCCACTGGCGTTGACTCCATACAAAATCACAGCCTGACGAGACCGTGTTCCATACTGAGGCGATATCTGAGAAAGCCATTAATTCGCTTCAAGGGCAGACAGCTCAATACAACAGTCGCTTGAGCGATTCAGTGATTTCGTCTTACGCTACTCCTGCATCACAGCCGCCCGTCATGTCTTCTAGTTACTGGGAGTCAACCCAGCGAAAGTTCTGGACTTTTACAAAGCAAGAGCTAGCGCTTGAACGAAAGAGAATGGAAGATGCAGAAAGAAATCTGGTCAACCTATATCCCTTGCCAGATCGAAGGCATCTCAGCATCTACTTTTCGCACCGTACGTAACGTGATGTGGTATGTTGGGTTCTTGCTGACATACCGTAGAATTGTCAAAAATGGCAAGACCGCTGGGAATTCGACAGCAAGCTCTCGCTACTGCTCAAGTATACGTCCGACGATTTTATGCCAAAGTAGAGATCCGAAGGACAAATCCAGCGCTCGTGCTGGCAACAGCATTGTACCTAGCGTGTAAGATGGAGGAATGCCCCCAGCACATTAGAATGGTACTGGCAGAAGCACGACATTGCTGGGGTAAGTCATCCCATACACATACACGAAACGACCCTAACAAGCTCCAGACACATCATTCAACGACGTCTCTAAGATTGGCGAATGCGAATTCACGCTCATCTCCGAGATGAACTCGCAACTAATTCTCCACCACCCATACCGCAGCCTCGCGGAACTGCAGACCCAGTTCCAGCTGACGCAAGAAGAGAATGCTTTAGCATGGTCTATCATCAACGATCACTACCTCACAGATCTCCCTCTCCTTCACGCACCACATGTCATTGCCATCACGGCGATGTTCTTGGCAGTCGTTCTGAAGCCCATCGGCTCACAGGTGAATGCAGCCGGGATGAACAACGCGCTCCAGACGCTGGGAAACGCTCGCGGTGGACAGGGCATGCAGGCGAGGATACAGAAACTCGTCGACTGGCTTGCTGAGAGCAGTGTGGATATCGAGGCTGTGGTTGAGTGCACGCAGGAGTTGATATCATTGTATGAAGTCTGGGAGACGTATACAGATAAGACGTGCAAAGACCAGATTGCGAAGTTTGTCAAGGCAAGGGGTTTGGACAAGTAGATTTTGACTTTGGCTCGAGGGTTTATTATTGTATTAAGCACATTCAACGGCGTTTTGATGTTGGTAGCTCGACGGTACTGTGAGCAGTACATGCACCTTGAATAAATAAGAAGCTGAATACAGGCGGACAGGTATTCACTCCGCAGTCTACAACGTGAGGGACTAGACAGATCTGATTATTCTAACATCGGTGTAGATTTTTGGTTTGTCTACTCATATACGTGGTGCTCCTTGCTTTCTGATGTAATAGGTGACGCGTTTAGCTCTTTTTCGAGTACGCAAACATTCGACCGTTGTGTTTCCGAAGACCTGGTGCCAGACGAAACGGATCCAAGAACATGCAATGCTTGTCAATCACAGCGGCCATGCGCCACCCGCCGCAGCATAGGGCTTCCCCAGGTATCATCACTCCGCTGTGCCACCACGAGCTGCGGCCACCCTGTCGGCGAGCTTATCGCTGTGGTCAGCACTCTAAAGCAGTAAGCAGCCTCACGGTGCGCTTCTCATCGATATAAGTTATGCATCCAACACATGCACTTCGCCTGCTTTCATATAAATTAACACACTCGCGTCGAGTTGCGCATCGCACAGGGTGGAGAGGCGATCAAATGAGCGTGTTTCGAGCTGAAGGTGGTTCTTCATGCGATAAAGCTTGGCCTGTCGCAGGAATGTTTGCGAGTGATGGACGTCACGGCACTTTACTCTGGTCAGGGTCCGCCGAGAAGCTCGCGATGCCCGTCATGGAGTACCCATAACACGACGACATCACACGAAGATGGAGTGACGACAGCCTGCTGCTAAGGCTGTCGATCACTGGACAGGCCGTCGAACGTCCGGGCCGGGCAGAACGAAGACATTGCGCTATTTTGGTCTCAGCTAGTGGCGGCGTCCCATTGGCCAGGGCGCTGTATCCCAGCCGTCGGGACGTCACACGAGATGAAGCCCGGGCGTGTTCGGAAACACTGACGGGTGGAAAACGTCTCGCATGGCCGTCGGCATTTAGACGCTGTTCTCGGAGGTGCAACGGCGTGGACCAGAGGCAGATGTTCGCATGGTGTTGCGCTGGTCAGCAGGTGGTCGTGGTGATGGACAAGGTCTCGCAGCGCGGGCTCAACAAATTCCCATGGGCAGGCGGGTGCTTGAGCTGGCATTCCAGAACATGGGCAGTGCGTCGTAATGGTAGGGATTGGCAGGCGCCGTCGGCAGGGACTCGGCGGCCACGAGCGAATCCTGGCATGGGCTCAACCACGGTGTCAAGCTGCTGCTGGCCGTCGCAGGCACAGGTGCGTTAGCGTTCCAGCGCGCAGCCCTCGAGGCCGCTGTTCAGAAGGCTTCGGGACTTCCACTTGCGATGCGGCCGCCTTTGCCGACGAGGGGACAGACGGTGGTGGCTCGGATGGCCAGCCTGCATTCCCCTGGCGACGGCGGTAGAGGAGCGGAAGAAGCGGTCAGGGCGCAGAAGACGGTGGGTGGTCACTTGCCAGCCAGCTCACAGCCTCGCTGGGCTGGCAGCTCCTAGCGTCATGTGTCGCATAAGGGCTGTTTGACGATGCGCCGCCGCCCGGGGATTTACTTTTGCGCGCATCCTCATCTGAAGTTTATCGATCAGGTGGCCTAGGAGTGCGCGATAGGCCTGGCCGACTATTGAACCAAGCTGTCTTGATGCTGGAGGGATGAAGGCGATGGCTCGGGAGGCGATCCGTCTGCGCACACCTGGCGGCGCCTTTGACCTCGCAGCGCAGAAGCGTGCAGAGAGCGCTAACGGCTAATCCCTGCGACGCTAGAGCGCTTCGAGTCCAAGGGGGCGCGAGGGTGGCGAACTAGCAGGCACCAGAGCCAATCAGGTGGGCTTCGCACTAAAATCGAGGCACTCGGACACCACACATCTCGTTTGACCCAGCCTGTTCATCTCCAGCCCTTTCGCTCTTCCTGCTCCTCGCACTTCTGCACCGCATCTCTCACCACATCTTCTCAGCCTCACATCGCAATACCCGTAGTTAATAACTAAAACCACTCGCATCTCACTCGCACACCTCAGCTGCACCTTGCACCCTCGCCAGCCGCCCCTTTCCGAGCTATACCCCTTTGTTTCGCCTTTGTTGTGGTCGCGCTGCCTGGCTTACAACACAACCCCTCCCCGCCCAACAACAGTCATCCCAACCAACACCACCACAAATCACCACCGCCGCCATGTCGCAATTCTTCAACTATGGTGCCCAGCAGCACCACCCCCAGCACCTCAACGCTCACACGCACAACCACCACGGCGGCCGATCGCGGAGGGCGCCCCGGATCTCGGCCCAGCAGCACAACAAGCAGTTCCGCCAAGTCCGCACCCCCAAGGAGTTCAACGTCGAGCCCCCCACCCTCATCGCATACAAGCGCGATTTCGAGGCCGCCCGCTCATTCGACATCGAGGACGACGAGATGTTCTGCCCCTTCCACCTGCTCACGGAGGATGATGTAAGTCGCCAATATTTGCCACCCGCCCATGTCGTCGACTCCGCCTGAACAGGCGCTGACACTCGATGAACAGTTGCAATCCATCCACTCGTCCGGCTCAGACCGCTCGTCGCTGTCGAGTGGTTCGCCCGAACAGTCGCCGCTCCAGCACCAGCTGCAGCCCACCCCCTCGTTTGTCCTGTCCTCGGCTCCCAACCCGTACACCCCTGTCGGATTCCAACAGAACAACTCGCAAACCAAGCTGCACCAGCCGCTAGCCCAGCGCACACGCAATGCCATCCCCATCGTTGACCCCTCGACACGCGCTGTTGCCAGCCCACCTCCCTCTGTTTCCCCCAACCGACAGATGCAGCAACAGTTCATGTCGCGACGCTGGTAAAGTCTTGCAGGCACGCGACCGAGCGTCTTTATTCGGTCAACATTGCGGCGTCTGTGTTGCTAGGCTAGTGGCTACCTGGATCTAATCCTCTTCTTCTCGATATCCACCGGAGCATCACAACCTCATACTACCGGCTCTCCCTGTATAAATCTACGATATCTTCTTCGACATCTTGGGTATACCACTTGAACGGGGCAACGGCGTTGCAATTATAGCGAAAAACACATCATTTCCGGATAGAGCGCTTTGGTCCTTGCTTTACAAGCGCTAACGCATTAACGGCGGTTTGCACATAACGGTGTTTCTGGGTCTCGCATTTCTGGCCATTCCTATTGGAAAAACTTGTTGGTTACAGAACGGTGTTTCTGTATCTTTGGTGCCCGGCGCGTCTCTACGACGTTGCCATTACAAAGGGTAGATTTCCTATGTGCGGTTGGCTTCTCTCTCTCTCGGGTTTCAAGCGGTCGGTATATACCATTTGTTGGGCGCCTATCTTGCGAAAGCGACGGTGTCTGAGCGTACATGTTGTAGGAGTCATCAATCGGGGTGTTGTCTTTGGGTTCCTCTTCGCATTGTCACAAACACTACTCTTGTTTGGTAGTAGTTGTTTGTTGTACTACGACGCTGGGATGATTCTACGCAGTCATTGGCGCTGGAGTCGCTTTTCCGTCGGTGTCCTCTCTTCTCCATCTCCCTATCTTTTTGTCTTGTTTTTGCCATTTTCCACTGTACGAGGATTTATACGACGACACCCCCCCAAAGGAGTAGGCGTGGGTTGTGTGGTTTGCGATTGATCTTTCTTTCTTGGATGTCCTTTTCCTTACTCGCTATCATGCGATACTCTCTCCTTAGATGAGAGCTCTGTTCTCTCTCTTACCTTATATCTACACGCCTCGATGCTCTTTGGAGTTGTCGGGGGCAGTGACATATCCTAGGAATGGAATATACGCAATCTTTGTTCAAATCATCATATCCACTACGATCTTGCACATTGTGTGAAGTATTGACCAGAGATAAAACAAATATTTGCGAACTTACTATCAGTATGGTACCGAGCATTCTCGTATGGTACCGAGCTGGATAACTCGAGACAGATCGTTATCTAACCCCGCACGCCAACACCACGCCGCGCCCCCCGTTCAAACTTGCTCAGCTCAGCTTCCCAGGGACCATTCAGGTACTAGGCACCTTGCCCCGGACTTCCGACTCGATGCTAGTCTGTGTCCGATCTGACTAAGATCACTGGATGCAGGCTAGTTCAAGGAGGAAGCTATGCCGACCTATAGCCCCCTCTTGGTAACCAATCTGCAGCTTCCCCAGTGGCAGGTGGCGTGAGTTGGCAGGCCACTTTGGTGATGGGTAGAAACCTTAGATAAAGGTGCCTAGGGAAGTTGTCACGAGGAAGCGGGTTGACCGGTGGGTTTAGTCGCTTAGTTTGGTAGTTTGTCTGGGTGGCGCGATGGGTGTGGTGGATTGGTGTGTTATTCTAGATTTGATGCTAACTGGTTAGTGCGCCGCTGCCCTGAGGTGGTTTGCGGCACGTGGTTGGGTTAGCTTGGGGGGTGGTGTGGTAGGAGGGGGATTGAGTGTATTGATTTGTTGTTTGTTTTTGTTGATGGTATTGGCGTTTGAGCTGGGCTGGAATGTAGGAGGAGGCATGGGGAAGGATAGTTTGGTGGGTAGATGGTCAGGCAGTAAACTGTATACTTGGAAAAGAAGGCGTGGAAGAGAATAGGAGTGAAGCCCAGGTAAGGCAAGAGGTTCGAGATATGAAGCTTTTGCTGTGGTTTGCTGGTGACGCGGCTTCTCGGAGACCAGTAGTTTGTATAGTGGCTTAAATTAAGTTTGTCAAGATGTAAGTATGCGTTGAAGGTGCGAAAAGTTTGGGTTTGTTAGGACAAAGAGTGTGCCGAATTCATGTATGTTTTGACAATGCCGAAGAGTTGACTGCGCAGATTGGTTCAATAAACGTAGTTGGGATAGATCTTATATGTATACTTATATACGTATGATGCGGGCATTCTTCATCAGGACAGGCGTACAGGACGAGACTACTTGTTACACGCGATGCATTGTCTGGTCAGCCGCAGCTAGTTAACTGCGAATTCTCCATGGTATTATCATGCAGCCTGTGTTCCTTACATTCACCTCAACAAGCATTAGGCGACAAGGGACGTCTCCTAGCAATCGGATTTCTACATCACAATCATCCACATCATGTTAGAGAATGGTATCACTATGGCCACTCCACACGAACATGACGGAATAAAGACGCGACCGCTCGAAAAGCTTCGTTGTGCTTAGCAATTACTCTATTCTTCGTTCTCTCGGACAAAGTCGCTTTGGACATAGCTTGCCCTGTCTTGTTAGCGTACTAGCTCTGCTTGGGCAGACATCAGAAAATGCTTGCACTAGCATGTACGTCAGTCATCAGTATCACGATGCCAGATTTCATTCCGGTTAATGTCGCTCTTTCTCGATCCTTTTACACTGACGTGTGGTATATGATGCTGAGGGTCAAGACGGTGGCATGGGTGGGTGCTCGTGGCTGGATATTAATCATCCGAGTGAAGATGCGGTATCAACAACCAATGGAACCAGGGGCCTATCTAAGACGAGCAGTAAGTGCTCCGTAGATGGCATATCACATCCAACCTGAACAGGAAACCCCCAAGCGGGTTCTCTCGCCTAAGAGTGCAAGGTGCTGCAAATCTAGGCCGGCGAACACGTCGAATTAGGACAAACTCATAGTATGCATGCAAGCTTTTCTGACGTATATACAGAAGTAGCGTCATCGACGTCTGCATTCCTGGACCTGGTACATAAGAAGTCACGGGGATGGCTTCCTGGTAAGACCTACCTCGTACCGTACGTTATCTAGGACCGACCTCACGATGTTTCCAAATGCTACCGGCGCCAGTTCGCTCACATCCCGCTCACCGTCTACACTATCGTCCACGATAATCGCACACACTCCTCCCCCTACGCAGCATGACCAAACGCCCAGCAGCGGGGACGGAGGACAAAATGCATCGCGAGATGAGAAAAACAAGGAGACCGACCTAGAGAGTGCAGCGCACACTGTAGAAAAGATATCCCTCTTCCAAGAGATCATGTTCGTCACAACCGTGTGCACTTCACAACTGTATACCCGTAATCCGCACCTTTCCTGCTCACAACAAAGAACCGTTGCTCCCCAGACACATCTTTTCTAACACCAACACAGAGGCTGGTATCGGCCAAACCATATCCATCATTCACGTCATCGGCGATAGCTTTGGTGTTACGAATCAGCTTGAGCTACCCTGGCTCATCGCAGGCTTCAGTCTGACTGTCGGCACTTTCATCCTCTTTTCCGGTCGGCTGGGTGATATCTACGGCTACAAGCGTATGCTTATCATCGGTTTCGCGTGGTATGCGCTGTGGTCTGCTGTCTCCGGATTCGCGGTATGGTCGAATAAGGTGTTGTTCATCTTCGCCCGCGTGCTGGCTGGCATAGGACCGGCCATCTGTTTGCCGAATGCACTTGCCATCTTGGGTGCTTCATACCAGCCTGGTCGGCGAAAGTCGATGGTCTTTGCCATATTTGCAGCAACGGCTCCGGGGGGTGTTGTGGGTGGTGCGTGTTTTGCTGGCATTTTCGACTTGGCGTGGTGGCCGTGGACGTTCTGGTCTTTTGCGTAAGTCGGGTGTGATACATACGTAGACGGACTAGCTAACGGTGCTGGCAGTATCGCCATTCTTTGCTCTATTGGTCTTACCATGGTATTTGTACCCAGTCCTCCGCCTAAGCTGGCCGACAGAGTGGGTCAGTCCATCAAAGATCATCTTTTGGAGCTCGATGTCGCCGGAGCGACTACTGGCATACTCGGTCTCATCCTGTTCAACTTCGCATGGAACCAGGCGGCCATCAGCGGCTGGGACTCACCAGAATGCATAGTCACACTGGTTTTTGGGATTGGCTCTATGGCACTCTTCTTCTGGGTCGAGATAAATTGGGCACCATCGCCACTGATTCCCTTCGAAGTGCTCGGCATGGAGAACGTGTTCATCATTCTGGCCATGTTCGGAGGGTGGGCCAGCTTTGGTATATGGTTCTTCTATACCTGGCAGTTTGTCCTGGAGATACGGGGCACCCCTCCGCTGCTGGCGGTGGCTTACTTCTCGCCGTGTGTCGTCTCGGGTGCGATGGCTTCGATATCGACAGGGCTGCTGATGCATCGGCTGGGACCCTCGATCATCATGATACTGGCAATGATGGCATTTCTTGTCGGCAACTTTCTTATCGCTTTCTGGCCCACGGAACAAATCTACTGGGGTCAGCTGTTTGTCGCTATGCTCATCATGCCTTGGGGCATGGACATGAGTTTCCCGGCAGCAACGCTCGTGTTGTCGAACGCGCTTCCCGCCGAGCAACAAGGCGTGGCTGCAAGTCTCATCAACACTGTAGTTAACTACAGCATCTCGCTTGGTCTGGGGTTTGCCAGCACAGTCGAAGTCAACGTCAATCACAGCGGTGCTGATGTGGAATTGGGGTATCGAGGTGCAATGTACACAGCCATTGGGTTTGCGGGTCTTGGTTTGTGCATCTCCATCGCCGCTTTGGTATACGAGTGGTACAAGACGGGCAAGCAGATATTGGGAACTGCGACACCATGGCCGAGACCGGGAGCTGAGGTGTAGCCGATACTTTGTTTTGAGCCAGGTGGCATCTGAGCAGCTGACCACAAGATCCAGATGGCTACTGGTACGTTATGCTGAAAATTGGGTGGGCGGCATATTCACAAGAGCCTCTGCAGATCTAGGCCTCAGCTAGCCGTCGCAAGGGCATGACTAATGAGGCTCCGTCGAGTGGCTGACAGGAATCGGCCAATGTTCGTAATGGTGATTGCCGGCTGGGGAAAGTATGACGTCGTGTGCTGGAGCTAGTCACGTCTACTAACCGAGGAACGTGTGTTTTCTCCAGCATACCAACCTTTCCTTCTGAACTGTCCATCTGCCAAGTTTGCAAGCTCTTTCCATACTACTCAAATACTTCATCGACTCAATTGACCTTCCTTCCTCCTGTCAAACTACACGAACACAACGAAACACATCCGGAGTTAGAAGCCCCGAGCTATACCGCCGAAACCCCGCAAACTTCCCTCCACATAAACACCCCCGAAACCAGTCATGTCCGCTATCCGTGCCTTCGCGACCCGTCGCGCTCCCTTTGCCTTTGCTCAGCGTGCCGCTTTCTCCCAGTCAATAGCCCGCACCGCTGGCAAGGAGTCGGCTCTCCGTACGTCCGCCCGCCCAAACTCGGCTTAGCAACCAGCACAGCAGACCTGAATGCGTGCCAATGCTATGTTGAGAGAAGGAATTGAGCTGACATAGTGCACAGACTCCGAGAACCGCGCCGAGGAGATCGAGAAGAAGAAGCAGGAGCAGCTCAACAAGAAGAAGGACGGCAAGCAACACTGGGAGGAGCAGCTTGCCAGTGACAGCGAGAGCGCTGTAAGTTGCATCACCCTCTTCAGGAAGATGGAAGGACAGAAACGTGAGGGCATTGGCTAACAGAGAGTATAGGTCAAGGCGGATCGTTCCGAGACCGGCAAGGACACCAAGGAGCAGATCAAGGAGCTGCAGGAGGAGACCAAGAAGGTCGGCCAGTAAATATGATGCATACGACATACGAGCTCAAGATATAAGACCTCCTTGCGAGCTACAAAAGTACGCCGGGCGCCAGATCACCCTGGCTCATACTGAGAAGGGAGCGGCGGAAGGGAAAATGGGATCATAGCATGATGAGCTATCTGCAGTACCCAATTGATACGATTAATTCAGTCACACTTCACGAATTACCTCTTGCTCTACGAATACCACGTTTTCTCCAGATTATGTTGCTTTTCTCCACAATAGCTGACCTCCTGTCACAGACTACCTTGCAGCGACAAGCCCCACAGTAATGCCAACTGCGACCCACCGTGTTCCTCCAGACGCGTAACACAACACATGAAAGCCGGATACTATCAACGGCACCACATCAGCGCGTCATGTCGTCACCAGCCACCAAGGAATCAAAGGTGCACTATGATCCATTGGACATCGCATCTAGAGTGCAACTAATCTACCAATTTTACGACGTCCTGGGACCACTTTAAACCCTACACAACCTCCCACTATCAAGATCATACTCCCACCCCTCGGTCCCCACCCCCGAAAGCACAAACAAACTCCCACTCGGATCATACTTCCTCTTCACCTCCACTAACCTCTCATACCCCTCCCCGTAAAACACCTCCTGGAACCCGTTCACATACGGATTCGCTTCATTCATATACGCTCCCGAACTCGGCGCCCACTCCTCCCACATCGGCTCTTTCACAGCGTTGTGCCATTCGGCGCCGATGCTCAACGCGCGCTTCGCAGAGCCCGCGGCACGCGAATCGATGGTAGCGCCTGTGGCGATGAAATGCAGATATGCGGTGCGCCAGCTGGGGTGTAAGGCGCCCCAGTGCTGAGATGGGGTGGAGTGCACGCCGGGCCCGCCTGAGAGGCCGATGGTGGCGTAGTTTCCGGGGTTGGTGTTGTTTTGACTTGCCATGGCGGTTTTTAGGTAGGAGATCATCTTGGTGTGAGGTGTGAAGACTAGTTCGGCGCGGCCGAGGAGCCGGGAAGAGGTGAGGGATTCGCCGCCTGCGACGTTGTCGCCAGATATGGTGGTGAAAAAGGAGGGGTAGTTGGGGTGGGTTGATGTTGAGAGTGTGGTTGTGACTAGCGAGGTGTTTGTGCTGGTGGTGTTGGTGTTCGATGCTAACAATTCTGTTAAGATGGGTTGAACGAGCGCCTCGACAGCAGCGGGCGTGGTGTTGAAAGCCCAGAAGACTTGGTTGAGTCCAATACCCGTGAACGGACCGTTTGAAATATCGATATCAGGGAAGAATTTCGGTGCCGTACTTCCTACTGCAACGGTTGCGGCGCCTGCGAGTCCAGCGTCCATGAGATCGGGTAGTGCACTGAGCCAACTGGCTACTGCCGACCATGACGCTTCCATACTGGCGTTTGTACTACCTTTCGGCTTGATCTGTACACTTGCCATGACGACGTTGCGCGGAGCTGGGTAGTGCTTGATCACGTACTCGGTTACAACGCCATATTGTCCTGCACCACCACCGCGCAGTGCCCAGAAGAGATCTTGATTCTGGACTTCGTTGGCGACAAGCACATGTCCGGTGGTAGTTACCACGGTCATCTGGAGTACCTGGCTTGATGCCAAACCGTAGGTCGAAGCCAACGGGCCATGACCACCGCCTTGGATGTAACCACCCAAACCCACACTGGGGTCCTGGCCTGTTGTCACGACCCGACCTTGGCTTGTTGCGAAAGAGAGGACGTTGCCCCATTGCTGGCCGCTGCCGACAATGAAAACATCTTCGGCTGGGGAAGAGCTGTTGGAGATACGCCAGGCTGTGTCGCGAGTCAAGTTGCGGAAGTTACGGGTCCAGATTGAGAGGGAGAAAGCGCCGCTTGACCTGTGAGAGTGTTATCAGCTTCATGTCCTCCACGTGTTCAAGAAAACAGATACGTACCGTCCATTAAGATCATGACCCGTCCCCTTAACCACAATCCTTATATTCCTCTCAGCAGCCCACTTCATCGCAAAAGCCACATCAACCTCCTCCGTCGAATTAACAATATACTGCGGCAATCCACCTATCGTACACCCTTGCTTCTCTGAATAGCTCCCCACTTCATCCGGTAAACAAGAGTTATTCGCGTAAAGCTGGTAGTCAATTGATTCAGGCTGCTGAGAGTGCCAGGTTCCGTTTGACCAGTTATCGTTGACTTCTTGACACGGTAGAGGGGAGGTGAAGGTGGTATTGGTGGAGGGCCAGCATGATGATGCGACCGGTACGGTGCGGATTAGAGATCCGTTGATTGTGTTGTTTAGCGACGACCATTCTGAGAGCGTAGGCCATGATGCGTCGGAGGGGGTTGTGCGACAGAATGGTGCAAGTGGTGTTGATGCTGCGCTTGCGAGAGCAGGAGCGAAGAGGGTGAGGTATCGCAACATGATGAAAATGAAGCGACGAAAGGAACGAACAAGTATTTGATGAGATGACTCGAAATCCGTACGGTGTCGACATATTTATACGTCGTTGAGATTTGTTCAACTCTCGTTTACTCGTGTTACCTCTCTTTCTCGTATTCTCTCTCTTCTCGTATTCGCGGCTCTTACGCACTTCGCCACAGTGGGTTTACCAAAGCGCGTCGCGAAAGCCGCATCTTCGACTCAGTGTTTTCTTGTGATGCCCTCCCATTTTTCGAGATATTTGAGAGAAAAGTTGAACACCCTAGAGCCTACTTTAACGTCAGATCATCTACTTTGCACATTTGCGCCGTGCTGGGGTTTGGGTGGTAAACGACCCCATTAATGAGATATTCGCCCTTATCATTGATGCCAGAGATGAGATCGAAGACGGAGCCGGTAGGGTAATGGTGACTGTAGATCGCGCGAATGTGGGCTTTCTGTTGCGTTAGTCATGTGATTGTGAAGGGAACAGCCTTTCTACATACAGATGATGGTAGCTTTGAGCGCTTCTTCTTCCTGTGCTGGGTTACGCATGCTTACTGTTAACAATAGAGACTCCAGGCTGAGTGTAGTGTAGACGCAGAAAGCAGGAGGTACAAGACGAATCCTAGATACTTGTGCGCTGAGAGCAGAGTTTGTATCCGCACCTTTGCATTTGCTATGGTCCGATGACGCGCTTGCAATCAAGCAGAACAGGCGCGAACTTGTTAGAATTGAGACGGAGGATTGTGATTCCTCTTATGCTACATACACACCCCCTCCCAAGCACCCCAAGCACCCCTACTCTCCACCCCCATCCATCGCATCCCCATTCTCTTCTGCAGCCGCCTTCGCAGCCTGCGCCATCTTCCACTTCTGCGCATTCGCCATAAGCTTCGCCAACTTCGCCGCGCTCTCGTCGTCCGCCGGGAAAACATAATCGACATACTCCTCGAAGCTGTCGTCGTCCAACTTTCTCCTCTTCTTGACCTTGCGGGGCATTTGTTTCTCGATCTTGTCCTTGTCCTCCGCTGTTCCATGAACATCTTCGAACGCTTTCCACGCAGAGAGGAGTGCCACGCGGTCTTCTTTAAGATCCTTCTCCTTGAGTCTGGTATGCGCTCGGGTGAAGACTTCGCGAGCGCGGGATTTGGCGAGCTCGCTGATTGTTTCGTCGTCTTCGGGGGTGGTTTCGTCGGGTACGCCAAGTTCGAATTGCGCGTAGGAGAGCCATACTTTGACGTGGTCTGTCTTTTCGAGGAGGCGCTCATATAATGCGCGTGTGCGGCCGTATTCGCCTTCTTCCTCTTCGAAGTCGATGTATGCTTTCCATAGAACTTCCGGCATGTCCATCTCTTGAGTGTCAACAGCGATTTCAAAAATGCTTCGCGCACGGTCAAGGTCGTCGAGACCACGCTCAAGGTTGGCGAAGTTGATCCATGTGTGGCAGTTCGAGCCGTTCCACTCGATGTACTTGGTGTAAAGCTGCCGACAACGGTTGAACTCAAACAGCTTCATCTCCAGTTCAATGTAGCCCTTGAAGAGCTTGTCCTTAGGACACATGCCCAGACTTTGACCCAGTAGCTTACGTGCAGCGGTGAGCTCACCCTGTCGCACCAAGAAGTGAGCAAAAGCCAACCATACTTTGGCGAATGTGAAGCGCTTGTGTGGCAGCAAACGTATGCACTCTTGGTATATTTGACGCGTTCGCTCAACGTCGTGCGAAACTGTCTCCTCCCATACTGCGTAGAACAGCCAAAGATATATGTAGCGTCTCCAGTGGCGCTTCTCCTGTGTGGGTGGTATCTGGGCGATTGCTCGCTCGTATATGTCTCGGACTCGGTCGGGGTTGCCAGACGTTTCTTCCAGTCGGGCAAAATCAATCCAGCTGTCGTAGTTCTTGGGGTTCTCCTTGATTTGCTCCTCGTAGTGTACACGTCGTTTGGACAGGATTACGTCCTCGATACCATCCCGGTCTCCGTATTGCTTCTCGAAGGTTGTGAAGGCTTTGTGTAGGTTGACCGATTTCGATCGTGGCATACGATCCAGAGCGAACTTGTAAATGGCTCGGGCACGTTCCAGCTCTTTCAGTCTCGCTTCAAACTTCGCGTATGCCATGAAAAGCTTCTCGTCCATGAACTCATCTCCAAGTGTAGTGACGGCGGTTCCATAGACATCGCGCACGAGGTCGCTGGTGCCATTCTCCTCCTCAAACTTGGCCCATTTGATCCAGTTCTTGGGTTCCGGATGAACGACCGTAAAGCGCTCGAAGATTGCCCGGCATCTCTCAAATTCGCCGTGTCTCTTCTCCAACTTGATGTATGAGCTCCATGCCGCCTCCTCAGGCTCCCACTGCATCCAGCGTTCGAAGACTGAGCGGGCACCGTCGATGTTGCCGAGCGTCTCCTCCATATAGACATACTTGTACCATAGCTTGTCGACTCGCGGAAGAATGGTAACGGCGCGGTCGAGAAGGTTACGGGCATGCTGGACATTGCGGTGCTTCATCTCACTCTCAATGTATCGCAACCATAACGGGACGGAGGTTGAGTCCACATCGAGAGCTCGTTCGAAGATGCTTCGAGCACGTCGAAATTCCTTCTGCTCCAGCTCCCAGGAAGCATAGCGCATCCAGTTGTTCATGTTGATACGGTTCCGCCGCACATAGTCCTCGAACTCCTTCCTCTTCCTCCCCTGAAACTCGTGCAGCTCCTCAATATCGGCAAAGCGCTGGGTTGGCGCCTTGAGCTTCTCATCTTGACGGTCGACGGCTTCCCTCAACAATTGTTCGGCAGAGATCTGGACAGCCGCCGCGGCCTTGTTCTTGACCCGCGGGGGTCCTCGTGAGGCCTCCATATTGGCGTTCGAATATGGCGATCGAGGGTATTATATGGGAGGTAATGGTATGCGCGCGATGGTGAGATCGGAGGAGGCGCACGTCGGTCGTAAAGGCTGTCGCGCCTTGCTCGTGTGGTAGTAAGAGAGCTCAAAAGGTTGGTCCGGATCGCTCCAACCGCCGAACACGTGATCGCGGATGCCTACGCAGTACGACTACGGTACAATAGCTTGGCGATAGCAATTGTCGTATGTGTGTCGTCGTTCTGCGATGCGACAAGATTATTCTGTAACGTGAGAACGCGACTGCCTTAGCGCAACTTTTATCCGCTGCACGCCAAGCGATTAGCACTTTCACGTCACTGCCGTCGCAACTTCTCTCTCCCCACGACACTCACCCGCGCGCATTCACAACTCGACCGGCGGCCATCCCAGGCAATAGGTACGTAGTATACTGCACGATCCCGAACTCAACACTCAACCGATATCCACTAGGAGGGTAACCTCTGGCCGCCGTCGCGACTTCCTCGATACCCTCGACTGCTATTGCCTGGTAGCGACGCTCAACCGCACATACTCCGAATACCTCTAGACTACACCTTATCATGGCGACACTCGAGCAAGAGCTCCTGGCGGACTTCGCAGACAGTGGCGATGAGGATGTTCAGGATCTGGAGAATGACTTCGCCGAGGGTTCTGGCGACGACGATGAGATGGTCGACGAGGAGGCGCAATATCGCGAGAAGCACCAGGATAAGGACAAGGATAACAAAGGTCCAGCCGACATTCGATCCGCGCAGCAACTCAAGGCAAACCTGGACCCCGTCCTTAAGCGCATCGAAGAGGCTAAGGACCAGATGGACATAGTCGAGGGTGAATCGTTTGAGGAATCTCCCGAGTACCAACTCCTTACTGAAGCGAACGAGTTCTCTACACAGATAGATGGTGAGACTGCTAGCGTCCACAAGTTCATTCGCGACCATTACTCCGCCTTCTTCCCCCATTTGGAGGATCTGATCAAGAACCCTGTTGTCTACGCCAAAGCATGTCTGGTTATCGGTGGCGGACCTTTATCAAGCATCAAAGACATCAGCCCCAAGTTGAGGCAAATCGAAGGAATGGAACCTGCCCAGGTCATGATTGTCGAGATTGAAGCCACGCGTGTCGAAGGAAGGCTTCTTGAACAAGCAGAACTCGACTTGGTGTCGAACGCCTGCCATCTGCTGCTCGAGCTGCACGCTGCAAAGTCCAAGATTCTGGGTTTCGTCGAATCCCGAACTGAACTGTTTGCGCCCAACCTCACTGCATTAATCGGGAGTTTGACCGCCGCCCATCTCATCTCATACTCGGGCGGTATCGCGAACCTGGCCAAGACCCCCGCTTGCAACATCGCGCCTCTAGGTTCTACCAAAGTCTCTGGGGCTACCGTCGGACTTTCGAACATGGGTCTGAGGCACGAGGGTTACCTGTACCACAGCGACATTATCCAGAACCAAAGGCCAGACCTTAGGAAGCAGGCGCTACGCATTGTGGCTGCTAAGGTCATTCTCGCTGCACGTGTGGACGCCCATTCCAACTCCGGCACTGCCGATATAGGTATGGACCTGAGGAAGGAGTGTGAGCGTCGGTTGGACAAGTTGGTGGAGATGCCGGCAAACCAAAAGGCCGGAGGCAGGGCTCTACCCGTACCAGATGAGAAGCCGTCGCGGAAGAGAGGAGGTAGGAGAGCCCGCAAAGCCAAGGAAGCAACAGCGATGACCGAAATTCGCAAGGCCCAAAACCGGATGACTTTTGGCAAAGAAGAGAAGGAAGTCGGATACGGTGACTCCGTAGCAGGTATGGGCATGATTGGAGCCACAGATACCGGACGACTCCGCGCGCAACAAATTGACCCTAAGACCCGCGCCAAACTCAGCAAGAAGAACCCCGGTTGGGGTACTGATACCACACTCGGCGCAGCTTCCTCCCTCAAAGGCTTTGGTGGAAGCGGCACAGCGACTAGTCTACGTGCGCAGGGCCTACGTACCGGCGGTGTGGGTCTTGGTGGTGCAGGAACGAACTCCATCGCGTTTACACCTGTTCAAGGCCTGGAATTGGTTGACCCCAAGGCGCGCGAGGAAGCCAACCGTAAGAGGAAGGCAGACGAGGATAGATGGTTCAAGGGTGGATCGTTCACGCAGCTCAACGGTAGCTCGAAGGTGGATGCTGGTGGTTTCAAGGTTCCTGCGCTGCCGAACAAGAAGCCCAAGACGGATTCTTAGGTGGCTGGCTGTCATGGTTGTGGAGGGTTGTGGAGGCTAATGTGGTATCTGGTCAGTATATATGGCGTTTTCGTGGCATTGCAGTGGGTTTGAGTGCATTGGGCGGCGTTTTATTGCGGGATACTCTCGATACCTGTACGTTGGGATGTTTCAGGGATTTTCAGATAGTGTAGCTTCAATACGATCACATTCATCAAGTTGTGTCTACATCATGGTTAAATACGATGCTAAAATTATTCTAGTAGCCTACGCCGACGCTCTTCCTTCGCAAGTCATCCAAATCTAAAAGGTACCCTTGCAAATACATACCAACCCACACTCATACTCTAATAAGACGGACTACCCCGTATACTTCCAACCACCGTATCATCGACCCCCGTTTTCCATGCGCACCCATTGTACTCACATTCCACGCCATCGTGTACCACCTGCATATCCATTACCCCCTCTACCTCCTTGAACAACCCAGCAGCCTCCTGAAGCTGACTCAACCAATCCTCCCCTGTCCCTGTCACTTCATCCTGCTTACCCACCCCATACGCATGATTCGCCATGTGCCTTCCGATCTCTCAGGGACGTGCAGACAAGATAGTGGCATTGCAGGTCTCGCAGTAGAAGTCTTGTTGTTGGGAGGGACTTGCAGCACAGGCGGGAGTTGAAGGAGGCGAAGAGGCAAACGAGGCGACGGAGGATGTGAGTGAAGGAGTTGAGGCGAGGTCGGCGACTGACGTGCCGTCGTGGGAGAAGGTTATGGGCGAGACGGATAGGAGAGAGGAGGAGGAAGAGCGTGAGGAAGAGGATGATGGCGAGGGTGATGGCGACGCAGATTCCTCATCCGTGGCATTATCATATACGATAATCTCCTCATCCGTGGCGGAATCGTAGTTTGCCATGCTTTCCTCCTCCTCTTTGACCTTCGCCACATTCTTCAAATGCGCTCGCGCCTTCAAATGGCCACCCCAATTGTTTGAAGTGAAATGGCGATCGCAATTCTTGCAATACCGCTTTAGGCTTTTCACGTAATCTTCTCGAGTCTTCGTGCCCTGTAAAGGAGGAGATTGCTTGTCCCTCGCAGCATTGTCTTGATGCATTCGACCTTTGATGTGGCATGTCCAGTGGGAGGCTAGAAGCGTGCGGTCGCAGTCGGTGCAGTGGCGCTGTGGTCGCCCGAGGGCATCCTTTTTCACGCGCTCTTGTCGCTGGCTAGATGCCTTTTTGACGAATTTGATGTTTGGTCCTTTGCGCTGTAGGCACCCTGCTACCTTATTCCGGTGCATTGTTCCCTGTAAATGCCGTGTGTAGTTTTGAGCGTAGTGGGTCTTGAAGTCGCAGGCTTCGCAGGAGTAACCTTGTAGTCGCCCGGGCACCTGTACGGGGTCCGACATAGGGCTGTCGACACCATCGTAGTCGGCAACCTCCTGCTCGATCTCGCTGACCAGAGGACTGAACTCAGCGCTTTTCGGCGACGTAAGCGCAGAGCTAAGCGGAGTACTGCGCGCAGGACTACTGTAGTCCTCCAACTCCTTCAACATCCTCACCGGGGTTTCCGCAACACTGTCCGTAGTCTTCACAGTCGGTGTGACCTCTATGGCATCCTCATCCAGAACAATAGGGTTGCTCCGTTGATCCAGCGGCTCCTCAACCATCTTCAAGGTTTCGAATTCCGGTATAGCTTCTGTCTTGCCGAGATGAGCAGCTATCCTCATCTGACACCTCGCAGCCCGTCGATTCGCCCGTCTCTGAATCGCCTTGACCCTGCGCATCTCGCTCTTAAGCTGGCGGGCATTCCTAATCGGAGCGTCGTCGTCAGGACTGGCTTCTGATTCGTGTTCGGGGCCGAGGTCAAAGACCCTATCACCTATGTGAAAGATGTCTTGTTTCTTGATTGCGGTGATGGGAACTGGTGCTGGCTTGGGAAGGAGTGCGTCGAGGAGGGCGGACTGTGCCGATAGGCGGTCTGTTATTTTCCACTCTTTTTGTAGAACTGTTGTAAGCATACCAGAGAGTAACGCTAGTGCGGCCTCTTTTTGTTGGTCTAGTGTCGTGGACATGGTGGGAGTTGGGTTGTGGGGAGGTTAGATGGAAAGAGTTTCTGGTGAAGTGCCGGTCGAAGTGAAAGGTGCCAGTATATTAAGAGTGCACTGGATGAAGACCGGGCGAGGATTTGAACAAGTAGAGGGTAGAAGGCGTCCCCTTATTGTGTACGAGTTTTACGATTCTGCTGCGGTGCGTCCCACGGCACCGAAATGGCAGCCTGAAGGTAGAGGCCACGACAACCAAAGTACCATTAAAAAAAGGGACGAATCAATGAATTCATATTGGAAAGATGTGTGCCCGCCAGAACTTACGCGGTCCATTTGGATTAAAGTAGACACTGTAGCTTGTGTCCACCTACCTTGGTTCCTGAGTCTTGCGATGATAGAAAGCATCAGCCCTTTCCATACGCTAGTGTTGCCTCTCAACGCCCTCGCATGCATGACGACCCTTCTTTCCATGACTCTTTGGATGCACCACAAACCATGGTCTTTCATTGCATGTTCAAACTATGGTTGCACATCATATCGTCGCCGCATAGTATTCTCCCATACTTGCAATGTAACTCTCAACCACTCAAAAAAAGTTGTTGCTTGGTTCTTGTACACGTGTTGTGCTGGCAGGTCATACCGATATTGATGAACCGCGGGAGTACTGGAATTTCCCAGTGTCCTGAAGCTACGGGGTTTGTCTGTATTAGACATGACTCTGGTTGACACAATGTTAGGGTTAGTGTGGGAGATGTGCGCGGCCGTCGAGGTTGTGGAATGAACGAGCAACGTGCCGATGACCTATACCGTGAATGTCGCTTGGCCGACGTCTGTGCTGCTGACTATCCCTACTCATGATTCTGGGATACTCCAGGGTAAAGCCGAGTCGGTTCGCGACAGCAAAATTTAGTGTGAACTCAATGGCGTGAACTTATTCAGGGTCTGCAACTTTGGGTAAGAAGCAGCCACCACACGACTCAGCCATTGTTGTAAGATTAGGCATAACAAGACGAAGAGTTGTTGTGCGAAATTCAACTGAACAAGGGAGAAAGTCATCCCTTGCAAAGCCCGATGTATCTCGTATTGCAGCGATGATCAAGACACTTGTCGCTTCAGGCGGTCTGTAGGCGAGAGCGGGGCGGAAGGATGATGCGCAAAGCTCGCTCGGTTGGCGTTCAACTTTGTTCGAGAAGCGTTCGATGCTTTCGTGTGCGGGGGTATCCCTGACCTGGCTTTTCTGCGCACTGCGATAGACGAGATCTTACCATGTCTCAGCGGGCGCCCGCGAAAGACACTCTGCGAACGAGCGACAATCTGCCATGTTCCACAGACTTCTCTGGCGCTGTATTCTTTGGGTTGCATCGAGTGCAGACTTCCCTGCGCGCGCACTTGTAGCGGCCTGTTAGATGCACCTTGTCAGCCCTAGGACCAGGGTCTTTGCTTGTGCAACATTGGACAGGGGATTTACAATGCAGCATCGCTCGTCGCATCGCATGTCGCGTCGCAAAGTCCAACCAGATTGTTTGGCGCGAAGTTTGTTCGGCGACAATGGTGAGGTGTCCAGTAGATATCTCGACACGTGTTGGCGGCCTCCTAGTGCTACCCAGGCGGAAGGACAAGTCTTGCCGGCGATGCACCTCGTACAGGTTGGTCACACTCAGCTCTAGCAGGCAATGGCTTAACCCGATGTACGTTTATTTACCCGCAGATAACCCATGGGTACCGCCAGATGTCTTCAGATACGGCGTTGTGGCTGGCAATGGAAGCCGCCCTTGCGATATGCCCATTGCGGGTAAATAGGCAGGGAGATTGAATTGGACAGGCGGAAGTTGATGTCAGCGCGCGCTTTAGATAGGACGAGGCGCGCCGCTGGCAATCCTGGAAGGGAAACCGGCCCGTAAGACGCAGTCTGGAGATCGAATGCTCGTGTGCTTGATCGTTGGACAGCGCACCATTGCACGATTGTCACATCGGGAGCTACGTCACCCGCAGTGGAAGCAAAGGGTCAAGGCGAGGACGCCGAGGGGCGATTGCGCAGTGAAATAAGGGCGGGCTAAGAATACGCGGCATCAGAGATGTGCAAGCAGGCACAGAACGGTTCGTCGTGACGATGCAAGAGCAAGCCACCGATAGCTAAGCGAGCAGTGAGGGTGCAAGAGGGAGGTGTTCTCGAAGAGATGCCGCACGCGCCGGCTGGACCGGGACCCAGGTACTGCGCAATCAGCCTTAATCAATTTTTCCCAGTCCGGGTCGGATGAGGGCTGAGCGACGCAAACGGTGCAGTGTGGGTGCTGTATGGGAGTCTGCATGGTGTGCATCCAGCGCGTCCCAATAGCACCGAGGCCCAGGCATACCACACAGCGCAGCGGGTGACGGAATGTCGCTGCACGCCGCACGAGGCTCGGCTCACTAAGGTACTTGGGCAATAGAGAGGTGCAGCAGACGGGCGGGACGAAGCTGATTGCAGGAAGAACAGTGTGGCGGGCCCCAGTGCGCAGCGCAGGCAGACACGTGATTGGCCCGATGCAGGCTAGCGGCCCTGGCATGCTCAAGTTCTTTTGGCGCTGGGGAGCGGTCTGCGCCTTTAGCCTTTTGCTGAAGAAATGCCCGATTGCTCTGGCTGCATCGGCCTGCCGCCATCTCGTCGCTAGAATTGCTCCTCTGCCGCCGCTCTGCTCGGCCAGCTCATCGTCGCGCCTCGCTAGCCCGTCGGACAGCAGTACCCTGTTCGCTACCTTCCGCTCAAGCGAGACTCGCTTGTAGGCAGCTTGTAAGTAAAGTCGGTTGATTCCTTCATGCACTGCCACATGCGCCCTCATTACCTGCTAAAGGCGGCTAGCCAGCTGCAGCCCACCACTCCACTCGCTGTCTATTGCTGGGAGGGAGGAGATGAGGGATATCGCGCTCGACGCATTTCTGCGAGCTGCAACTGGCATGCCAGGCCTTTCCATCATCCCTTCATCACCCAGCGTTTTCATTTTATACGTCTTTGACGTTGTTCCTTTTCCAGTTATCCACCCCAGTTATCCTGTATCAATCTATGTAGTGCACGCACAACTACGTGCAGCGCGGCGGCGTCGAACCGAGCGAGGCCAGGCCCCTGTTCCGCGGGTCATAACGCCTTCGCCAACTCAGCTAATCCCAGTTCCTTGCCAGGCTTGCCGTCCCTCTTCCCATCCGCCTCAAGCTTTCTAGCGCTGCCGTGCTCTTCAAGACATCCCCAAAAACTGAAGAGCGCCCCGGTGGCAGACTCCATTGCTAGCCCATGTCGCACGACTTTTCCACCCACATCTCCCAGGCGCCCTACTCGCCGGCCCCTTCGCACTTTTCCCACCAGAGCATGGCCGATCCTAACATGCAGTCGCGCCAGCAGCAGGCCGTCGCCTATCCCTCACCGCACTCGTACCCGTCGCCCTCGATGCAGCCCACGTATACCTACCCGCCGCCTCAAGGCCAGCAGAGCAACGATGGCTACCGCAGCTCTCCCCAGGGCTCCAACATGTCGCTGCCGCCCCTCAATTTGCCGCCAATACGTCTGCAGGACGGCCAGCAGCCCCAGGCGCAACCTCAGCAGCCGCCCCAGCCCATGGGCTCTCCACTCCCACCGCCGCAGCACGGTATGCCGCAGTACTATCCTCACCCAGCGCATGCGCAGCCCGGGCAGCCCATGATGGGCAACATGGGCCCGCAATTCAATGCCATGCGATACCAGCTGCCGCCGCAAAGCGACCAGAGAGTGCTGTCTGGTGGTCGCCACAAGAAGGAGATCAAGCGTCGCACAAAGACTGGCTGTCTGACATGTCGCAAACGGAGAATAAAGGTGAGTGCATACGTCAATGGAACGCGGTGTAGACGCGACGCGATGTCAGAGGAGCTATTGCTTGTCGCTTGCTTAACCGAGCGAGGAACCCAAACTCCTCTAATCCAACCTCTCGCGTGTCAGAAGCGACCGGCTATGCAGCAACACAGTTAGTCAGTGGGCTGCAGCACTTTGCCTCGCAACATCGTTGTCGGGGGCTGCGAACACACGTGTGCTCTGCTTCTGGCAAATTTTCTGCATCGCGCACCAACGTCACTACTCACCTGCACATGCGCTAACCACCACCCCGACAGTGCGACGAAGCCCACCCCATGTGCCGAAACTGCCAGAAGAGCAAACGAGAGTGCCTTGGTTACGACCCGATTTTCAAGCAGCAATCCGGTCCCGCCCAAATACAACCTGCTCCCAACTCCGCGCCTGCACCCCACGCGACAAGCGCACCGGCGCCCGCTCCTTCCTCCTCCAACTACAGTCAAAGTCCGGTGCCTCAAGGCTACGCGCCTGCCTCGTCCGCCGGGTACGCGGCTGCCGCTCCTGCTACGAGCGGCGAACACCAGCAAGGCAACTTCCACGCCATTGACCCTGCACTTGCGCAAGCCGATCCCAACCTGCAGCCACCCCCACATTACAACGGTGTGCACGCCATGGATCCCAACATGAGAGGGCCTCCAGGCGCCAACTACCATCCGCCTCAGCCAGAGCCCATGAAAGGTTGGTATCCTGCTCCCCATCACCATCACAATCCTAACGCAGATTCAGGCAAGCGGTTGAACATTCAAGACATCTTTGGCATCTGCAACCACAGTCCGCCAGAGGTTCCTCAGCGGACCTCGCCGGTACCCCGTGAAATCGACGACGAGTTCACCCGTATCTTCATCAACGACTACTGCCAAGGGCTCGACCTGGTACTTGAGACCAACTGGTTCTCGACGAACAACAATGCTCTCAACAGAGTCTTCAGCGACCGCTCCCTACATGAAGAGGCTGCTTTCTTCACCGAGACCATCAAGTACAAGGCTACCGCCGATACCGATATGACCGGCGTCTTTAGTCAAGAGGCTCGCCTGTTATGGCACTTGTTGAGTACCTGCAAGCACAACCTTCCAACCACCAACGGATCACAGTCGGAAGGCGAAGACTTTGCGATAAGAGAAACTCGTGCGCGCCTCGAAGTTCTGGAAGCTCTCATGACGAATCAGAATCTAGAGTCGAATCCTACACGTCAACTGGCATACCCTCCTACGCTTGATGATGTCAAGAGGTCGCAAGTCGACTTCTGGCAACATCTCGGAGACTTTGTTCAGTTCTCAGGCTCAGAAACTGCCCCGCCCGGAGCAGCCGAAGGCGCTCTTTCAGTACTGCGCAATGTCCTATGCATGCACGAAGTGCGCGATGCCATCTACTCCATTGCGATCGCTCGTCATTACGGTAGCCGCATTGGTGGTTTCCCCAACGCTCTGCCACCTGCGGTCGACCAAGGTCAAGACAGCGACTTGAACAAGCTCTGTGTCGCTATGTCGTTCATCAGTCACGAGAGCCGTTCGGCTACTCAGCAGGTTCTTGCGCGCATCTGCGATATGGCCATGTTCTCGTGGACCGCCTCGCGAATGCCTCCAAGTCATCAACAGGGTGGCTTTCCTCAATGACGACATGCGGACATAGGAGCAGCGTGAGAAGCAATCAAAGCTGCTGTAGCCTTCGGGCCACATTACAAGAATTGGAAAGTCCGCGTTCATCATTTGCATCATCTCAGCGGTGGCGTTTCATCCCACTTTTGCCAATTGCTGGCATTTGCGTTCGTTTATGAAGTCTTATATTCCCAGGGGCCAGAACAAACCTTTCTCATCCCCCAATGCACGTTTTCATGATCTCGTTTACAAAGCATGTATCCCTTACTATTTCCTTTGCAGCAGGCATTCACAAGATATACCCGGTTCGTATTGAGATCGATCGTGTCCTGTTCTTTCTCTTCGACCATAGCAAACCTAGTATACGGGGCTCTGGCTTTAATCTATTTTCGACTTTGTGGAGTCTCATGGCATATGTGAAGACGGGTTTGCAGACTACACTATGATAAAACATGCAAATCGAAAGATGTGGGGTTAATGTAGGCTCCAGAGTGTTTTTTTCCTTACATAAGGTGATCCAAACGTGAAGAGATTATCAACAGCATCAATGATCTTGAATGTACGATGATGCCTGACACCCGCCTCTTGGGGCTGATCGGATCTCTTCAGTGATCTACTAACGATGCTCAGCTACCTAGGTAACACTAAACCAGCGCTAAATCTACTCTCCTCCCATCTCCAATCCCAATCACCCAGATATCTCCGACGCACCGTCCCAGTATGTTCAAGAAAAAAATTGAACATCTGCTAAAAATTGACAACCCAGAAGTCTACATCCCCTCCAACTTCACGCAAACTTTTGTTTTCAGAACCATGTAGCCTGCACGCACCTCTGCATTTCCTTCCTTCCTTCCACAAGCCAATCCCCTCTTCCCCCAGTTTGCCCAGCCGTCCCCAAAAATTCAGCCCCAGCTAGCTTTGTCCTCGTTCACCTTTGCACAACGCAGATGACGCAACGCGACAACGTCTCCGTACGACATTGCACGAAGCGGAGAAAGTGCCGGTGGCGGAAATTAGCTTCCCTTTACGATTGCCGGGAAGGATGTGGTGAGTAGCTTGATGGGGGAGGTGGAGCCGGGTTGCATGCGTGCACGGCAGGAGTAAGGAGAGGGAGTGGAGTGGGCGGAGATGAGGTGGGGACAGAGAGAAGGAGAAGGGGCGTGACGTGATATCTCAGTTGGTACTCACTGTAGTGAGGGATTGAGGGGATATTTGGGAAGTTAGCACATGGGCAGAGTAAGATTTTCTCATCTCCAATGCCTTCCTAACCTATTCCTTCCAGTCCAACCTCAGACCTCTTCCAAACACCTACCAACCCAATCTCCCCTTTCCCCAAAGTCACTCTTACCACCTAACCCAACATCACGGAACAAGCGTACATCAGAGCGCAACCGCCCCCGTACCACCCCCAAGCCCACCGCTTTGTGTCTTCCCATTTCCCCTCCCTGACAAGATCCAACACAAACTACCCTCTAAGCGAACCACTCGGAATGACCGCCGTTCTCGCATCACAATGACACAAGACGTACACAAACCCCCTCTTCCCTTCGGAGAATATCCACTCCCTCGGGAAACCCAGCTGCCACACATGCTGTACAGCTCTCTGTGACCACCCACCTACCCAGCCCCATAAGCCGTTGTGTAAGGAAGGCACGGATAGGTGAATAGGTGATGGCGGGTAGGCCGACGGATAGGTAGCAAGCTTGCTGGGTTTAGATTTGTGGATGTATAGGTTGGAGACGAATGCGCATATGCCTTTTGTCTTTGACTTTGCTGACACTTCGATGGTGGAGGAAAGAGAATGCTTGTGCCAAATCTAGTCTGAGTACGAAGCTGAACCACGTGGCGCAGAGTGCAAGATTGGCTACTCAGCATCTCCACACATGCCACTCTGAAGACCACACATCCTCTGCCAAACAGCACTCATCTACTCAACCCCCCACAAACCACTCTACCACTGTTCACCATCCCCCAGCACCCTATGCAACAACACTCTAGCAAACTTCCCCTCCCCAGGACTCCTCGTACACCACCCAACCCGGTTCCCCCTCCGACTATCCCTCCAACCCCCCGCATCCCCCACAACCTCCTCATCCAAACTGCTCTCTCCCTCCGTAATCGGTCTACCTCTCCGATCCACAATCGTGCACCCCCTCGTCCACTGCCCGCTCGTCTCAACCCTGACATCTTCCTCTTTGAACTTCCATAAGGGGTTGCTGGGACAGAGCGCATACCATATAGTTAGCGGGTCGTGGAGTTGGAGTCCGGCTTTTGTGGTGTCTTGTTGAGGGTTCAAGGCGGCGTTTTTTGCGAAGGTGGCGGAGAGGAAGAGGGCGGTCCATTCGGAGAGGGGAGAGCCTTTGATGGGTTTTAGGTTGATGTAGTCTTCGTACATTGCCTTGGGCAATACATGTAACTCCGTGGTGTCGAGCGGGAAGAGTTTGATGGTTAGTCTTTTGCTCAACGATTTTGGGTAGGGCGGTAGTTGGTTCTTCTTCTGTGGGTTTGACAATGCGGGCGGCATGGTTAGGTGCGGGTTGGCGGATGTGAGGGCGAAGACGCGCGCGCTGGCTACGGAGTCGGCGTAGGTGTTGAATTCGGCGCCGGGTGTCATCTGGTTGCACAGGTTTAGTGAGTGGCGGAGGGGGGTGTTGGGTTGTTTTATTAGGTTGAAGGGAGGGACGGGGATGGAGAGGATGTGCGGGTTGTAGATTAGATGGAGGGGTGGGGGTGGACGACGCTGTGGGTGGCTTTTCAGAGCTGCGTAGAGCTGGATGGGAAGTGGAGAAAGGTAAGGTTATTAGCTGGGAATGGTGGACACTTACGTTTCCGGGCGCGTCGATGGCACCGCCCATGACGACGACTTCCTTGACTTTCAAGAATGTCTCAGGATCTTGAGCAGCAGCGAGAGCAAGATTTGTCAGTGGTCCAACTGCCACAATGGTAACCGTATCGGGCTCGTTCTCCTTCAACAGGTCGAGCATGACTTCGTGTGCTGGCTTTAGCGATGGCGTGAAGAGCGAATGTTTCTCCTTGACTTTTTGCAGCGCCGCAGTTTCTTCAGCCGACATGTTCTTCGGCTGAGGTGTGAAGAGCGATTTCCACGTCTCTTCTGGTGAGAGGTGTGGGTGCTGGATCATGTCAGTTTCAACTTGTTCAGGTCTTGGTAATTACGCGTTCTTACGCTGTGATGGATACCTCCCAGCCCATCAATTCCATCTACACCATGTCAGCCATTCACTCTTCCCATTCAATTCATTGCAAGATCCATCGACTTACGGAAGAAGTCCGCGACCATCATATGTTCCGCCAATGGCTCCTCAGCACCAACAGCAACTATCACACATGTTAGCACAAACTACCCTCCACCACCATGACCTTGTATCAAAGACTCACCAATAGGTTTCCTCGCACTTAATGTCTCAAACCCCTCTGGCCTGCTATTCTCCTTCCGCCACGCCCTCTCTTTCTCAATGTAGTGGAACAGGGTGACGACATTTCGTAGACAACTGTTATTTCGTCAGTCAATCTGTCACCTCTCTCGAACTCCAATCATAACACAACTCTCCTCATACACAAACGAAAGGTGAAAACGGAAGTAAGAAATGAGATGGGATAATCAAACATACTTCTTAACCTCGACATTCCCAAACGTCAAACTCAACATCAAAATATCCAACTCCTCGCTCTTGGCCGAAAAGGCCAGTAGCATAGCCAGGATATCATCGACGCCCTATCATCAGAATTTCTTTGTTAGTAACAATTCCAATCACCACTTATCCCCGTTCTCATTGACATCCCCATTCCTGCGCTATCCCCCCCCCCCCCCCCACCGCCTTTACTACCCCGCACTTTCAAGTCTCAAGTTCCTGTAGAATAACTTACAGGGTCCGTATCGATGATAATCTTATTCGGCGCCATAATTACGATATATTCAGATGAGATGGTAGGGTGGAATTGGTGGTGTAGATGAAATGGCCGTTTGTCGTTTGCTGATATGCGAATCTACAAAGGTACGTATGGATCATGTACGATTAGATAACTAGTGGCGCGCCTCGCGCCTAGAATGTCCCACATATATACCCTACCCACACTGCATACATACACCAAACCGCGCATGGCAGGTGTGTGGCATGCCGCATACGCGGAGTTCACCGACACAAGACTCCCGAGGTCCACTTTCACTTGTGGGTCCGCCGGAACCCGTGTTGTGTTCACATCGAAAAGGCGAAGTGGGAATTGGGGGATGTGCATTTGCGATATATGTAAAAGAAAAGACGCATCTCCCCTTTAGAACGTGCGATTCATAACCCAAATCGCATCATCACTCGAAGAAGAAACAAACGCCGGATTCGTCCATAATTCTTCATACGTTTGCCACTCCCAGATACCTGGCACAAGGACACATCCTGATGCAAGGTTGACGGTTGGAAAATCTGCCGCTTTTGAAGCCCAACATCCTTTCTTTCCCAACGCCCAATTGCTGTCTTGTCTGGTCCGGTCTGGTCTTGAAAGTGGGATTGCCCAAGCCGCCATCATCTCTCGCTTTTCCCACCACGTTCGTTTTTTTCCAATTGATATCATATATGCGTTTATATATCGAATATAAGGCGACCGTTTCGTTCAAAAAAGCCGAAACACGTGTCGTGATGCGTGAACATGTCCGAGTCTAATAGACCTTCTTCTTCTCGTCGACGGAAAATTGGCCGGGGCCCATGTTGACCAGCAAGAGGAGACCGCCACTGGACAATTGTTAGCAATGCGCTAGTGGAGACCGGAAAGAAGGTACTTACACAATGGACAGGATTTGGAAGAAGTCGTACTTCGCAAAGTCCTTGTGGGGGTGGTGAGGGTGCAGTTTCCACCAGTTGTTAACGTAGAGGTTGAAGACGCTGAGAATAAGCACCAGCATGACAGCCGAGAACTTGGCCTTGAAGCCCACAACCACCATGACGCAAGCCACGAGTCCCAAAAGACTAGCGATGATTCTCCAGAAGCCCCAGTCGCCGCGGAACACGAATCCAACAAAGAGGAAGATGAGCAGGACGCGTCCAGCGAGCTGGAAGTACATCTTCTTGTCCTTTTCGTCGAGCTGGGGAAGACCGGCCGGGGCAAACTTCTTGCGCACCCACGAGTCGGAGAGCACCATGAGCAGACCGCCCATGACGGACAGGTTGCGCAGGAAGAAGTTGAGGTCAAAGACAAGGCCGTAGCCAATGCCCTGCAGGACCACGACGGTCATGAGTCCCGCAACGCTGTACTCGGAGTACTTTCGGAAAATGACGCCGAAGGAGCAGATGGTCATGAGGACGATGTTGGTAATGAGGAACATGTGCGTGACGCCGTTCCAGACTGCAAACAGAGAGAGACCGTGTTAGCCAATGTTCACGCGCTGCTGCGAGAGGGGTAGTGGGGACGTACTGTGGCGGTAGTCGTGGAGGTACGTGAGCTGGTCGGTCCATTGTGTGACAATGCGCAGGGCATCTTCGAGGAAAGTAACGACGATGAGGAAGCGGCCGATGCCAGGGAGGTATCTACGGGGCGAATTAGCCGGAGTCGCAAGCGGGCAGCGCCGTGGCACCGTTTCCGGTGCACAGAGAGCAGGACTCACGGCTTGATGGGGTCGAAGACAGTGTCCAGCAGGTCCTCGAGCTTGCTCGTCTGGGCCCGCAGTTGGTCGAGCGGACTGGGGTCATTCGTGCTGTTGTCGTTGCGCCCCGAGTTGCCAAAGGGGCTCTGGTTGCCCAAATGGTAGCCAGCTGTGCCGCGTATCTGCGCCATGGCTGGTTGTGTAGTAGAGGAGAAGAGAGGGTGGGCGGCGGCTGTTGTAGAAGTGATTGGGTTGCGCTGCTCCGAACAGGTGTCCTTCACGCGATTGACCTTCGGAACGTCAGATTATGTCAGCGGGCTAACCCTTTGCGCGTTACTTTTCAATGTTGAGTCTCACTACTTTGTTCTGTTGCAGGCTAGTAAATTGCAGGGTGGATTGCTAGCTGGCAGTTGCGCGTGATGGCTGTGAATATATTGTATGCACGAGATATTGCGCCGTGTGGGCTGTTCCCAGGGTTGCTGCGGCGTTGGTTCCTCGGTTCGCGCAACCTACTAGAGTACTACTTAGAGGCCAGATTTCTGCTTCTCGACTCTTACTATGGCGTCAGGAGTAGGAGTCGGTACGAAATACCTCCGGACCAATCTTGACTAGCTGATTCACGACTTGGCACGGGCACTTTCAACACGGTGGATCACGGTTGTATTTATAGCTTTCACCAACAAAGGCGCACGGCTGTAGTACAGACACGAGCTTGGGAGGTTTTGTATGAGGAGCTGCAATTCAACAACTACTTTTCTACCCTGGCGCCTCTACAATCATTATTCCAGCGTCGGGTACTGCGATTGATGTTTAAATGTGGTATTGAAGTGTACAGGACGCGAATGCAAGGAGTTTTTGCAATAAGATCAGATGCAACCCCATACGCCGATGCTTCCATGGCCTGGATAGCAAAGCAGTGGAAGGAACCCATCCGATGATCCAGCCATACCCATGCTTACAAGGACAATTCCACCGTCGTATTGAGCTATGCCCGTCCGTCATGCCAAATATGATGCTATCGTGATGAAGGTTGAGAATGGTCAGATCAACGCCTGAAGATCTCACGTGCACCAACAGTCATCAATATGATAGAAATCGAAAGGTGTGTCGTCGTCCAGGGTACGTAAATGTACCCGAGGTCCTGAGACCAGCTGTTGGCTGAGTCATGTTTGCCAACTTCACATGACGGCCCAGTCATCGGCATCGTCGCCAGTCTTGGGGTTGAACTCTTCGGCAAGGATCTGGTAGCGAGAGCTGGGGTTCTTGTTCTCCTTGATGGCTTCAGTTGGTCGAACTGGCTTGGCGGACTGTTGTGGCTTCGTGGTGGTGGTGACTTCGCTGAGCTCTTCAGCGAGCTCCTCGTTCACGGTCTTGCGCTTGGGTTTGCCGCCTTTGGGGACGGTGGTCCAGGCAGAGTCCTCCATGGCAAGCCTCATCTGCTCTTCCTCTGAGGGCAGGGTGTTGAGAGGGGCAGAGGTCTTCGCAGCGCCATTGGTAGGGGCGGCGGTCTTGGTAGCGGTTTGGGCGGGAGCCTCGAAGGTGTCGAGAAGCTGACCAGACGAAGCAGCCTTGGGAGGCTGGACAGCGCCGCGAGAGGGCACCTCTGTCCAGGGGTTGGAGGCTGGGGGCTTGCTTTGTCCGAGACCGTTCTTGGCCGGCTCACCGCGAGCCTCACGGGCGACACGACGCTGCTTCTCCTCGAGAGCCTTGCGCGCCTTCTCCTCTTCCTCGCGCGCGGCCTTGGCTTCCTCGACCTTCTTCCTGTTCTGGCGCTGCTTCTTGGACTCGGTCGCAACCTCGGCCTTTTGTGTCTGAGCCTTGACTGACTTGGCTGGCTTCTCGGAGGGCTTGATGCTCATGACAGCAGGCGAGGCGGCGCGCTCACCGAGCATGTCGGAGACGTCCTTGCCGCTCGGGGCCTTGTTGGTGTAGGCGGCGGGGGGCTCGACGGCGCTGTCGTCGGCAGCCTGCTTGGGTGCGGCTTGTGAGATGGTAGCGGCGGCCTTGTTGCCGACATCCTGAACGGCCGTCTTGACCGACTTGCGAGGGGCCTTGGGCTTTGCAGCCTTCTGTGCCTTGGGCTTCTTCTCCGGGGCGTCCCAACCGACCGCGTCCTTGAGCGAGTTGGTCGTCGACTTGCCCGTGGTTGAGCGTCCTCGGGTATCCGCCGTGTTGCCCTGGTGCATGTAGTACCAGTAGGCGGCGCCTCCAATGGCCAGGAACACGACCCAGCTCATCCACGGCTCCATGATGCAAGACGTGTGGTATGCAACGCTTCGAGGGTGCGGTGGTGACTACTGCAAGACGTCCAATGTCAACACGGTACAATGGGGCAATGGATTGTGGTGGCAGGCAGGTGAGGGAGCAGACGGCCAGGGCAGTAGGATGACAGAGTATAGGGAGAGGGAGCAAGGAGCAGGAGCCAAAAGGGGCTTACAGGTAATTGATTTTGTCTTAGCCCGGGCGTCGTAACGTGTGAAATTGACGCGTCGCACCGGCTGCTCTGCTCAACGGTTTCGATGGCGTTGCGAGAAGAGGCCAGGTAGAGGTCTTGATCCGCTTCGGGAGCTACTCAACCGTCGAGTGCAACCGCCGAATCGCCCACTTGACACGGGCGGCGCAGTTTGGGGGGTTGGGTTGGTTCACGTGCTACACTTTCACATCGACTCGGCGTCGAGGCTAACAATGTAGGGCGGGAAACGGGGAATTGCTGGAGGTGGCAGAGTGAAGGCGCTCCATGTGGTAGTGAGCTTAGGAGTGCTCCCCCGTTCTGGATGCCACTAAGCAGGGGTCGACGGAGACGCTGCAGCGGGTGAGTGCGTCACAGCAAGGCGGATGATGATATTTCTTATATACGCCGAGTGACTTCTATTTAATCTTCCTCTTCAACTATGCCGCCTCACACGCCTGTCTTGCCCATCATCATTCAATGGCTCCATCCGCGCCCATGGGCACCTTGGAAAGGACACGAAGCATCAAGTCCAGCGCGCGCGGAGGGCTAACTCCGAGTCCCGAACCCCCGACGGCGGCCTCTAACGTTTTAGGCGGCTGAACACCAAGCCATTCACAAGCCACTCACACATTATTCATCATCTGCCGCTGCGTCATTGGCATCTAGCTGATATTGCACCCTCTCACACAGCTCCATCGACACTCTGTGCCACGCCCTTACTTCATCTAGTACTTGCGCTCGTCTGCTTAGCGCAGCAAGAGCGATGCAATGGGCTGTGAGGAGCAGTGACATGTGAAAGGCTTGGTATCGCCTTGCAGTACTCGACTTCATTCGGGAATAACACAGGGGAATGATAGAGATAACAGAGGTTACTCAAAGGCTATGTTGACATTATTATAGCTCCATCGTGTATATCCAACATTATCCTACAAAGCCATGAAGGCCTTCATACTCATAACTCGTTATTCATGAGCCACCCAAGAACGCCAACCCAGACTCTAGAGGACTTGGCTCGACCGAACCGTATCCCTGAAAGAGGAGAGAAACCATAATGGTCATCCACAGAGTATCTAGCTATCCGTGCCTCAACTACGCCTCTTCGCAGCGGCCCCCTCCCCACTATCCTCACACTTCCTTTTCCTTCCTCCAAGTCCCACCTCACTGTTCAAGCTACAGCTACGACTCATCGGAGGTGTCGCAGGCTTCATTGGGAACAGGACTCCGTTCGGCGACGGCATCCTTGGTGGTTGTCCTCCCGCCGCCGCCGCCGCCGCCGCAAAAGCCTGTTGTTGCCGTTGCTGAGCCAGCAGCGCCGCCTGATTCCTCTGCGCCATCTGCATCTGCCTCGCGATATCGCCCAAGCCCGGTCCAACGATATTCCTATCCCCAATGATTGTCGCGCCACAGTTGACCGTGACATTAATATTACACCAGCGCTTCACGCCTCTAACCTGCGTCGTAGACGTACACTCCCTCTGTGCCGTCGCAGTCGTCTGCGTCGTTGGACTCTCTGGTGTAGGAGGTCTCGCAGCAGCATCATCTTCCCCCATCTTGCTGGTCTCGATAGTCTCGCCGCTGAGTGCAGTGGCGATGAGATTTGCTATCCTTACGCTGTCCATCTGTACCATGGAGATGATGTTTCCGTGACCGCGTATCTGTGTTGCGGCGTTGATTGTGATTTCGGGTGTGTCGTCTGTGGTTTCTTGACTAGGGTCGCAGTCTTCTTCTTGGGGGTCGTAGGGGTTCGTCATGTTGGGGATGGGTAGGGTTGGTTCTACGACATTGTGGTAGGCGGGGGGTGCTGGCATGTCTTCTGTATATGCTTCAGGGCGTGCAGGAAGTCTGTTCGTCGGTATGGACGACGAATTGCTGTGAAGTGTGGATGCTTTTGCGATGTCTACTGCTGTGTTTTTGTGGAATGGGTCCATGGCATATATCAACGGATGTTCTTTTGGCCAAGCAAGAGCTTTCCCGTGTTTTGGAGGACACAGATTGTGGGTATCGTGATCGTGGGGTTGTGGCGTGATGTTGGTGTGACGGGTTAGGCGGCGGTCATGCGAGTTCGGTACCCGTACTGGCAAATGTCGATGGTTAAACGCTTTGCCGGTAGATGTTGCGCGACCACGAGGATGGAAAGGATGATGTAGTAAATCGCTATATGATCGTGATGTGGCGATGCAGTAATGCCGTACATGCCGTTTGTCAGCCGGTGTTGGTATCCTCGACTTGTTTGCACTGTAACTCTGTCCCAAGTCAGCAAAAGCCATCCATCAACAACACCCTCAATACCAAAAAAACTACTCACATTAAACCTCAAATAGCTACTCACAAACCTCACTCCCCGAAGCATACCACCAACCAACCTATATATACACTTCTCACCCGCTGCACTTCAATCCTCCCGCCCCGCCCGCGAGCCTTCAGCCTTATTCATACCTGCCCTCCCACACCTGAAACACCCAACACAATACGCAGCACAATAGGAAGAGTCACCCACATAAACAGTTGCATACACAAACACGCGCCACATACTTGCTGCGCATAATAGCTAGGAGTAGTAAAGTCTAGCCCGTTGCCGGCATTCAACCGCCCTGCATGCCTTGCGTACCGGGCCTTTCCGACATTGATGGATCCATTGTTGCTATTGTGTTCAATAACGGTGGGCTAGGCTGTTTTCGGACGCTGTCTCGATTGTGGTGAGGTAGGAATTAGATGCTTGATTGGATACTTGAGTGGGCGGTACATGAGACGGCGGGTTTGGAGGATTGAGGATTTTATTGAATGGGTAGGGTTCGGCTCTGGATTAGCGAGTGAGTAAAATGGGAGGGAGGATGTGTGTGGATGGGATAAATAGGATGGGTGATGGATGTGGTAAGCGCGCGTGTACAGCCTTGCTGAAGCTGGAATGATGATAGCATTAACGATTCGCTGATTTAAGATACTTGAATAGAGTATTTGGTTGGTCGATAGGTGCCTACGTATCGTCGCACAAGGATCCATCATCACGTTCTCTATGCACTGTTTGTGCAATGTCGTACGAAACCGGGTAATCTGTGCTGGTCATCTTCCTTCATGATGGCGTGTTCAATAGGACACAATAGCAGGCGAGATAGTGCAGGATTACCACCACCCAACCAACCCATGGATACGTTCTGCACATGAGGTGTCTAGCTGGGGTGTGAGAAGCGTTGAGTACGTGTAATGAGACGTGTGTGTTGGCTCATGCGTTGGATGCCTAGGAGTCATGATGATCGTTGATGCAAGCTGTATGATGACTAAGTACGTGGACGAGAGTTGACGCTTCGGGTGCACAATAGGAAGATGAACTGAGACAATAGGATGGGGTCTTGGAATGGTGACGCATGAACAAGTTCCTCTGCGGTTTCGTGATACGAACGTGAAGCCAGAATCCTTCCCGATAGCTGACTACTTTTGCATCTTGAACAAAAACAGGACCCTACGCATCTGATATTGGAAGTGGTATTTTTACAAAAGCCTCAAGGCTACTGCTTGCGAACTCCTCCGAAAAAGTCACTTCGCTGTATTCCTCGTGATACGATGCCACGATGACTGGACACGCCACCCACGCGCACTCCCACCGCCATCAAGCCACATAACGTGCCCAAATCTGGCGCTCTTTGGCAAGAAGCCTCAATATCATTCTCCAGATCGGCAGAAGAGTTGTGATAGGCTGGATGTGATACGGAAGGACGCGTGGCCAAGGCAACATACAATAAGGCGCCAAGAAAGGAGGAAGAACAATAGGAATGCATATGCACTGCCAGCTAGTAAGTATACACTATCTGTCCTCTGTCGATCGTACGATTCCGTGTGTACAGGCAGGGGGAATGAGGATTGGACAAAACCGGGCTATGCCGCATCTTCGATGGCTGAGCCAGTTTGTTGGAGTCCACTGCCGTACCGTACTGTGCCTGCAAGGCAGACATGTGCCGATGTGTACGAACCAACCCAATGGCAATAGTCCTCCAAGTGGCCTAGATGTCGGAGTCTGAACCCAGCCAATTAGGCGACATTATGCTGCAATCCGCAGGGACAAGAAAGTTACGTTGTTTTACAAGCCTGCTGTCGTGATGAACACGATGTCAAGCCCAAGACGCCACGCTCCATGAAATGCGATAGAACATCAAACACCCACCGTCGGTGTCCAGAAACGGAAAAAAGTGTCGTTCGAATAACTGCGATCCGGGCTGAAACTTTAACACCGATGAAGTAAACCCCTTCCCAAACAGCAGTGAGTCTATCACCGCTGCGGTCGGTATTGTTGGACCTCGTGTTGTGGCCGTTCGTGGTAGAAGAGGTTTTCAGACCAAGGTGGAAGCTTCTTGTCTCGTTCGTAGAGGTAGCCACAGTTGTTGCAGAGAGTACGTGGGCCTTTTGGACCGTCACGAACAGCCCAGACGGCAGTTCCCCAGACCCAGCAGTGTGCGCATCTCCATGTTTGTCGCTCCCTGTTGTTGTTGCTGTCAGTACCAATATCACCATGCACAATGCCAGTATTGTCACATACCCTTCTTGAAGCCCTCCACCCTGCCCGCCATAGCCAGATCCTCCCTCGGCGCTTGGCGTGCCTCTTCCAACCGGGCTCAAACTCCTGAATCGTCTCTTCTTCTTGCTGCGCTCGCCACGACCCATGTTCTCCTGTCCTTCGATGTTGTTGAAGAATTCGTTGGCGGGTTGGCCCGTCATATTTGCGGTCGAGGAGAAACGTGCTGTCTCTCTGCGTAGTCTTCGGATCTGCCTCTCACGGTCGCCTTCACGCTTCTCGATTTCTTCAGGTGATAGGATTTCCACCTTCGGTTCCCATTCGTCGCAAAGATGCTCTTGGTCGTATCTCCAACCTGCACCAATTGTAGGCTCCACCGCATCGTTGTCGATCTCGCCGTCACCCACTAATCCGCCGTTCTCGCAAGCTTCCTTCTTAAGTCGCAGGACTGCTTCGTAGATGCTATGTGTCATGGCATTCACCCACTCTCCCGATAGCCCCAGATCCGCGCACGTAGTCTTAGCAAACATCTCGGCGAAACCTGGTGGATGTAATAGTGACCATTCGAACTTATCGGTGTACAGTCGGTTCATGAGGTTAATGTTGAGCGTAACGATGCACCGGTACGTGTCATCTGGGTTGTGAAGCTCCTCTGACGGCATTGCGGTCGCAGTTGCGCTGATGCCATTTGGAATGCCCGCAGGCGTCTGTGCGCCGTTGGTATGCGATACACCGTTGGTCATAGGGGTCGACGCGCCGTTCGTGGCTGGTACTTGTGGTGTTGAGGTGCCATCACGGGACGATGCAGGCAGAGCGGCCTTTCCGTTGGTTCCTTGGACAGCGGGTGAGTTCGCGGAATGGAATAGAGGGTGCAGCGCAACACCAGCATATTCCTCCAGCTGCTGACGAATCTGATTTGCGACTTGTGAGATTATAAGAGGCTTTCGGTCGTTTGGCAGATCTAGTTCATCGACGAACTGCTTTGCGAATTGATCGGGTGTCGTCAAGGCCTCGTGCAGGTTCCAAAGGAACGAGTCCTTGAGCCTGTATGCGGGAGTGACATCGGGTTGTTTGTACGCGGGTAGGTTCTCGTTGATGCCGAACTCTCGCGCGTTGGAGGGCGTTGGCAGCGGTGCGTCAGGCCGGAAAGCCTGGATGTCCATGTCTATTCGGATCGGTATCAACGTGACAGGCAAGACTGACTGCGTCTGGACTTGCTTCTCCGTGCTACAGTATGTTAGCTTTCTATTGCGAGATGCGTGCCGTGACTGAATCCTGCCACATACAGTGTGCGCTTCGGCCTGCCCATCCAATCTCGCCAGATTCCTTGTATATCGACTGGCGCAGTGAGCTCCTCGCCCAGGGCTGCTATTTGCGCCGTGTGGTCTGCGCTGTTCGGGTCGATCTTCTGTACGCTTCGCAGGCCTGTCGCACGTCGCGGCCGATCGCTATCTTCGAAATCGTCATCGTCGTAGGCATCCTCCGCGTAACTGAGAACAGCAGTTCCGCGTTTTGTCACGCGCGGCGCAGGGAGGGTATTCGAGGGTGGAACAATGGGCGATATCAGCGAGTTTCCGTGGCTTCGCAGTCGCGGCGCATAACTCGACATGAAGGCCTGGGGCGGCGCCGTCTTTCCCGTACTCGTAAACATGGCTGTTGACACGGTCGATGGCTCGTGTAGGAGATGTGAGGAAGTTCAGCAGAGCTCGCGAACACTAAACGCGTCGCGATGTCGACGGGGCCTCTGAAAGCGGCGACAAGGGCACGAGGTCCGTCAGAAGGCCTGTCGATTCGCGATTACCCCTACTCTGCGGCCGATAGGGAAGTATGTTCGAATTGCGACTGCTTTTGCGCGTCCCTGGCTGGTGACGGATGCTTTCGCGGTTGCGGTCCAGCTAACGTTGCCAAGACCCGCTAGTCCACAAGCGTCCCAAGGTTCTCTGGGCTCCACGGGCTCTTTCCTTCGCCCTTCACCTCCCGAGGTCGCCTGCTCACTTCACCATGCATGATAATACCCTTCATATACCACCATACACCATCGATGCACCAATCACTGCGCATTATGAACGTTCCGTTGCAACACAGCGCTTTACGACTCATGAAGACTCTGAATTCATCCACATTCATCAGGTCGCCATTCGCACGTGCCTGAAGTCTTCCAGTCACACGAGCTCTCTGCTCGCTTTCTGGGAGCGGAGTATGGATAGCAAGAGTTGGGAAATCTGAAACGAATTATGCCTTCCTTCCGCCTGGGTAACTGGTGGCGCTTAAATCGTCTCCACCAGGAATTTTCTTGCCGCTGTGCACCCCAGATATTTCTCTACGGATCTAGGGTCTATCATGGCCGGACACCCAATCAAATACACCTAATGAAACAAGCAAGGTAGGAAGTACATGTCTTCGGTGGACCTTTGGTGGGTCATTTATGCTTGCTCAGGCCTTTTCAGTCTTCGTCACAAACTCATGATCACAGCGCCGGCGCCATGATGGCGCGCGCTTATTCGCCGGGAGACGTTGAATACTCACCTTCACCTCCCAACATCAAGTATATAGTCTCCAAGCTTTGTCTCATTGTGAAGCTATTGTACATTGCGTATGACTAAGGCTATTGTATTATGACTATACAACGCCCTCACGATCCTTACCATTGCGACTACTAAAGACTTTCGTTATTCTTCCTACACAACTCGCCACAAACACGAGCACGACAGCCATACCAACTACGCAACTATACGAAACATTCATTTTACTCTTCCAAGAACTACTTGCGTCAAGTCTTTGACAAGACATCTCTCCATTTCAGACATCCGAAACACCATTTCGACTTACAGGTATATTCCTCAGCTGGTCTAGGAAACACCATGTCCTTCAAGTCGACGCTTCTCACCGCGGCAGCCATGCTAGTCATGGCGCCGCTCTCTGCAAACGCGCACATGATTCTCAAAAGCCCCGTGCCATACGGCAATCCCAACAATTCGCCTCTCGACGCTAGCGGTTCCGACTTTCCCTGCAAAGCCGTACCATACACGGTCAACACTATGAATGACTGGAAAGTCGGTTCATCCCAGACTCTTGCATTCACTGGTACGGCCGTCCATGGTGGAGGGTCATGCCAAATAAGCGTCACCACCGACAAAGAGCCTACAAAAGACTCCAAGTGGAAAGTCATCTACTCCATTGAGGGTGGATGCCCTGTCTCTGCAGAAGCCAACCTGGATGAAAAGGGTCCCAGCCTCGATAATACCTTCCAGTTCACTATCCCTCCGGAGCTTCCCAACGGCGTCATGACAACAGCATGGACATGGTTCAACAAGATTGGAAACCGCGAGATGTACATGAACTGTGCGCCGATCACAGTCTCTGGCGGTGCCGACGATACAACCGCATTTGATGCTCTCCCCGACATGGCAGTCGCAAACATTCCAGTCCCACAATCTTGCGGTACGACAAAAGAGAGCAGTGATTTCACGTTCCAAAACCCAGGAAAGTACGTGAAATCTGTCGGGAAAGGCCCTTTCGTGGATCTTTGCACTGGTGCGACTTCACAACCCAACACTGGCGGTGGTGGTAGCGGCAATGTCGACCCTGGCGCTCCAGCCGCCAGCTCTCCCCCCGCTCCAGGAGCCTATCAACCTGTTGCTACGCCTCCATCTGCCGCCAGCCCAGCTCCAGCTAACCCCCCTGCCGCTTCACCAGCTGCTCCATCTGGCAGCATATCCGCCGGCTCACCCAATCCTAAACCTGTTGAATCTACCCTCCGCACACTCGTGACCGTCACAGCGTCAATGCCACCTGTACCGACCAAGACTGACGGCGTCTTCCCACCTGGCCCAGAAGCCGGTACCGGTACCGGTACGGCTCCCGCTGTGGCTCCAGCGCCGCAACCAACCGGCCAGTCTCCAGCATCGCCCGTTGCGCCCCTGGTGCCGACACCGTCCGGTGCACCCGCCTCACCCGCACCCGCAAATCCAGGTTCGGGCAAAGAGGCCTGCTCCTCAGATGACGCTGTCATTTGCTCGTCTGACGGTACGAAGTTCGGTCTCTGCGACCACGGGAAGGTTATTATGATCCCTGTGGCTGAAGGCACAAAGTGTGAAAGCGGAGCCATAGCTAAGCGTGGCGATTACTCTCATCGTAATCAGCGCACCGCTATCTAGTATGAGCCTGGGTCTCCTTTGGATGGTTCGATTGTATATACCCGTGTCAGCTGGTTCTGTTTCGAGTTTGTCCTTTTAGCTTTCTTTACGGGACGATTGTAATCCTTAGCTTCGATCGTTTCCTAACCTCAATTGTTAGCTTCACTGTCGTATAACAGGGAAGCATCCTTTCGCTATTCGCTTAAGCGATTGAAGAGAGATTTCGCATGTAGATTTGTATAACATGTAATAGTCATATTACTATAAAACCAACAACTGTTCCCTTCGCACTCCGATCGTCAAGTTACAATGACTATATCCAGAATTTAGGGTCCACCAACAGCATAAGGAGTAAACTTGTAACAACCACTCGCATCAGCATCACTAGCAATCCTCCAATAAACGCCACAATCATAACTCGTCGTACCCCTCGCAGCCTGGCAAGACAGCGGGCAAGTCCCATCAGCACTATTATACGTAACCTCGCAGACTGTATCCTGTAGTCCACTAGCCGTGTTACCAAAGTAAACATAAGCTTCACTTGCCCCAGCGTTGGGATCTGTTTTGCCGATGGAGCCAGCATCCGGCCCGTTGAGCACTTGTAGCTTGTTGTTGTCGACTGTGGTGAATTGGAGGACGGGGCTCAGGCCGCGCGAATTGCCTACGGTGTTGCCGCCCGCATACCCAATGGGGTTTCCGCTGTTGTCGCCGCCGATGGCGTAGACTGTGAAGGTGGGGATGGCGATGACTTGCGATGTTCCTGTAATGATGGTTGTCCGCTCCGTGACGGTGGAGGTCTCGGTTGCTGTGTTTGTGATGGTGTTTGTGACGGTTGCGGTATCGGTATTGGTTGCGGTTGCGAGGATGGTCAGAGGTACCTGATGGAGGAGGTGTTGATTAGCAGGGGACATGATGACTCGTACGGCTGTTAGAGACTTACTGTAACTGAAGTCGTGATGGTGGTGGGCAGGCTCAAGGTCGTTGTTGTAGTTGTGCTAGAGGTAGGCACAGACAGACATTTGCATGCTGAAGAAAGGGCCTGGCCTTCGATGTAGTTGTTAAAGCATGAAGGCTTCTTCGGGGGGACATAGGCGCCCCGCTTCTGTATAGCGCCCGGGGATGCGCATGCAGTGATTGAAGAGTATGCGACAGTGTTGATGGTTTCTGTTGTTGTTGTCGTTTCGGTAATCGTGGCGGAAGCCGTCACAGTGGCTGTGTTAGTCGCCGTAATCGTGTTGGTTGCATCGGTGGTCGTAATTGACCCCGACGTAATTGTGGCCGTTGCGGTAATGGTCCTAGATGTTGTGAGCAAAATCGTTATGACGGTAGAGATTGACGTGGTGTAAACTTACGCAGTGAAGGAAGTCACCGTGGAAGTCTTCGTAACAACGGGGATCTTGAGGTAGGAAGAACAAAAGCTTGTGGCTTGGGGCTGCTGCTTTGCTACGGTGACAAGACCCCCGACAATGTCGCAGAACAACTGCGCGACGATCTTGCCAGCGACGACCTTGCCAGCAGGCTCAGGAGCTGCATCCCGAGGAATAGAAAGGGCGCCAGTGGGGATAGCGAGGCCCAAGGCAAGTCCAGCTACGTTGTTGAAGCGCATGATGAGAGTGTATAAGTATTGAAAGCTCAATCGATGGAGGAGATGCTGTAAGCTGTGCTCTGGTGAAAGCAATAAGACGCCGTGAAGCAGAGTCTTATATACATCTTGTAAGACAAGAACATTCTCTACTCACCCTCTCGTGTCGCTCTAGAACTCAGTCCCTTCGGCACCTTGAGGTCGGTGGAAGCGACGCTATCGGTATATTGCAGTGGAAAAAATGAGGAGCTGAACTCTAGCTGCACGATCTCGACAGCCACTTTCCTCCTCTTCTTCCTCGTCGAGTTAGAACCCCAAGCCACAAAGGTTTGTTTGTGTCTAGAAACAGGAAGACCTGAGTCGTAGGACGACGGTGAAGAATTGTTCAGCCAGCCTCTGACAACTCTCTAGCTCTGGAGAACATCCTGGTATCGCTGAATCTGGAAGCATATCTGCAGAGCTTCTAGGCGATGTCGGATTCCAGGTCCCGGTGAGTAAGTAAGCCTGGGAATGCTCGACTTGGTAAGACTAGAGGATGTCTACCTTGCCTAGGTAGACATAGCTCAATCCAATCCGGGGAAGGGCGCCTATCTAGAACGCTCGATCTGTCTATGATCACCAAAGAAGCCTGAAAAACCTGGGAACTGGCCTGTGATGTTGCGACTGGATCTTAAACCTTTCGAGCCTGCTGGCGCGGAATGATACTAGCGGCATCGCTTCGCCTGGCGCGGCCTGAGAACTTCCCGAGTCTCTTCGATCTGGGGATAAGGCCACGCTAAGAAACGGACCGAAGCTTATTTACCCTGTAGTAGCTTGCCCGCACTGTTTGTGTTCAATTTTCCCCGGAACATGCCAGCGCCCACGTTGTGCTCTGGATCTCGGGGTTCCCGTCATGCCAGGGTCGAAGGGGAACACCTGACTTGAGGGTCTGCAGTTGAAGGCCTCGAATCAGCTCTATCGTCAAGGGCGCCCCTGCTATGATCCTTGCCTGATCAAATGCCTGCCGTTCGGAAGCATGTAATCCGTGCTGTCCTACTCGTCTTCAGCGAGAAATGCGGAGTATACTCCTACAATGCTGTGTACATGGGCTAGATCGTCTTCTTTTCGCACGCTTTGCGGTGATCATAGGTAGATCTGGCGAAGTAGACTCTGAATGGCAGATCAGAACGTTCGCACGCGCCGCGTCGTGATCGAAGGGAGATTTGGCGAAGTCTCTCCCGGATAATAGTTTAGAAGATCCGCAGTCGACAAGCGAGTGTGATCCGTCAACACCCAAGCGGACGGTCGACCGGTGTCGGGGGCTGGTTGCGCAATGCAATGTTGTAAAGACTAGTCCGTGCCTTTGGCTCACACCACAGCCCGCACTCTCACGGTCGTCACGAAGTCGTACGTGAAGAGACAGCTGAGCATGCTTGAGCCGTGTCGCGGAGGTCTTGATGTGCCACTGCGGCATAGTAGAAGCTGTGATGTTTGAAAGGCTGTGAATTGACATTCGGCTTGTCCCGGAGCCGAGGTTTGCAAAATGCCTCTCATCTCCACGCGTTGAGATGTAACCACCTTTTCGATGAAAACGTCGCTTGCCATGACGATCGCACTTTGTTCTGACGCAAGTTTGCGGGTCGCTTCCTCAGGCGCCCTTTCTCTACGATGACTCAATCGACGTGGATCTTGCTCTTTTCGTGTCAGACGAGAACTCTAGGGAAGAAGATCCTACTCACCTCATCTCCACCGTCCTCTTGCTTGAGGTCCCCCACCACTCCTCAGTAGCATAATCCCCACACCTATCGCCACAGCACCAAGGAAAACCCACTGCGGGACAACGATATCCGTATCCCTCCGCTGGTACCTCCGTGCTTTCTCCGCATACATTTTCTTCCTCAGCGCGCGCTCTTCATCCACTTCGACATCCTTCGTGTTCTTTTCCTTCACAGGTTCCCCAACCAGCCCATCGCCCCTCTTCCTTTGTACCTCCTTCAAGTAATCCTGTATAACGGGGTCGTCCTCTTCACTCAAATCCACGAACTTCCTTTCTTTCATCTCCACACCCTGATCAAGCGGACTCGCTACATTCAATCCACTCACAATCCCCTCTTTCGCGGTCAATCTCTTCTTATCAATGAGCACATCGTCTGGTAGCCAATCTTTCAGGGTATTCTCAGGTAACGAACGGAAGACGAGACACATCCACATCTCCAGCACGTTCAGTAAGAGGGTTGGGTCGTCCATCCCCGGCACCGCGTTACCATAACCACCTGAAGGAAACACAGCCAGTACACCAAACACATTATAAATGCTCCACTCCAATGCGTAATAATGCAGACTCGGATGATCCCTTCTATACCTAAAGTTGAGATGCTGCGCCACTCTCACCCGTAGATTACTACTCTGGCCAACGTAGATCCTCAGCCTTTTGTCGACGCCCAGGATACCGTTGAGGTAGATGGCTCGGCCTTCTTGGCGCAGGTCCCCGCCGAGATGTTTCAGAGCGTCGAGAGAAAGGCGGGAGGAGAGGAGATGCCAGACTTGGGGACGGATAAGTGAGTAGATTGATTGAGTGAGGATGGAGATGCTGTGCTGAGAGATCCATAGGGCGTATTTGTGGTAAGGGCGGGTTTTGTCGTTGTCGGGAAAGGAGACTGGGAGCTGAGAGAGGCGTGTGAGGAGTTGTGTGAGGATTGCTCGGGCTTCAAGCTGGGCCGGTGTGTAAGTTGATTGAGATGTTCGGCTAGATGGTGTTGGTGTTGGTGTTGATGGTGTGCTTGACATCGCGGTAGCTGGAGACATTTGATGTCGTGATGGCGTTGAAGGAAAGGGTGAAGAAGTGGGTTCCTGGTAAATTTCTGCTGTTGCCATGGTTTATATCCTTTGTAGAACGACACCTGTTGGTTGTGATTGGATGATGTTTGTGAGAAGTTAGGTAGTCGACCTGTAGAAGGCTAGCGTCAAGGCACCAATGTGCAGGTGCGATGAAGCTCGGAAGACACACGCAAGCTCGATATCACACAGCTGCTTCAGGTGTATCCTTTCCAGAAAACTACAACTGCATGTCGGACCTGAATGCGCAATGTAGCTGTGAAGTGAAGACAGCGTAGGTGTGTAGGTCTACATGTCAGCTCCACCTGGGCGATGAGGCTGAAGTTAGCGCCTTTGCACATACCGTATCAGGTAACTTCTGAGAAAACCGTCGATAACGGCATCTCTCGAGCATAGCGCCTTAACCACTCGGCCATGACGAATCGCATGCAGGACCCCGTATTCCTGTCGCAATCATTCGCCGGCCCTCGAACACACTCACGTGGCTTAATCCGCACAAGGCTTCTGATCGGTCTTGCAGTCTCTTCGGTACGTTCGTCTTATGAGTGTAATATGTTGGGTGCTGGCATGGTCCATAGTCCTGACTGAGTAGCTGCATCGCATGTCACTCTACGTATTAAGCGAGGCCATTGGAAGAGGCTTGATAGATATCACGTAAAGCAATAGCAAAGCTGCAATCGTGATGGATCATTGAAGACTACGCTCGTGCTACACCTATGCGTCACACTATGCTCTCGTGCCATGCTCTTGCATCAATATTGTTCGTAAGTGAACTGATAACACCCATATTCAGTACACCATGGCCTGTCGTCCTGGTATGGTGGCCATTGGTCGGTCCTGAACTTGAGGCCGAGACGTACAGGGTATTGCAAGAGTGTCCCAGGCTCTGCTGGGTCTTGTATAGAGATGTTCTACTCCTCGATCGTCTTGACGCATTCCCATCCGCCGCTCAGCCTCTCCTTCCACAGACTGACCCTGTTGTCGCCAGTGCTGACTGCGAGCGCATTGCCGCTTAGACTCCAGCTCACGCGCCATGCGGCAGCGTCGACGTCAAGCTGGGTGCGCTTCCACTCGCGTAGATCTGATGATGTCCAGATAATGACAGTCTTGTCCTGGGATGCGGAGGCAATGTACGATTTGGAGAGGACGGTAGGGGACCACGCGACGTCGCGTACCCAATCTGCATGACCACCACTAGCGTATTGTGTTAGCCAATGTCCCATATCGTCGATCCGCGACCATGACTTACAGCGGTGTCGCGTTCCAGCTGCCGCTCTCGGGGCTGAACTCCCAAATTTTGACCTGGCAGTCGGTTCCGCCGGTGACTAGCCTTTTCGCAGCGCCTGCCTGGTTTCCGCTTGCGCTGACGACCTGTCCTGGTGCATATGCAGGTGCCCAAGAAACACTGTTTACGCCGTTACCGTGAGCAGGGAAGGTCTGATGTGTCCAGTTGTTGTCCTTGAATTCGAGCACCGAGACGTTGCCGTCGGATGATGCACAGGCAAGGAGGCAGCCTGCCTCATGAGGAGCCCATGCGACCATGTTGACCGACTGTGTGTGTAGGGCGACCTCGTATATCTTCTGCCAGCTGCCGGACTGCTCGCGCCAGATGAGGACCTTGCCGTCGTATGAAGAAGAGGCGAGGATGTTTCCGTATTTTGGGTGTGCCCATGCTACGCTCCAGACGGCGCCCTCATGTCTATGAATGTCAGCGTCGAGTTCCGCACGACTATAACTTCTTCGGGATTGACGTACCCTCTCAGGGTCTCAACCAGTGTGTGCTTCTCGCCCTCAACCTCGAAGATCTTGATGGTCTTGTCCGAAGAACACGTCGCGAGCCGCCTGCCGTAGTAATCCAGTACGGCGTCATGCTGTACCTCGTTAGAATCAGCCGTCGGTGGGTCGACGCCGCCCATTGCGCTTGCTGGTGGTGTGGAATGTGCGAATGTGGGGTGAAGATAGAGGCGGATGTGTGCAGAGAACGTACAATCATGTCATCGTGGCTGGAGTTCGCTATAACGTTGGCCTACAGCGGCAGTCGCAAGTTAGCGGACATGATCAGGTTGGGCGCGTCAGTGGGGAAGTGCTTGCCATTTTTGTTGTAGATCAGCTGCGATGGATGGTGCTGGAGGAGATGGAGGTCGAGTCGGTATTTGAAGGCGCCGAGAGAATTGTGTAGGCAGAAGTATGAGCAGGCGCGTCCAGACGTGTCCACAGCTACACAGTGCCCCAAAGTTGGTTGATGCTGCTGTGGCCTCAATGCAGGGGTCTTGATGAGATAAGATTAGATCAAACCCAGGTGGCACCATGACGCGCTAGCATACGCAGCACTACCTACTATGTAAGCATCACATGCAACCACTACCATCACTCATCACTCATCATGGCCTATTCTTCTCCACGCCACTCGCAAAACTTCTACCAGTATGACGCATCAACCCCTCCGCCACCTCCGCCCAAGCCAGGACGGTCAAGTGGGAACGCAACTCCATCACAGGGACCTCCATTACCCCCACCCCCACCAGGTCAATCATCGTATTCGGCAGATCAACAGGGCTCTTATACACAGCAGCAGTACTCACAGACAGGTCCCGAACAACCGACGGTTCAACCGCCAGACGATGGCTGGCTACCTGAGGTGCTCAAGGACAAACCGTATGCCAACTCTGCGCCCTTGCTAAGCGCACTACTAAGGTACGAGCAGGACCAAAGACCTGCATCACATACTTCAGATGCCAGAACTTCAAAATGCCATAATTCACAATCCTGAGACAACACATCCATCATTACCTGCATCGATTGCGCCTCTGCAAGCGCTTCTCGCACAGAATGTAGGGTTGGCAGAGTCACTCAAACAGCTGGAAGCACATGTCCAGCACCAGCGAGATAGTACACAGTCACGTCTACTAGCACTTCGGGCTTTGGAGCGCCAGTGGAAAGCAAAGCAGGCCGAACAAGATGAGGCACTGCGAGAGTTCAGTCCGCCAGCGCTCTATCAGAGACTGAGTGCCTCGGTAGGCGAGCAAGAGGCGTTATGTCGAGGACTAGAAGAAAGCTTCCTCGAAGGCGAAGGTTTCGGTGGTGGGGATGCCGTGGCTAGCGACCGCGAAGTGACGGACTTTGTGAGGCGCTTAAGAGAGGGCCGAAAGATCGCCTACCTTCGCGCAGAGCGCAAGGAGCGATGGGATGAAGGCCGCGTCGGCGGCTGGCGATGAGCGCTCCACCTTGAAGTAATTATAAATACTAATATCAGACCACGCACCCAACGTCGCACTTTGTGCGGAGATGTCAAATTGCCATGGCATGATAGTTATGCGGCGTCGGCAGTCGGAAGCACGCCTGAGAGTCAAGGCCACTGGCACATGCGATTCAGGCGGCGAGATATGCAGCCGGCTGTGAATCTAAGATTGCATCTCAGGGGCCTCGTCACCTCCATAAGAAGGATCCTCGCCGTTAGCATAGGTCGAGAGGCTGGACTGGTCGTCATGAGTCGTTGTCGTGAGCACTGTCGTCGTTCGCGGCAGGCGAATATCAGCCACATCCTAGTACAGCTGCCCCTTAGCGTGCTGGCTTCCTCATTTGGGCACATCCGTGGTTGTCGGAAAATTGCGCGATGCCAAAATAAAGGTTGCATGCAATCCACTGCAAGCCACCCGTTGCGGGTGTCACATGGCAGGGTTGCAGTCGCTATGCACATGGTGGACGGCTGGGATCGAGTCTGGGTGGTTCAGCGCCTCATGGAGTGTTTCACGTCGCCAGGCGAAGCGCCTCCACACGTCACCTGGGCAGCGAGCGTCAACGTCGACATTCGATCGGAGCGCGCGACTCTGATATCAACACCCACTTTGCAGCTGATCGTGTCCCCGAATCACACTCCACAACCCACTCCCCACGACTACAGACGAGGCGCCCTCTTGAGCCTCCCCTTAGTCCGCGGCGCCCATTGGCTGGGTAAAAAGTGTACCTGCAGCGATTCTAACCCTAACAAGCCCCCTGGCGCGGCTCGCTCCACCTCGAGCAGCGCGAACCGCCCATCACGGTCAGGTAGAGCGCCTGAATCGACCAATTCGAGCGCTGCGATCGGCTCAGAGGCCCCTGGGCGCCCCCTTCGCCGGCAGCTGTACCTGGCGAGCTAGGCGGGTCCCCTTTACGAAGAAGCGACTTTTGGCAGACTCTCCACCTCCCTCTGCGCCCATCATTTGTGCACGCCATGTCTATCGCGGGGGGATAATACGAAAATATGCAAGCCGTCCAAGCGTCCCCCGAGGGCGCACAACCTCCCAACGCCTTTGCCTCGCCGCCTCGCCAAAAGGGCTCGTCCCTGGCCTCGATTGCCATCTCGTCCTTTGCTGCTTTTCGGTCCCAGTCCTCGCAGCCTGTACCTGTCGCCGTCCTCCAGTCCCCGGTCCGCAGGAAGCCCCTTCCCGCGAATTCCCCCGTAGTTGGTCGCTTTACTGCCGATCAACAATCTAACCTCCCATCTGCTGCTGCACCAGATAAGAGCGTTGATCTCGCTGCTCAAAGAGGACGCGCCCCCGATACCACGCTGTCGCCGCCGGTCACTGACGAAGACCTCTTCCTGCCCCGGAACCTCGACGAGTGAGTGCCCGACACGCGCTTTCCTTTTTATCGCGCCTTCCTTCCTTTCCATCAACACGCCGCTAACAACACTGACAGCAACCCACATGGAAGAACCCCTCTGACGGCAACCGCACCCCGCCAATTCTCAGAGCGTGACCGTGGGAGCTCGCTCTTCATCGCAAAGCGAGACCCTCCGACCGCCCCAGCCGTCCCGTCTGCCGCGCGGCATGATCGATCAGCCAGCGGCATCAATCTCCAACGACAGAGCAAGACCGAGGCGCTGAAGGCCTTTGGCATCCGAGGAGCACACGCCCGATCTCCTACCATGCCGAACATGCCAGTGTACAACAACACATCGCAACCGCCGCCAGACCTCAAACTCGACTTGAACGGTGTCACCGAAGATTTCATGGACGATTACAACTACGGTCCCGAGGACCCTTCACTTACACGCCAAAACACCAAGCCCAAATCACCCAGCGGAGGAGGATTCACCTCTTTCTTTGGCTGGAACTCGCGTCCCCAAAACGAGCCTGCGTCGCCGGCCACCGCTTTCTCAGAACACTCATCACCCGACTCTCCACGCTACAGACAACCCGGCATGGGCTCGAAGTCAAAACCCAACGGCCTAGACATCCCGGCCGCCAATTCGCTCGGCTCGTACTTCACCGTTCCCGGAACTCCACTTCTATCGTCATCGCCCCAGATGAACGCTCACGTCGAGGAGCTGGAGCGCGAGTTGCGCGAAGTGAGCTCCGAGCTTGCTGCGTCGATACAAAGAGAGATGGAGCTAGAAGACGAGGTCGAGCGCTGGAAGGCAGAGAGTTCCACTGCCATGTCAGACAATCGTAGGACTAGCGACTACTACTCGGATTCTGGCACAAGCTCCATCCGCTTTCCAATCAGCGATCCTGAGAGCAAGCTCGAAGAGGTCGAGATGCAACGAAGGAAGGCAGAACAGGCGCGTGCAACAATAAAAATGCAAATGGCAGAACGCTTACAAGATGAGCTGCGACGCCGAAGAGATTTAGAGGAGCAAGTGCAACAACTCGAAGACCAGGTCGGCGACAAGTCAAGGGCTGGCTCAGTTGTTGAGACACCCAAAGTCAAAGAGCTCTCCATGTCGCTCGAGGATGCGAAGAGGCGCTTGGCCGAGGAAAGGCAGGTCAAGGAAAACTTCGAAGACCTCCTCACAGCACTCCGCGATGAACTGGAGAAGCATCGCAACGAGGCCGACAACCTGCGCGACGAAGTGGTACCGCAACTCCGGGCGCGGCTTGAAGTGCTTGAAGGCGATGCCGCCGACACAGAGAAGCTGGTATACGAAACTACCCGTATGCAACAGGAGATCCAACAACTTAAATCCGAGAACGAATCGCTCGTCAAACAAAGGATGATGCAACAACAACCACCGCAACAGTCCCGGGTCCAATCTATTGCAGAAGAAGGAGATCTTGGACCTCTACCGAACCTACGTGTTGGTCTAACCCGTTCGAACTCATTAGCTCGTAGCTCCGCTGGCCTTAACTCAAAACGGGGTTCATTATCACGTTCCAACTCCGTCAAAGACAGATCGGGTGATGTATCACCTGTCGGTGCACCGACAGTCAGCAACCCTATGAAGGAGCTAGAAGAGCAACGAGATGCACTCCACAAGGCATTGAAACATATATTACAACGACAAGAGCTACAACAGAAGGAATTCGCGCGCCGCATCAAGGAGGTAGAGGCTGAAAGGGACGCTGCTCTCAATCTCACTCCTCGCCGCACTGCGTTCCACAAAGAGGTTACAGTCCTCAGACAGGAAGTCAACTCTTTACGTCGCCGAGCCGACGAAGCACTTGAGCAGAAGTGGCAATGCGAGAAGGGTCTTGGTGGACTGCGAATGGACCTGGATCGTGCACAGCAAGAAACTGGTTCCCTTCGCGAGCTACTTAGAGAACACGATATTTCGATACCCGAGATCCGGATAGAGAACGAACCTTTGGCCTTGGACAAGGCCTACAACGAGCTACGAACTACTCATGCCCTCTCGCTTGCTCGCGTCAAGCAACTTGAGTCGAACGACGGAGATGCACTCGGCGCCGCTGGTGCCGAAGCTGAACGAACCCTGGACCTCCTGAAGCAGAGCATTTCCGATGCAGAGGCAGAGCGCGATTACGCCCAGAACGAAGCCGAGCAGTACCGCAAACAGGCTCGTGCCCTTCAACAGTCCGAGATCGAGCACTTGGGTAGAGAACAAGAGCTTAGCAAGGAGCTGTTCGCTGCTGCAACTCGCATGGACGAGCTCTCTGCTAAGATCCAGCAGCAACTCACTGCTAATAGCGCTCTGCGCACCCGTCTTACCGACGCGATTATGCGCGGAGAACAGGATCAACGCAGGTCAACTGAGCAAATCATCCAGCTTGAGAAGAGACTCAAGGCAGCTGAGGACAAGGTCATGCTCGCCCAGCAGTCCTCAGAAGATGCTGTCGCGCGCCACGAAGATGAGGTCCAGGCGATCAAGGAGAGCCACACCAACCACCTACGCCGTGTCAAGTCCGGACTGCTCAGTCCTTCGGCATTCTCTCCTAGGCTTCCATCGTCTCCCGTCTTTTCGCAACGGTCTCCTCGTCTCGACGTAACTTCAAGTGGACCCGCCATGAGCCTCGCTGAAGCCACTAAGACGGAGTCGCTTGAGAAGCGCGTAGAGGAGCTCGAGAGGGCTCTTCGCGATGCCGATCACGAGATGGAGGAAGTTGTTGGCCGCATGAACACTGCTCAGATGGAGGTCGCTGACCTGCAATTCGAGAGGTATGTCAATCCAACACAACAGATAACAAGAATATGCTAACATGTTTCTAGGGATGAGGCTATGAGGCAGACACGCAAACTGCAAGCCGAGATCGTCGCCGAGCGCGAAAAGGTCAAGGCTCTGATGGCCACAACCGCATAATGATCGTACCGACACCCGCTGGACTCAACAGCTATACATAATACCTTCTCTTCGACAAACTTCTCGATACCACCGTATCGTCTTTGGGACATCCTTTTTACATCTTCGGCGTTTTACCCAGCTCCCGCATTTACATGGGCCTCACGATCCTACGCATACTACACTTCATTTCACCCTTCAATATTGTCTTAGTATACTTTTCCGGTCGAACGGGCCGGAACACTTTTGTTTGACAGACAGCCTTTTTGTCGTCAATGTTCTATACCCGTCGATGGTACAGCGTTTCTCAGCGCTACACAACCTTGCATGGCGGACTTGTTGGGATTTGGGCTTCTGGCTCGTTCTTTTGGATTGCTACTGTAACCCTCGCTTAGCGATTGCATGGTAATTGTACTGTAATGGTATAATGGATGATGGTTGGACGTGTTACATCACTTGCGACTATTGAATGACAACGTGCTTGTACCTCAAGAATCTGTTATCCGATGTTTTACCGTTATTTCTGTGTTGCTGAACCACGCTGCTTCCTCGTGTGGCTGCTTTTGCTTTGTGTAACATGCTCTTCTTTGGGCTCCAAGCTCGCTATCGATAGGTTCATTCATCTCAAGTCCGGGGTTGCAGACGCACAGTAACGGCGTGACAGGCTGTCGGATCTGTACCGTCCTGACCCGATTTGGACAGGTGGCACAAGCAAGGTGAATGGTCAGTGTGGGCGAGCACATGCCTCAACTCGGCCGGGTGTGTCTGAGACGCAGGAAGGTGTTGGCATGAGGGTGGGTGGGGGGGAAGGATGCGAGGCGGAGGGGCGGCGGAGGAGTCTCCTGTTAGCTGTAAACTGCAAGAGTGTCTTCTACCTAGGCATGTATCGAGATGCGTTCCTAACTTGCGCTCCTCCGAGCCCGTCTGAAACGTGAGTTGGGTTGCTGGCACAGTTCCCCGCCTGGTGGTCCCAGCTCACCCTAAAGTTGTTATCCCTGACCGAGCTACTGCGGCACTCCCCAGCACCTCCCTCTCCTTGCCAGCGCCGCACTGAAGAATCCTCTGCAGTTGCCGTGGACCGCTAAGACGCCCGTGAGAGAGCGGCATTGTCACTGTTCCTAATCCAGCCGTCTCCACCGCCCAGACTTAGACTTGGTGTTCGCTCCGCTACTTGACACCCGACATCCACCACGACTACACCGACTTCCCCTCCGAAGCGATTGCGGCCGCCACGATGAACAACAACCAGCAAGGCAACCGCCTGCAACTCAACTTTGGCTTCGGCGGCGGTGACCGAAACAACCAGCAGTACCAGCAGGAAGTCGGCAGAGCATTCCCGACGACACCTTCGACGTTCCCGCAACCTGTGTACCCCAACCAGGCCGGCCAGCAAGAAGTCTGGGGCGCCCAGCAACAGCAGCAGGGCAATGGCTACAATGGAGGCGGGGGCTACTTCATGAATCCCTACCAGCAGGCACAATACCAAGGGCAGCAGGGCAACCTCCAGGCGCCAGGCAGCCAGCGCTTCGACCAGAGTGCCAATGGGCTCGCCCAACAACTGTCGCACCAACACCTTGGGGGCAACGGTCGCTCTGGAAGCCCCTACGGCCGACAAGCCTCCCCGAACCCTGGACGTCCTCGCACCGCAGACAACAGAGGAGGCTATGGCTACGGAAGCCAGGGTGGCAGTTCAGGGCCCCGACAGCCCTCGTTGTACGATGAAGAGGCGCCGCAACGAAACCCCACCAAGTACACGGAGAATGTAGACAAGCAGGCTATGGTATCCAAGAGTCTCATCAACACCTTTTTCAAGGACAGCGTCCAGCGGGCTCGCGACCGAAACCAAAGGTGGGTTTTCTGGACTCTTCGCTGAGCACTACTGACCTCGTTGCAGAGCTCTCGAACTCGATGCCCTCATGAAAGAGACCTCCATCTCCGACAGCCGGAAACGGTCCAAGGAGGACAGTATGCGCCGCGCCGAAGTCGAATACCTGCGATTCCTGCGGACAAAGGAGAAGCCCGAAAACTTCTCGACACTGAAGATTATCGGCAAGGGTGCTTTCGGAGAAGTCAAGCTAGTGCAGCGGCGCAATGATGGCAAGATCTATGCGCTCAAGTCGCTTGTGAAGCAGGAGATGGTAGGCAGTCCTCATTCGATACCCACCTTTGGCATTCATCTCACACGCCACAGTTCAAGAAAGACCAGTTGGCGCACGTACGGTCAGAACGTGACATCCTCGCCGAGTCCGACAGTCCATGGGTTGTCAAGCTGCACACGACCTTCCAGGACAACACCTTCCTTTACATGCTTATGGAGTTCTTGCCAGGTGGTGATTTGATGACCATGCTGATCAAGTACGAAATCTTCACTGAGGATATCACACGATTCTACATGGCCGAGATCACGCTTGCAATAGAGGCCGTCCACAAGCTTGGTTTCATACACCGGTACGTGTTTAGTGGCGACACCAAGACAAACCTCTAACTCTTCCAGTGATATCAAGCCTGACAACATCCTTCTCGACCGAGGCGGCCACATCAAGTTGACAGATTTCGGTCTATCGACAGGCTTCCACAAGGAGCACGACGCTAACTACTACAAGAAGCTGCTCGCCGGCGGCGCACACAAGTCGAACCGCGATAACCGACAATCAATGAACCTAGACCAGATTCAACTGACTGTCAGCAACCGTACCCAAATCAACACATGGCGTAAGTCTCGACGACAGCTCGCCTACTCGACCGTCGGTACACCCGACTACATCGCGCCGGAGATCTTCAGCGGTCAAGGTTACGACTACAGCTGTGATTGGTGGTCGGTGGGCACAATCATGTTCGAGTGTCTGATCGGCTGGCCGCCGTTCTGCGCTGAGGAGCCACACGACACTTACCGCAAGATTGTCGACTGGCCGCGTAACCTGCACTTCCCACCCGACCAGCAACTCGGCGCCGAAGCTGAGGACTTTGTCCGACGGTAAGCGCCTCCATCCCGCACATTCTTCCCAATCATCCCACTAACTAAACATGTCCAGGCTCATCTGTGATGCCGAACACCGCCTCGGTCGCATCGGTGGCGCCAACGAAATCAAACAGCACCCCTTCTTCCGCGGCGTCTCCTGGGACGGTCTCCGCCGTATCCGCGCGCCCTTTGAACCCAAACTGCAGTCCAACATTGATACTCAATACTTCCCCATCGATGAAATTGATCAGAATGATACCTCGGCTGCTCACAGGGCGCAGGCCGCACAGGCAAACGAAGACGAGTACGCAACGAGTTTGCCCTTTATTGGGTACACGTATAAGCGCTTTGACGCGTTCCGCGGGTCGTAGATTGGTATTCTGTTGGTGGATTGATGAAGGAAGGGAGGTGTTTAGGGAAGAATGGTTAGGATTTCTGGGGTCGAGAACTCTCTCTTACCGTCTGTCTGCCATTCCCTTTGATAGCATGAAGCCTGAAGGGGGCGGAAAGTGTCCTGGCTGGCACCACTGTCACATCATATCTTGACCATATACTACATAAATCTTTGCGCACAGCGCGCGAATGGAGTAACGGGTTGTAATCCTTTCTGATTCTCTGTGCGGAGAAGGTGCACTGGTGCTAATATTTGGAGTTGATGAGACGAGAATTGAAGTCATAATTGAGGAAAAAGAATACATGGTTCGAGCGGAGTCGTGGTGGCTGATATGCATTTCTTGGCTGAAATCTTGGGAATTGCAACTATCACTCCATATCGCATTCAACTTGCGACCAAATGTCCGAATTGAAACTCCTGTACTAATGCTTCTGAAATGCCAAGTCCTCTGGTTCATGCTCCTCCGCGTGCAGATATCGCTGTCATATATGAAAAGCTCCGTCGCTGGTTCTCATAACCCCCCATGCACCTGTCTGCCTGTCCCGAGATTGCTAGACTTTTATCGTGTCGCCGCTTCGCCGCTCCGCTGTGTAGTCTTGTTTTGTTGAGAGAGCTGGAGAAGTTACGCGTTCATCGGGCTTCGAATTGTACCATACTGCATGTTGTGTTAGTGAGATTGTTCGTGAAGAGCGCGCTGTCTAGATTTCGTCTTTGCGGCTGCAGCGTGCTTGACGCCCTCTTGCATCCTCTTCTCGTCCTTTTCAATCTCCTCCGACATGCGCTCGGTCGCGCGCATTCTCTCATTCTTCCTGCTTTTTTCTCTCTATTTTCGCAGGATCTACGCGCCTGCCCTGCACTCTTCTCCCTCCTCCCGCGCTCTGCCTGCGCCCTCCCAAAACTCAACATCACTTACCGGTTAGTCCTCTGCTTGTAAAGCACACGATGACCACAGTTCCTGCACCGAATCGGCTCTCCGCGCTTCAGCGGGACATCCATGTCGCAGTCGCCGCACTTGTAGTGGACAGTGCGCGCGGTTGCGTCGATTTGGCTGACGGTTGCTGGGTCGGTGGTTTGCTGGGGGTTGTAGGCGGTGGACATTTTGGCGGTGGGTTGGTGGGGTGAAGTTGGTTGGTTGCTGGGAACGGTGGTAAGAGGGGAGGATGGGGTGTGTAATGTGAGATGTGTGGTGGTGTGAGAGTTGGAGGCAGAAATGTGCAGGTTGCGATGATGGTTTGCGCCGAAAACCGAGGGTCGCGATGGCACGTGCTTGGGTCTTATCGATAGTGCACCTTAGGCTTTATCCAGCCGTTTGGGCCGTCTGCAGCAAGCCACTCACCACTAATACCTCGAACAAGGCTGAATCATAGGCAGACTTCCGATTGTCATCATATGACGTCTGAGAAGTCTTCATGATTTGCGCCAGAGATGCCTCCTTCGATGATGGGCTTACCCGGGTAGTCTCTAGGGTGTGACCCATCGGATCTGGAACTTCACGCATGTACACTGTGCGATATGCCTCGACAATCCGCGTTTGGGTATGGTGAGATGTAATCTACAAGGCTGTGCTTACCCCGCTTCGTAGGAGGGCTGTGCTATGGATAAGAGCTGAACGAAGCTGCCTCGCACTCTCTGCTGATCATACTTTACCTCCAGACCTCACTCCAGACCTCAACATGCGCAGAATAATCCAAGATCTCATCTAGGTGTCCAGGTCTGGCTTTTGTTGGCGCTTCCGATTTTCCCCATACATCTTGACGCACTCGATTGTCCATCAGGCCGCCTCTCCTCCATGTGACCGTCTTCCTAGCCTCCAGGCTATTACTTCATGCACTCGTCCGACCTCCTCGATGGCTCTTACATTCTCCAAAGCGGGACCTTTGAAGCCAGAGATTCGACTAGCTCAGGCCGTATCCCAATTCGAAGCGAGCCTTTCCGCTGGACAGAAAGATGCATTCAGGAGCCAACGGGAACAGGCGATGAAGTCTTCTCCGAGTACTATGGATGTTATGCGAATCACGGCAGAAATCGATAATTCGCGCAAAGTGGGAGAGCGCTGCTTTGGAACTCGGTTTACCAAGTTTCTCCATGGAGCGCAACAGTTTGCTTCTCTTGGCGACGTGGTCGTGGGCAGCTCCCAGAATGTCGTTGCTTGTGGTGTGTGGGCAGTGATACGGATGAGCTTATTGGTACGTGTTCTCATGTTATATCCGTGTTGATCATGAAATTGAACTTCGGTTCATCGTCTAGGTCGAAGGACCCATTTCCCAACAGTTCTTGCCTGGAGGAATATCTAACCGCATGATGACTTTAGGCGACTACTACCCGTTCAGTATACATCGAAAGCCTGTCTTCCCTCCTTATGGAAGCTGGCCATTCGACTCGACAGCACTCAGATTTGGCAGTATTATACCCCCGCTCAAAATCTTTGCAAACCAACATCACCGAGTTTTTCATTGTTGTAGTACAAATATGTTTTCGTTTCCACCGGTATGCTCAGAAATCTGCTTTGGGCAAGTTCACATCGTCGCTCAATGATAGCGATATCAAAGAAGCACGATCGAGCCTCATAGCTTGGTCAAAATCGATCCAAGAAGAGATCACGACACTTATCGCACAAAAGGTAGAGAAAGAAGCTGAGAGCAATTCGCGCTTCAGAGCACTGATGAGCTTGAACTCTAAGAGCGCTTCTGAACAGCAAAGGCAAATTGCTCTTCAAAATATCTTGAATCGCTGTTCGACCAACGACTACGAGACCACACGTAAACAGATCCGCAAGGCTGGCAATACCTGTTTGTATAAGCGGCTCCCTGAGTACAACCAATGGGTAGTGGCACCAGCTTCAGCGACCCTTATCCTGGTTGGCAAACTGGGATATGGGAAATCCGTCACGCTTGCGAACATCGTGGATGATCTCATCCTGCGAATCGACCCTGAAGCTTCTGGACTAGCATATTTCTTTTGTCGACACGATCTTCCTGAGAGCAAACACGCAAAAACGGTGATGGGTGCACTCATACGCCAGATCATCAGCCCACTCAAACATCTCCTAGATGAATCGAAAGTCTTGGAAACGTCTTATCTTTCTCAACTTCTTGGTCTCATGCGTCACGTCGTCCCATCCGACCATGTCATTTATATCATACTAGACGGCCTGGACATATGTCCTCCCTCAGAACAAAAGACAATCATGGAGCACTTGGAACTTATGACGACACATCTCAACGTACACGTTTGCATTTCCCGCCGACTGGAACCTGAAACTGAATTGCAGTCTATCGGGAAAGACTTTTCAAAGGCGACTGTGGCCAGGCTTCCCGATAACTCTTCGGACATTGAGACTTACATCGTAGCGCAATTGGAGGCCGCGTTATTGGACGGATCTCTGGCCCTAGGCAATCCCGCCATTATCCTGGAGATACAAGACGCTCTTTTGAAGGGCTCACAGGGTATGTTCCTTTGGGTTACTCTCCAGATTCAGTCGATTTGCACGATGCAGACTGATCACAGGATTCGAGAAGTGCTCACCAACTTGCCGCAAAGTCTTTCACAGATCTACAGCCAAATACTGCAGCAAGCAAAATGTCTTGACCGGGCACTACGATCAAACATATTTAAACTTCTATTGGCTGCGAGACGGCCACTCACGCTTCCCGAGATGCGAGAAGCATTGAGCGTCACCCCAGGCAACACTACTTGGAATTCTTCCAAGCTTCTGAACAGTATATATCCGGCACTAGCAACCTGTGGTTGCCTTGTCACCGTCGACGAGGAGGAACATACGATACGTACAGTTCATCCGAGTGTGAACCAGTTCTTGCTCCAGGATAGTCTCACAACCAAAGACATAGTCCAAGGGACAATCGAGGATGCGCAGTTACTAATGTCATCGATCATCATCACTTACCTCGGTTACGGCGTCTTTGGCACGGAGCTTGTTGTTCGTCTGCCTGTGTTCAATGTAGGATTAACGCCCGCTCACATCATGAACTATACGACAGGGGCAAGCAAGAGTGTTCGAGCTATGGCTTTGAAGCTATTGGGGTCAAGAAAGCAGGCCAACTTCGATGCTTCCAACACTTTTGCTCAAAACTTCAAGTTGCCAAGGGCGCCAAACAGGGACGACTTCGCCTTCCAGCATTACGCAAAGCTGTATGCTCTACAGCATCTATCAGAACTCCCTGCTGTATCATGCGCTTTTGCAGAAAACTTGTTACGGATGCTCAAAAGTGGCGCAATAATGGTCAAGACAAACGAAGAGGCAGTCGGACTGCTGTGGCTCATGCTCCAACCGCCTGGAAGATCGGACGTCCTTGACCTTCTTACGCATATAGACTTGGAGGCAATTGAAGCTCTGAGGTCGCCATCCGGGGATGCACCGATCCGTCTGTTTGGTGAGCTTTTCTGTTCGGCCATAGCCAATGGTCGCACGCAGGCGATCAGGTATCTAATGCATTTGTATCATCCACTCATTAGCAAATATTCCGATCCTATGCGGTCAAGAACGAATCTTGCTTTCCCCGCACTCAGGCTTTTCTGTATTCAACATGGACTGGCATCGAGTGCATATCCCGATATGTCTGCAACGGTGTTGCTTGGACCTGCGCCCTTATATCATGCCATCGAGTGTGATCAAGACCATCCGTTGGAGATACTCATGGGCTATGATGTCTTTGATATCAACGAAGGTAATGACCTGCGGGGCAAGCTAATTCACGTTGCCGCCAGGCAGCAGAATGTCAGGGCTCTGAGAGTATTACTCTCAGGACAACACAGGGAAAAATTACAGCTGACGCTAAAAGAAGTGGAAGAGTTAATGGCTCTGATCGAACCTATAGAAGACTACTCTGACCCTCCGCTACTAAGCCGCATCAAAGCAATGCATCCGACCGCTATTCTACGAGGTGCTTAGAAGTTGTACACGGCGGTTTCGCTTCTTCATAGTATCCATCAGAACCAGCATATTTCTTCAGAGTACGTTTTGCGAATGTGTTATTAATAACTATCATGAGCCTCTTATGAATCTTGCAGGTAAACGTGTTTGCTAAATGTCCTATAACTGCAAGCGACCAGGCATTACTAGATACGTTTGCGTAAAGAAGATTTCTCTACAACCTTTTATTCCCTCTGATTCCTCGCAACCACTTGACGACCGAATGGTCACTTCGCGCACTCAGTTCTTAAATCTTTTCTCCGGGTCCGCATTATTGTCTTGTGCTGTTCATGAAGGTCAGGTTGCTGTCGCTCGATTTCTTATCGACATCGAGCTAATACACATCAATCACAATGGAGCAACTCTGGATTCTGACTAATCTTATGGAAGGAATGCGTTGGCGTTGTCACAATGCAAGAGAACGCAACTATATCGTTTGAATTGAACTTAGGCAAGAGCTTCATGGCGTACAAGCAAGGTACCTGTAGCATTTCTCATTCGCGGTATCATCATTTGCAACCAGCGAATTGTTCCGGGGTACGCTCCTGTATACACGATGAATTAGGCCTCGCTAACTGGTTCTCGGTCTAGTACAGCAGTGCGTTTGCTCAGTCGCCTTCACCACCACAAGAAGTTAGCCGTCAACAAGACTTTCGCAGACAACGACGCGCTCAACGTCTAACCTCCCCCTCTACAAGCCCGAGTCGTCCGTTACCTTCAACTGCCACCCAGTGCCCACGATGGCGCCAACTTCATCAAAGACTTCGCTTCTAGACTCGCTCAAAGTCGTCGGAATTTCTCAAGAACCTGATCCTTGATAGCATTTCCTAACTCTTGTACGATGCGTCTTTACTAACGTACTATGAAGACTTAGTCTGCGCTGTTCACGGTCACTCGTAACCCACTCCCCACTACACGTTCTCGGTAACCACCTCCGCTCACGACGTGAGCTACAAAGAAACTCTGATCATTGTATACTACGCTCAAGCTAAAGAGCACGGAGTGGCATTCCCATAGACGGATGATGCGAAAAGTTGTTCATTACTGTGGCAGTGGACGGTGACCCTTTCGTCATTGGGTTGATTGCTTGACAATCGTTAGCCGGCACAGAGAAACATACACTTTCAGTAGAAGCAATGGCGCCCATGCGACGCCCACAACGAGATTCCACTTACACCGACTATCATGGCTCTCACCATTTTCATATTATGTGACCGAAACTTTGCTCGGTCGTCAGTGGGATGCCTGTACCGTGAAGTACACGCCTAATGCGACGTGGAGGAAAGTTTCAATGGACGGGCCGGCACACATCGTCCCAGGAAGCCGTGCAGACTTGAGGTACCCAATAATCAAGAGCTCATCCCATTCAGGGACGCAGTTGATCATTGACTGAACATGATGATGCTACATGGTAGACGTCGGGATGTAGCTAAGAATCGCTGCGCCGATGACGTTATGGCGTTCAGCCCGAATTGGAGTTGCCTCGGCATCTTCCCCGGATTCCGCAACCTCCGCAACGAACTCCGCAAGTCTACTTACTACCCGTTCGACATCTCCATAACACACGCGACTGCGACACTTGTAGTCATTACGTTACATTAAACCTCAAAACTCTCCCCATACCCCCAAAGGAAGCTTCCACGATGCCAACCGCAGTTGCGAAGGTCCAGCGGCAGGGAGTGAGCAAAGAGCTTTCAGAACCTCTACCCGAGCCGGAGACTTTCGAGGGATTGAAGGGAGTCAGGGAGATTGCAGGGGATCTGGGAAATCAGTGAGTATGGGGAGAGTCCGAAGAGCTATAGTTGAACGCGCTTGTGCTAATGGTATGCAGACGCGTCAAGGACAAGGTCATCATCGTTACTGGTATGTCTCTAGCACTCCCCACACAAAGCCAAAGTCTTACAGCAGTTCCAGGCGCGAACTCGGAGATAGGCATCGGCCGCGCAAGTGCGCATCAATTCGCGCGTAATGGCGCTCGCGCAATTTACGTCTGCGATTTCGCGAACAACCACCTCGAGACACACAAGCGCCAACTCAACAGCCTATACCCCTCCACCGAGGTCCACATCCGGCAGTTCGATGCTGCAGACGAAGCATCAGTACAAAAGGTCTGCCAAGAAGCTCTAGACACCTATGGCCGTCTCGATGTCTTCTTCGCCAATGCAGGCATATCATCTGGCAAGGTGTTCTGGGAGGAGTCAACAGAAGGCTTCATGAACGTCCTGCGCACGAACGCCTTATCCGTGTTCCTCGCAGCAAAGCACGCATCCCGCGCTATGCTCAAGACCTCGGATGAGAAACCATACCCGAAGGGCAGCATCATCGCTACAGCAAGTGTAGCGGGTCTACGCTCCAACGCCGGCCCTACAGACTACTCCGCCTCCAAAGCCGCCGTCATCAGTCTCATGCAGACGTGCGCATATCAACTCGCCGGATCTGGTATCAGGTGCAACGCTGTTTGCCCTGGGCTGATCGAAACTGGTATGACCAGGGTCACGTACGACGCGGCGAGAAAGAGGGGTAGCGAGAAGAAGATTGGCCAATTAAACCCACTGCAAAGAGGAGGGCAGCCGGATGAGATTGCGAGGGCGGTGCTGTTCCTGGCTAGCGATGAGGCTAGCTATGTTAACGCGCAGGCTTGGGCTGTGGATGGTGGGTTGAGTGGAGGACTTCCTTTCGTACCGGGGAAGTTGGCATAGATCTGGGTAGAGCGCGCGAGGGTCTTGGTACGAGTGACTCAGTCAGTGGTCTATCATAATTCGATCGCGACGCCTATCAAGCGACATGAACCCTATCACTATGCAATAAAAGACTCCAATATCCCGCAGGCTCCTCGCGTCAGTGCACTCGGAATTCATTACTGACAGGTGCATCAGTATCTGCAGGCTGTTCTGGTCACATGCCATTACGCTATCATAACCCTCCAGTCGTCGCTTAGCCAGCCACGAACCCGGACTTACGAACACACACCCAACGACTAGCCGCGACGTCCCTGGACCCATAGTATGCAGGTACACCCCAGTCTCAACAAACCAAGAAGCTTGGTATCGATACATCATATCGATACCGTGCTTTGGCTCAGGGTAACCGAATCGTTTGCACATGATGTTCAAGACTCTTCCTCTCCTCAGCTCCACACAATTCATCTTACTACCCGCTCATCTCATAAGTTGAAGCATCGGCAACGCCTTCCTGCTTCAGCAAGACACTTTTTCCCAACAATACTACTCGTCAAAGTTAAGATGGCAGAAATACCAGTATGTTCCCAGAAGTCCCGAGCATAATACAAAACTCCTCCGCCGATCTTCCATCATTCCCACGCACACGTCGAGCAGCAACTACCAGTCGCCGGTCACCATCACCACCAGCCACAACTATTTATCTCACAGGCTTCAACTGAGTGGCCAGCGACCGAGAATACCAACTCGCACGAAGAGTGACTGGAAATGTTCAGCCGTACTGGTTTGAGGAATCACAGAGTCGCGTAGGCTACTATGGCACCTCCCAAAAACAGAGAAGAGAGGACCCGACGCGACAAGCTGATCGGGTGGAAGACATCCGTCTGGATGGTCCTGGCACCAAGAGAGATAGGCGGGCGGACGAAAAGAAGACGCAGCGAGAAAGGGACAGAAAGACATTCCTAGAGACTATGTGGCCAACAGTTCGAGAAGAGTATTTTGCTATCTTTGGCCTCACAAAACTGTCGCCAGAGCAAGAGGTACGCATGAGGGATGACACAAGGATCCTTCTGGAAGAAGAATGGGATATCCTGGAGGAAGAGCGTAGGGCTGAGAAGCGGAAGAGGAAGGAGCAGGGAAAGACTATTGTTCGATTGCCGACTCGCATTATTTCGGATGGAAGAGGCGAGTCGGAGAAGAAATTCACGATGAAGGGAAAGGCCAAGATGAAAGACGGAAGTAGGGCGGAGACGAAAGGAGACAAGATAAGGGGCATCTCGCAAAAGCTTAGGGAAGTCGTGCATTTGCCAGCGAGGCCAACACCGCAAGACCCTGCTGTCGCGCCTCGATTTCATCCGATACTTTAAAGTCAGTTGATGACCAGTCTCGACACACCACGGCGTACGGTGCCACCATGATGATTATAACGCAGTATTAGACTGGAACACGTCGTTGAAGATAAACGAAGGCGATTTATGGACTCCATAGTCGAAAGGGCCAAGTCATCTACTTCCTCCCACGGTACTGCAGCGATGCCGAGTAGACGAGCCACCCACGACATCCGAGTTGCATATCACATCTATTTGACTACACACCCTCGAATAAAGAGTTATCGTTAAAATAAGGAGCCGATTGTGTGAAAACTTCGCTTGATGTTGACGTATTTCGCGAAGGGCGTTGTGCGCAAGTGCTCTTTCTCGGACACGTGAAGCCGCCCTCCAAGTTCACCACTCCCCGTGACCATTTCAATCCACATTCACCTCGACACCCATCCCAAAGTGCTCCGCCACCGCATTCACATTTGGTCAACTTTCGCTTTGAGCTATGACCTCGCAAATATTCTTACCTTGAGCTTCTCTCACTTTTGCGCCTACCAATTTCTCTCCACACACTGGCCCAACACGACCACCGCAACGGCCATGGAGAGTCGCGATCCACCGCCCGGGCGCTCCAGCTCAAATGGCTACATCGATGAGACACAATCGTCCTTCAACAAGCTTGAGGCGCAGAGATGGGAGCGCGCACTGGAGAGCTCACAGCGCGCACTCAACCAGTCAATGGACTCGCCCACTTATCAAGACTTTTGTAATTACAGCGCGCCCATTCGGAGCCGCGACTTTCAAGGGAGTCAAGATTGGTCTGAAGGCACAACGAGAGCTAGCGGAGGTGACGACACTTTCCAGTCGCCTTCCAGCGACACTACTGTCAAGATGGACGACGGCTGCCGCTACAGTCAGGTCGACAGTAACTATGCCCGACGTCCGGCACTCAACATCGCAATTCCTACATCAGAGACAGGCGCCACGAATGGATCTGCGTCTTCAGATTCTGACGTATCACCGTTATCTCAGCGCCAGTCTTTCGCCAGCGTCGCAGTCGACTCACCTGTTCAAACCCGCCTCGGGGGCCCAGTCCAGATTCCAGCGAGGGAGGACATTTACAACCCACACGCCATATGGTCCTCTCCCGCTCAGGTGCAGAATCAGGAGTCAGGAGGCTCTGCACGCTCTCAACTCAGCTCGAACAAAGCCACATTCGGTAGATCCGCCCTCTTGCAGTCGAGCTTACCCATTCCACGAAACACGTCTCTCGAGGAGATGATCGTACCGCGCGGACCGAATCTACATCAACGAAGGCTCGATGCTAGAGTGTCAAGCTCACCGGGTATACCGTCACCGCTGAGTCCTGGACGTATGCGAGAGCAGCTCCATGAGGGAGAGGTTAGAGGTTTGTCGCTCTCTCCGGTCCCGAACGGCCGTCTCCACACGAGCGATCAGATGAAGTACGGGAGGGCCAACCCACATGATAGAGAGATGAAGCGAATATGGCAGAACAACCCATCTCCGCATTCCCCTACCGTGCAACGCTACGCATCCAGCGGCTCAATGGACCCGCCCATGTTCGACGTATACCCGCGAAGCGCTGAGATAAACGACGCAGGAAACCTGACCCTGGGTGGGTCACCGTACAGTAACGGTTCTGGACACGCGCGAAAGCAATCGGATCCTTTCGTGGACCATAAGCCGTTCCAGTACAGCACGAGGTCTACAACTCGCATGTGTGGAGTCGGTGCGCCTTTCCTGCCGCCTGGCACTCGTCCGCCGCCTGTCCACCCTGGCATGCATGGAGTTGCTAGGCCGTCTTCCCAGAACCCGGCTGGCATTCAGATGTGTGGGAGTAATAGTGGGATTAGCTTTGATCCCCGATCTCCGCAGTTCGTAGGTCTGCGATCTGTTGTTGCCCGTACGTGTGGAAGTAATAGTGGAATTACCTTCGAGCCCAGAAGCCAGCCGTTCAACCGCCCGCCGTCCGCCGATACTCAGACATGTGGAACTACGCCGTTCAACCGCCCATCTAGTAATGTTGTGTGTGGGGCTACTCTACCCATACCATCCCCATCTAAGAATCGCATGAACGGCACTCCTACGCCCTTCATACCCCCATCTCAGTCGTTCACCCGACCGCCTCGTACCCCATTCACTGGGACATGGCCTACCTCCGCGCCTGCAACATCCAGATTCGCTACCCCGGCCGAGACAGAAGGCCCTCGCTCCGCACGTGAAACAGGCTTCCAAGCCCGTCTGCCTCTTCGAGAAAACCTGCCCATCCCGCCTCCACCGCTCTCCTCCATTGAAGGCCAGTGCGAGCACACCCCCGAAGCTCGCGCTCGTCTTGACGCGCAGAAGCCCATTCGCGAGGCGTGGATCCGCGAGGAAGCCTCCAAGATAGCTCAGCTAGCAAGGCTGAGGCACGCAATGGAAAAGCGCTACCAAGAGACACGTTCCGACAAGGACTACGAGGCCTGGCAAAACCTTCAAGCCGCCTATGATGATGCTACGAATCTGGAGAAGAGACAGGAAGAGAGGCGGAACTTGGTCTTGAAGGATAAGAAGATGAAGGCATTGAAGACGGATTGCGCTGAGGACATGTCACTTGCGAGTCGTGACAGCGTTGGTACGCATGGGGAGGAGAAGCTACTCGGTTACAAGATGGCGCTTATGGAGCGCACGTGTGCTGAGGTCAAGCCTGATGAGGATGCTGAAGCTATCACTGCTGAAATGTTGGAGACGTTGAGCAAAGAGGAGAAAAAGGCTATCCGGAAGCTCCTCATCACCCGTCTTGGACGAAAGCCTTGAACACTCGTTGTGTCTGTACGTCTCGCCTTTCGCGGGAATGTAGCGTACCAAGAGCAGATTGTTGCGGTTGAGGTCTTATAAGTAGAAGGAGAACTTACTGCGGCGGTCTGCTGCCAAGAAATAAAATGATGTATACATTGCCTACACATATCTATGCCGCACCACCAGCCAGGATCTTCTTTCCTTTGACACTCTTCTGCTCCATACCCAAACTAATGAAGAACGCCACACTGCTCGTTGCAATCGCCAATATGAAAGCCGTGACTATCGCGTTGTTGTATCCGTGCAAAACCCCCGGCAGTGTAGCCTCAGGCACAACACTTCTCAAGTTCGTCGCCCCAGCATTCGCCACAATCCTCGCATCGAAGCCCGGCGCATACTTCGGTACCTCCTTCCCCAAGGTATTGACAAAAATGTTCTGTGCAATAGAGATCGAAAGCGCGCCACCAAGCGAATTGAAGAACATAACGCACGCGTTCGCAGTCGGCATATCCTTCTCGTTCGTAACGACCTGCACTGCGACGAACGGGATTTGAACACCAGCTCCTGCGCCGATACCCGCGAGAATCTGGTAGCCGATCCATTGGCCGGGTGGTGAACCGACTTTGAGGGTATAGAGCATGCCTGCGCCGATGGCGAAGATGGCACTGCCGAACCACATAAAGGGCGCGTACCATCCGACGACGGTGATAAGGCCGCCTATGACGATGGAAGAGCAGGTGATGCTGACGAGGTATGCGATCGTGCGGATACCGGATTCTTCGGCTGTGGTCCCTTTAATGGCTTGGAAGTAGAAGGGGAGGTAGAAGATGTGCCTGATGTAAGTTAGCTTTCAAGCTGGTTACTAAAATGATGATGCGGACTTACGTGTACAACGCCATCGACAGCAACGTCGAATACAAGCAACTGACCAGCACAGTCCGCTGCGTAAACACACGAACAGGTATCGTCGCGCGATCTCCCTTGCGCATCTGTAGCCCGATGAAGACAGATATGAGCAATCCAAACCCCAACAACGTTCCCCAAACTTTCGAATTACTCCACGCGTAACTGAACCCACCCCACTGCAGACACAACAACAAACAAACAATTGCACAGATCAAGAAAACAGCCCCCACGATATCAATATTCTTCAACCGCTGCTTGACCGGCAGATGCGAGTACATCCTCTTGGGATTCGTAAAGAAGAAGAACACCACACCCAACGACACCGCACCGAAAGGAAGGTTGATCCAGAAACACCTAGAGGTAAGAAGTCAGTATATGTCTCACATGCACTTTGTAAATCCAGAACTGACCATCGCCAAGAAGCCCGATCTGTCAGCGCACCCCCGAGGATAGGTCCAACAACTGACGCAATACCAAACATGGATGATAGCGCAGCGATGTAAATAGCTCTTTTCCTCAACGGTACTGAGAAACCAATAATCGTCATACCCCCCGAATACAATGCCGCAGCCCCCGCGCCCGCAACAGCCCTACCCACGATAAACATCGCTGAACTAGTCGCTGCAGCACAAATCACACTCCCTACTTCAAACAACACCAAAGCAGAAAGATACGTATACTTTACATCGAAGTACGTGTACACTTTTCCGAATGAAGGTTGGAGGGATGTGGTGGTGAGTAGGTAGGAAGACCCGTACCAGCCTACATCTTCGAGACTGTTGAAGACGGTGGTGATTTTGGGGATTGCGGTTGCGATGATGGTGTTGTCGAGAGCGATTACGAAGGTTGTCAGGCAGAGGCCGATGGAGAGGATGGCTAGTTTGGGGCCGTGGAGATATTTCGATTCGTCTTCGGGGGTGGTGTCGTCGGTTTTGGGGTCGCTTGCGATGGCTGATGTCTGGTTTTTCTCGTTATCCGGCTGTTCGGGGTCGGTGGTGTTTGGTGATGAAGCTGGGGTTGGGGCGGTCTTTTCTGGGTCATGGGTATGTGCTTGGTCGGTCGTGTCATCGTTCGCAGAAGCACCCTCAGGACTTTGCTTTGGCTGTTCCAATTTTGGTTTAGAATCTCCAGATACTTGTACGCTGTCGTCGTTCATGCTTGCGCCGGCCGTCATCTTCGTAGTATCGTCCGCCTGCATACCAGCAGCGGGCCCAGTTCAACACAGGGAGGACTTGCCGTCTGCGGGCCGCGGTGAACTATGTGGAACTTGTCAAGAGGTATCTACTCGGTCGAATCAAACAATATCCCGGCAGTGGCAGGGAGGTCGCACAGGATACCGAACGGTCGCCTCACTCTGCGAACGCAGGAAAAAGCTTCGAGAAGAAGAAGCAGTAGCAGTAGGGCGACCCTTTCTTTCTGTATACAACCCATGATCACGCGCCGCATTCAAAGTGCAACCATTTCGAGCCGTGCGACCGTATTCTGTACGGTATTCGCAAGCCAAGCGACATGTCAGATGGGCATCTGCAACCGAGGAAACATGAATTGGGGATTGGGGCGCGGGACGTTGGGATGCCGAAAAAGGTGCGACCAATGGAAAAAACCACAGGAAACATCCTTACCAGGATGATCAACATTGAGTCCGGTTAGGATTGCAGGCTGCAGGTTACAGAGGCCGTTTGCATCGCTAATTGGAGACGTCCTCGTGAGCTATCATCCGTTCTTTATGACAATTCCGTCATCAGGACAGCATCTCGCTGAAAGTGCTTGGCGCATGATATTGTGCCTGTCAGCAATACAGAATGGGCAATCAGAATGCTGTCATGGTAAGGAAGGAGCGACGCTGCCGTCGCGAATGCGAGTGTGGTCATGTTGTCTCGCAACTTCCGTTATCCTCGGCTAAACACCCCGACCATGATGATCGCCTACCAAAAAGTCTAGAGCAACCTCGAATCCGAATGCGAGCACGTGTAAAGGAACCCCTGTCTTTGACTGTTACTCGCGACCGCAGATCTGGGGTCGGGTCGCTGTGGGTATCATGGTGGGCGTGATCAGCCGGATGGTGGGGTAGCTAGGGCTTTCCTTTTGCGAAGGAAGGTGCTTCAAGCTTCATCCTTGACAATGACCGAGAATGCGCTGCGGGCCGTTTCGCTCCCGTAAGTGTGCCATTGGAGGACGTCACGTTGGGATGGAAATTGAGGGCTTGTTATGAATGTTTGTTTATTGTAGTTCTAATAGCTGTTGTGTATGTGACGAACGGAGCTGCAGTCAAGATGTCGGATACATGTGAGGTGGAACATATGTGAACAACGTAGCGACCCTTTTTCTATAGTTCATCTTCCGAGATTCCACATCGGAATATTCGTGCTTCATGTTGACCCGTTGGGACTCCATTTACTATGGTAGATACACCAATCTACTATTGTATAGCAATTAGCATCGCTTGAGTGCCGTGGGAAAGAGCGCATTACCTAGCCCGGACAAACACCACAAGTCGTCTCAACCTTGACAGTAGCAAGAATTACGCCATCATGACCGCGCGCGCACTTTCACTGCGAGATCTGGCCCTTGGGACACATTTGCTGGAAGATCATCTGGGTGTGTCCACACTTGTGGGAGTAGGCGTGGTAGAAACACATTGCGAGATAGTGTTGGCGTGGTCTTGGTAGTGACAGTGAAGCTCGATACGCTCGGGGTACAATAACTTGGAATGGTGTGACTTAGCGTTTACCTCATGGTTAGCAGTGGTACATCTCCAGGATACACTGCGACTTTGGGGCTCTCCTTGCATGTATTACCTTGTAGAGAAGTCAAATCGGACACTGATTGAGTCGAATGAACGTATGCTGGAACGACTGACTGCGTAGTAGTGACGAAGTGATGGTCTTGGATAGAAACGCTCGAAGAAAGCCCAGATGATCGACGTTGTGACCATCTCTCAATCGCATCTCCAAGTCTTATACTACCACGTATGCCTCGGTCGATACATGATTGCTGTCAATTGCTCGAGTTTGCGCGGCTTGACATCCGTGAGCAACTAAGCAATTAGAAACTCATCCGTCTGGTTGAACAACCACGGCAAGGCGTTTCGAAGTCTAAGCGAATGCCAGTCCCGCAATAGTAATTCCCAAGATGGTTCACGGCTTATCGTCGACTGTTGGCACTGAGGTTGTACTAAGCCGTTTGATGAGAAATGTGAGCATTCAACAAGTGCTGTCAGCACCTATGCTGAAGATGCTGCGCCAGTGTCGTCGCACAACCAGTGACGGGCGGCTCCGGATAGGCGAGCACGAAGCAACCGTTTGGCTTATTCAAGTTCCACGAACACATACTCGCCGTGAGACAGCCATACTAAGAGGTGACCAAACATAAGATCTGACAACAGCGAGATTTGCTCTTCTGCACCTGTGCCACGGTGGCGGCCGCCATCAATGTAGTTTGTTTGATTTGAGGACCGGAAAATCGCCGCACTTATTCGTGCTTCCCTCAAACCCGCCGTACCGTCGGAAATCGACCGACATTTGTTGCGACGTTTGGTTCCGCTGAAGTTTGCGCAATCGTCTTCGTGATTTGCGGCCACCTTGCCTCGGTATGTCCCGGTCACACGGTGCTGGAGTCCCAACCGCTTCAACTAAGTTGCGGAGCTGAAAGCTCAGACATACAATCTAGTGCCGTCATGCGTAGTGAAATCAAGAAGGCTGGCTATCAATAGTAGTTTTTTAGCTGTCGACGATATTAGGCCAGCATTTTCGAAATTCTAGCCAATGAGCATGCGGCCTCACCGCCAATTCGTGTGGAGACTTTCGATGCAGATACGCCGCCAGATCCCGCAGATGACGAGACGATAGCTCGGATCTATCAATGGATACTAGTTTCTTGGATGTAAAGATGGTGTGTAGGGTTCCCAATGGAGGTATCGGGTCCATGTCGCCTTCGAGACTGGGAGTTGCAGAGAGATCCACTCGGGCATATTGCTAAGCCTGCAGAATACATATTGACATGCCAGGGACGCCCGTCTACATCAGTGTCTCGTCAGCATGCATCGTGCTAGTCCTCACCGTGGGGTAGAGGGCCCGAGTGACAACGCAAGCGCATGCTGGCCGTGGCGGAACTGAAAGCGCCATGGTTAGGGCTGTCGAAGCGTCTCTTGCGGCAGACCGACAAGTAGAAATGATGGCATAGTACACCCCACCCAGCCGTGGAACGATGCGCTGGCAAACGGTGTGGTTCATCTGAGACTGCAGCTGAGGCACAGGCGTGCATGGGCTTGTTGGCGAGGCTCTTAAGCGGGCGTGTTGGAGAGGCGTTGAGGTCGAGTAGGAGAATAAGTGAAGGCAGCTCTAGGCTGGGTGCCAGCTGGCAACGCCCCGTCTGAACTATTAACGGGAAAAAGGACATGCGGCGACGTGAGCAGTTTAGCGGAGGAGTTCGACGCTTGACACGTAGCCCACCATAGCTCGCCTGTCTGCAGATTGACGCAGGAGCTGCACCTGCGTCTCCAGCAGGCCGGATAGAGTGCGCGGGTTACTACTAGCATGCGTTTCCTCAGCGTTCGCCCTGCCATTTCCTTTTTGCGCCGTTGGTGAAGTTGTCATTTTCGCATCGCGACGGCCGCTCGCTCCCTCAACACCAGGCCGAGCGCAAGGGTCTGCGCATCACCAGAAGAAGCCCCACCGCCTGCCCTGAGCGCGATCGAACGGCTATCCGCACGCACAGCTGCGAATCTCGAGGCATTGCAAGTGTGCGCGGCCCAGTTTCGCTTCCTCGGCGTCCCAAACAGCTGCACTGACCGCTGCCACACCGCCTGCCGACGTCACGGCCCTTAAGACGGTCGCATTGCCTCGTGCGCGCTGGACGAGGAAAGCTGGCCAACGTCGCAATGAATGCGCTGTCCACGGCCTCGCATCCTCCTCGCCCGCGCCCATCCACCGCGCAATCGACGTCTGACGTCTGCTAGCCTGTCGCAAAAGGGTCTCGCAGCGCCTCACCTCTTGCGTCCGCCCATTGGCTCCGCCATCACCCCCGTCGTCGAATAAGAGCACGGCACTCGCCCTAACCATCGACACCGTCTCGCCCTATCCGTTTCCAGATATCCCGATCTAGGTGAGCCGTTGCTGCCATCCACCATCTGGAAGCAAGACTGACAGTTGGCCAGACACTTCATCATTCGTGGCGCACCCACGAGCTTCTTCCACCGCTTCATCTTTTCTGCGCCCACCATCATTCTCCAACTTATATACGCTGTATCATGATCTTCGCCTCCATCGCAATCGCCTAATTCAACAAATCTCCGAGTAGCGCTTTCCGACTTGGGCCATCACGAGAATCGACCTTCACCCGTCCAAGGGTCGCGCACGGACATCCCGTCGTCTACCGAAACATATCAATTGGCCAGCACGCGCTGCATCGGTGCCAGAGCCTCATCTCCAGGGCGGCATCATCGCGCGGTGTCATCGGTCAGCCTGGGCCGGGCTGCACTGTGTCTATCTCTAGAAGATACAGCGCAACGGTCCGGGTTGGCGGTTAAGGTTAGTGCTTCATGAATCGCGCATTGCCATTCACTTCACGATCAACCTGTACTTGGCGCAGGCATCTCTTCGACTCCTTCTCATTGCCAACTCCAACCACCAATCCGCTCGTCTCTCCTGTTGCATCTCAGCGTCAACTTACGCAACATACCAGATTACATCACTGAACCATGGCATCTCTGGACTTCGACCAGAAGTTCCTTGGTCGGATAGCCAAGCAGACTGAAGAAACAAGTCCATTCCTGTCCAGCGCTCTCTATCAGATTCTGGGTCTGTCAGTTCTCCTGGCCCGGCGACTCATCCGCGCCCGGAAGCTTCGCAAGCTGGACACCAGTCGAGACACTCCCTCGCTCTCTGCCTATCAACATATCCTATGGATGTCCCGAGAGGGGCTGTCCATACTCGAGCTATACGTGCTGCCATATGCGCAGGACAACCAGCATGGGCCAGAGTGTAGAGTGTTGAGCGTAAAGTTGCGGGCGAGCTTCTACCACATCTTCTGCCTTTTCCACAACCAACCGCCTGTCACAACGATGAACATGACAAGCACTGATCCTCGCAACCCTGCCCTACCCCCTTTACCAATGTCACCACCAAAGCATAGTAATGGCCACGGTCGCAGGACCGACCCCCCGGGCTTGTCACCCCCTTCGAAGCGCGCAGGCAAACAACCCGCATTACGCGAACCCATCGACTCCATCGTGTCCGAGACATCATTCGTCACGAACCCCTATGCAGCAGGAGGGCCAGTCGGCACACCATCACCGGGACCGACGATCAATGCGCCTCCGGGCCTCAACCCGGTTCCCATTCCGCAGCCCTCCTCCTTCATCCTTCCACCGCTGAACTTCGTTCCGTTAGCTAGTGGATACTTCACCACCGCCACGCAGTACGCTACCTCGTTTCTGCCTGGCTCACATCCACTGCGTTTATCGGTTGCGCTTGAGCACAGCGCGTTCTTGTGGGATTGCGTTCATGACCATGATGCGTCGCGGCGCGTCGCTCGACGTGCGATCAAGGATGTCTACCGCGCGCAAGAAGCAATGGACGACACCGAGTTTGAAGATGCCGCCGAGCTTGTGGGTATCCTGGGTCGCATGATGAAGCGCAAGAGCTGGGAAGGTACGCCACGCGTCGGAGGCATGGCGAGCCCCGAGCCTGTCGCACAGAACACTCCCCAAGCAGCTGGTGGCAGATCGGAGCCTGCAACTAAACCTCTTACTCCTCCCAAGATTCCCAATCGGCAAAGCAGCAGAAGAGCGGCAGAGGCCCCACCACTTACAGACCCGTCCACACAGCCGCAGTCAACACCTCCTACACGCAGTCGAGCAAATACAGCCAGCAAGTCTGTGCCTCGGCAAAAAGAAAGCAACGGCCACGAGACCACGCCCAAGTCGACGCCGCGACGGCGTGCGGACAGTGATGGTCGCGACACTACACCCCGAAACCGGCATATCAGTGTCGAAAGCGGTGCCAGTACAACCCCCCGGGCACCGCAGGGACTAGGTGGTCGCTCTCCCGCCACACCATCGACGGTCCGAACCGCGCACCGAACCTCAGGCAGCGGCGGCTCCTCAAAAGGAACACCCGTCGCCGGAACCTCAACGCCCCTAACCCAAAGCGCGGCCGCGACCCTTGTCTCCGACAACATGCGCAACTCGCCCTCGCTGCGTCGCTCACCCCCAATCCCACAACCACACTCACCCTCTTTTCCCTACGACTCGCGCCTCTCGCCCTCGCAAGAAAGCTCCTACGCCAGACAACAGAGGTGACTAGTAGAGACGGGTCGGGAGAAGCAAAGAAAGATGGAAGTGCAATGGACCGACTCCATGCATGAAGCCGACCTTGTGCTCCTTCCCATGACACAGCCCTCTTCGGTTTCATCGACTCCTATTGACTTCGCCGGACAGACGTACCCTGAGTACCCGGTCCGCTTTCGGCCTTGAGTTCACCGTCTATCGGGACGGTAAGAGTGCCGATCGACAAGAGCGGAGCACTTCCATCCATCCCTTCCCGTCGCAGAAGCTACATACCTCGGCTCGTGGAGCCCAGATCCCTTGATACCCCCCCTATCATATCATCTCATCACCTATTCCGAATCTCTCTTGTATTGTATCATACCTATTGGCGTTCTTTCGGCGTATATACCTCTTCAACGACATACACGTCCGTCCTGTCTGTTGGACTGTAGCATATCGGATACCAAAAGTCGCCCTTGCGTCTCAAGGCTGGGCGGCAATAGTGCATAATGTTTTAGTTTTCCAATCAGTTTCTCGTTTCCGTTTTGGGCGTTTGTTTGGGTCGGCAGTTGCTTCGGCGAGCTACTGATGATACCAGGTCTGGGGTTACGTTTCCTGGAGGTTGTATTACGCTGATACGTAGTTAAAGACTTCTTGTTGATGTACGCTAGACATTCGTAATTTACGTCATTTTCTGCTTTCAACAAAACGATTTCGTGTTTTGCACTGCGATAATCACGAGGCAAGTTCAGATCCTCAAACACAGTGACTTCTTGTTGCCATGCTGTACTATCTTCGTGATGATACGCAGTCACACCCCAAAGATACATTCGAGAGATCCCAGCTAGCTAATTTACGGACGTTTTGTCGACTGAAATGCCCTCCAAACTCTTTTCATACCAAGTACATACGGACTTCGGCGTGGTACATTCGTCGTGAGGATCGGTCCTGGAGCGTCTAGTCCTAGTTCAACGCCTGTGCTGAATTCTTCGAAGTTTCCACGAAGCTCTTCAGTAGAATTGAGCCGTTGACGCTCGGCGTCTGAGCTATTCGTAGTAGCCAGGTTGAGCGACATAGCGCCTGAGCTGCCATCTTCAGAGCTTTCATGACCCTCCTCAGCTGGATTGAGCCGTTGCAATTCCGGTTCCGAGCTACCTGTAATCCCCAGATCAGGTGATACAGATCCAATCATTGAGATTACGCGACGTGTGCTATCTCCAAAGCTTACACGACCCTCCTCAGCCAGATTAAGCCGTTGCAACTCCGCGCCGGAGCCATCCGTATCTATCAGATCGGGAGACACGGATCTGGTCACTGAGCTTTTACCACGCGGGCTTCTCTCGACGATGCCGATTAAGCCACTCACAGTCTGTAAAGCATCGAGATCTTCCTTGCTCACTGGGCCGATGGCTGGAAGTACGCCTTTGTCATGCAGGCTCGCTCCGATGCGCGCCATAGCCATGGCGTCTATTTGGTCTGACCAGGTTGGGATGCGATACAAGTAATAAGTTATATAAATTAAGCCGAGTAGTTGGATGCCTATTAGGACTGAGAGTATGATGACGGTTCTGTTTGAAAGCACAGGCTTTTGCACGGCGAGACCTGAAGAAGCGTAGATTGTACGATGCGGCAGACTCTCGTTTCTTACCATCTCTTGATCGCCGACATCCTGGGAATATAAGGTAAGAAAGGCTCGATTGGCGACAAACATGGAGACATTCAGTAGACTCTCTGCTTTCTCCAGTGTTCTTACTTGGCTGCCGCTCCATTGGTTGACGGGTGCAAAAGCGGCTAGTAAATGATGCGTAGCTAGCAACACATCGTCCTCTCGTATCTTATAGCCATCGAACATACGCTGATCGACTGAGCTGCAAAGAGACACGAAATCATCGCTAGTAGGACCGCCGACAGGGAATAGCTGCTCAAGTCTCGCGAACGGCATTCCACGACAGAAAAGCTGCCATGAAGAGTTCTCGTATATTCTTGCACCATCAGTAATATTAGCTGGCATCTTCAACATAAAGTCCGTGGCTATGCTTAGCCAGGACCCTCTTCCAAATAAGACAAGTGCGCTCGTCATTAGGGGACCAGGGACTCTCCATGTCGCGGGTTTAGACGGTTCAATGTCTTGTAAAGGCGGATCCTGGTTTTCAAATTGCTCATCCCTGTCCTGAAAAGGATCATCACTGTTTGGCGTTAGTACCATGTTACAGCACCTTTGGGCTCACATACGCTTCGGAAGGGATGTAGCCTCCTCTCCAAGCATTACCCCGGTCATTAAAGTCTTCTTCCATCTGTGCTTGACCCGGCCACCGGTCAAGAAGCGGCCCGTATATATTGTTATTCCAATTGCTACCAAGTTCAAAATAGCCTCTAGTAGTCGTTGCTGTGCAGCGAATGCTATAGCTTGTATTAAACTGTGGATGCTCTGAGTTCCATTCGAGATTACCGATGTTTGTGTCCTTGAGATCAATATATATCTCTTCGGTGAGATCCTGACGGCTGCGGCTGAGTGACCATGGGAAGCTAGTGTAATTACCAGGAACGCATATGCGTACATTTGCGTCTATAACGCGTTCCCAGAATACAGTGAAAGGCTGATCACCAGGACAAGGTGATGGAAAATCCCCGGGTTCTATCTCCTTGCATGATATAGAGGAATTAAGCCTCATAAGATGTTGGCGCAAAACTCCAGTCGTAGTCCCTGCTGGGAGACCCGCTACAAAGAAATCTGGGGGAGAATTGTAAGAACTGCGAGAGAAGACCCAATTACGCAACGATCTTGACGCAAAGCCAAACCCATCATTCATAGCAGCAACCGGGTGGTATGTCGCATTAACACTCCATAGATAAGACTGCGCCTCGTCAGGGGTGATCGATGCTAGTCCCAAGGCTACCCGAGACCGGATAAGCATGTGTGGTATGATGGCCATTTTTGCAGGCTCAATATCCCGTCCGACCTCCCCGGTGTTATACCACGAGCGAGCGCCACAATAACTATTCCAGTAACGAATATCCCTACACGTAGCCACGGACACTGTACCAGATCCTACTAGAATCTGATACAAAGGTTGTTGTATAGCTCCGAAGAGGATGAGGCAGGCTGCAGGAAGTAGGAAAGCTGCGCTCGACTTGCCCCCCGGGATTGATGGCCGAGTCCGAATTGAACGCCAGATCAAAGATGGATTCGTCCACCCCCGATCTGCAATTGTAAACAGGTCTCTGAGACTCAGAAACTCATCCGGTTTGCGCCTTTGACAAAACAGCACTGCTGCTTGGGCCAGAACTGCAGATAAAACTGGAACTGAATAGTAGTTCACACAGTCAGCATGAGTACCTACGTAGGTAGTAGGGTACTATATGTATGTTGCTTACTGGTGATGAGTCCAGCAATGGAATTTAGTACACCAACTGCGGTGTTCCAGTTGCGCATGTTCGAGACCTCATGATCGTGGAAGCCTTGTTGTCGTACGTAAGAGCTCGCATTAACCGGCCGATGCGCAAGCACACAAGTTAACACCCATGGAACAACAATAACTAAGACGTAGAAGCCGAGAAGCCAAAACGCCCTGGTGCGATAGCGCAGTGGTTGCGCTACATGTTCGTCGCTGCTTTTAGTAGAATTGTCGCGCTTCTCGCCGTTATTATCCATTTCGCAATCGTCTCGAGATGTCGTGGTAAGATCAAGGAACGCGAGCGACAAAGATGTAGATGACGATGGTAGTAAGGAGGGACCGCAATTGCGCGGCAGGCTGAGCATGTAAGCCGCTCAAGGTGACAAGGTTGACCCATTGAGCGACTACGTACTTTGCTCATTGGTCGAATAACTTATCCGGGCTTACTTTGCATAACAAAAGCAACATCCAACAATGGGGCGCAGCGCCGGGCGCAGGAAGAAATGTTTCTTTCCAATACGATCAAGATTGCCTCCATCGTCTCTTTGGTGTCATAAGAGCTGATCGAGGCGTTATCAATCGGCTGGCGCTTGATGGACCTCAAGAACATACTTACTGTGTCTTTCGCTACGGCCTGTAGAACTTCGATAGCTGCTGGAATCACTGCGACAGCTTCAAAGCAGAGTCAGGATATACTCGTAGTGATTTCACCGACCTGTTTCAGCAATGGTAACGTACTGACATCTCCCCGGTACGATGTAACAATCCTCACGTCAACTACTATGACTGCGCCCACTCAAACCGGCCCGTACTAGATCTCCACGTCAACGAAAGAGACGTTCTTTCTCTTCAAAAATTGCGAGCCGCCTTCGAAGCGCAACACAGCTTGATTCTTTTGCTGGTTTACTACCGGCAATGCGTAGTCTAGAGCATACATGTACATGTTCGCGATGTATGTGCTACAGATGAGTGGCAGATCGCACGATGGAAGAAAGCTAGCTACCGCGTTCGAAGCTCAAAGTTCATCTTAAAGGAAACACGCATACGCGCGAGAAGCAATTGCGAAGGGCATTCAAGAAAGATAAGGCGAGCGATGGTAAGGTGGCGTGTCCGTTGTGTCCAGGTAAGGTTTGAAAAGAGAGTTAACATTTATTTAGACATGAGGAAGGCGCACCCGGAACAGTTCTGGGAAGACGATGAGGAGCAAGAAGAGATGCATGATAGAGACTGAGACTGAAGTAGAGTAAGTTCCGCATGTGCTTAATCTCTTGTAGAGGACGCGAGTTCCAGCGAAGTTTAAAAACTCAAGGAGACCAAAAACATAGGTTCCGCTTCAGACCCGTCTCTTAAGCACATAATATCGGCAAAAAAGAAAGGACAACGACTGTGATGGTCACTACGAGGGTCGAACTCGCGACCTTGGCGTTATTAGCACCACGCTCTAACCAACTGAGCTAAGCGACCGATGTTGTCTTGTAATTGGATGGAAGAATTGAAAATTGCAAAATTTATATTGCGCTTGACCAGCGTTACAAGCCTGAAAAGCCGCTCTCGTGACGGCCGAGAAATTCGTAGGAAAGTGGGGTACTTCAGCCGGAAGGAGCGAACACTGTGATTGGAAAGTATCTTACACTTTGTAACTCTTCACATTATGGAGTAAGAGGAGGCCTTGGAATACCAATCGTTACGAGAGCGGAGCCGCGACCAGGACAATCGCAACATATACTGATTATTACCGCAGCATCATTCCCCTGTTCAGCGCCCCCTACAGCCTCCGTCTCCAGCTCCAGTGCGCCTCAACATCCCCAATCAACTCCTCCCAAATCTTCCAGTTCTCCGTCCACATGCCATCCTTCATCAAGATCGCCTCCTGTGCTTTCTTTGCAAAGTCAACTGCCTTTTCTGCATCACCAACAGCACTGTGCGCCAACGCCGCGAACCCGTACGCCACATCCATGAAGCCTTCTAGCCCTTCTCCTCGGTAGATCGTTAGCAATCCTTCCGCCATAGCGGGTGAGGCGGATGAAGTGGGTGACCAGTCATTGAGTTGGGATTGGAGGGAGTGGATGTGAGATAGCGTGGCGTCGGAAGAGGGGGATGTGCAGCGCGGGCAGGTGCATGTGAAGTGGAAGCCTGCTTGGAGATGCTGTTGTCGTTCTGGTGTTGGTTCGATGGGGGAGGTATCTGCGGCTGTCAGTTCTTTCAAGGGGAAGCCTTGTGGCGAGTGGCGCATTGCCGTGAAAAATTGCTTACATGAGATTGTGATCTCTTCACCCGCAGCAATTGGCCGTGTGACGCGCACCGTATGAGTCAAGAGGCTGGTGTCGATAACGTATTGCGCACTATCGTCGCGATGTCAGCATACGTTCCACACCCCTTCCCATCTTCGTCTTCATCCCCCATCCCCAACCCTCATTCAAGGAACCAACATACTTGGGCGCACACGCATGATTCAGCCGACTCGTCTCCGGCCAAACCGCCAGATGATTCCTCCCCCTAACCAAAACCTGAAACGTATTCGCCTTAACCACATCTTGCACCTTTACCCTCTCATCCCCATACACCGTCGCCAGCCCCAAAAACCCTTCTCTTAGCCCCTCCGGCAACTGCTCAATCGCAATACGCCAAAGCTGTTCCCTATCCAAAGTAGAAAGCTCGGATTCTAGATACGCAATGAAAGCTGGTGTGTAGCTTGTCACAGTGTCGCCAAAGTTGAGGGGGCGGGTAGCGAGCATGCCGATGCCTTTTCCTGGGATAGACGTTGCGGTGTAGATGTTGGTTGGGGTGTTGATGTCCGACGAGGCGAGGGCTGAGGGTTTAAGGAAAGCAGGGAGCGCGGCGAATTGTTGGGCTAGCGATGGTGTTGTGACGATTGAGATTCCACGGCCTTGGCTGAAGGCAGAGTCTGTGTAGATGCAGAGTGTGTCGTTGAGGCCGGGGAGATGGGGTGTGCAGAGTGGTTGGTGGGACCATGGTGCGTAGGGTGACTCTTGTTGCTCGTCTTGTATATCTGATATGTGAGAAGACGGGGAGCAGGATGCAAAGTCTTGTGATCCATCAAGTGAGGTTTGGAGAGAGAGGATGTAGAGTGGACTTTGTTGCCAACATTGTTGATGCCAAGGTATTGCCGAAGACGCAACGCATGCAACGTGTGCTAGGAAAATGGGATGGCTCCGCATTATGGTTTGACTCCGGTAAGGCCACACAAGAACTAACCAGGCTATTAATATGGGTTCGTGTTAACATAATGAAGAACGCGCGAAGTCGACTTACGTGTATTATGGCATGTTCGCGGATGAGACGCAAGACGTTTGGCGCGTGTCGCTAAGTATAGAGCGCCAAGCCGTGAGCTTACTTGAGCCCGGAAAACGTTAACAAAGCGATACATCATGGTAGTAATACAGAATTGGGTATTTGAACTTATCAAGCTAACCTAAACACCTGTCAATGCTTTTTTGATGTTCTCCCAAGAAGAAGCAAATGCGCCCATACTCCACGTCCAGCAGCACTCACTGCAGCGTCGAACTTGCATCGCATAATACAAATCAAGCAGCATCGCCATTGACTTCGCCATCGGAACTGCGCTTCTTCTTCTTCTTTTCTTTGCCCTCGCCTTCTTCCCGTTTCCGCTTCTTCTTTTTCTTCTCGCCGCCATCCTCCTCCGGCGCAACATACTCGGCCATCCGCTCTTTCCTCTTGGCGTCCATCTTGTCCTTCATCTTCTCCTCCCGCTCTTCCTGCACCTTCCTCTCCTTTGCATGCTTGCCCAAAAAGTATTCTCCACTCTCGATCTGCAGGTCGACCTTGCTCTTCTCCTGCGGCGGTGGGAACGGTGTGTATGTCTTCTTCGTCTTGTCGGTGACTCTGTGAGGTACGCGGCGCTTGCTGAGGGAGCGCTTCTTGAAGTTGGGTAGGAAACGATCCCAGCTCTCATTGACTAGCTCTGGGTCCTGGATAAGGTCAGTGTGTGGTCCATGTAGCTTGCGCATATAAAGCCTACCTTGGCGAGCTCCTTCTTGATCATGAGCTCTTTGATAGCGTAGATGGGATGAATGTTGTGCATCGTGTCCTCGACAATGCGCCGTACCTGCTTGAGGCCTTTGTAAGGACCCATGGCTGCGACTGTGTTTCCTTGCACCAGCAGGTATGTTTCCGTAAGCAACTCCAGCGCCTTGAGCGTCGATCCATTTGGCCCCAATATGCGCTGCCGCCTCTTGACGAAGCGATCCTTGTTTCCAACTAGATTCCGTATCTTGATGATATCCATAGCCACCTCATCTTCCAGAATCTTGATAGCTTGCGGTGCCGGTACGCTTCGCGCGAGCAGCTTAATCAAGTCGCGCGCATTCAATATCGCCGCCGGGTCGTATGTCTTTTGTGTCGTCCATACTGTCATGGAGCCCTCGACCAAGTTGAGCTCACAGCCCACACCCTGTTTCTGCAACGCTTGCGTAATAAACTTCCAGGATCCCTTCAGATACTGTTCGCGATACTTGGGGAAAAGCGTGCTGAAGCGAGACTCGTCGGTGAAGGCGCCGGCCGTGTTATCCTCGGGCTTGAAGGGCTCGATCTGCGCGAGCGTTAGAGACGATCTTCTCGATGCGCGCAATTCCGGCGCAAACGTACCTTCCACTTGTCGATGTCATCTGTATCCCAGGGCTTCTCCGCATTGTGAGTGGACGGCATGGTGGGCGAGTCGGTGTTGGTTGGTTTGCGATTGGGTGCGGGTAACTTTTTTCTAGAAGTTGCACTTTCAATGCCAGGCACGCTAAGATTCTGTCACCGCCCGGACCTGGCAGCGCTAACTCCGCAACATCTACTCCTTTACTCAACCTAACATGATCTCATCGCACACATCCTCGTTCCAAGTGGTCAAACTCACGTTCTCGCCGTACTGCAGCCAAGGCGTAAATTGATCTAAAAGGATTTGTAATGTGGGCGTATGGTCCTGAAACTGAGGGGAGGATGTAGGTTATGTCCAATGGATTGGTCGGATGCAAGGGCATGTAGCGGTCCAGATTCTGAAGTGAGCGATCAGAACATGTGATTCTTTGTTTATAAAGGAAACTTGCAGACTGCCCCAAATCTGCACTGTACGATGATGAGAATGGACGGAAATGAAATATGCCATGTTCCTCATTCTGCTTTCGCGGAAAGCTATCTACAAAACTCCAACTATGAGTCTAAGCCGTGCTGTTCCCCATCAAACGGTCATTGCCGTCTCGACAACATCTTATAGCACCTCAAATTCATAATAGACGTACGCCGTATACTCTTGCTCCATCTGACCGGCTTGTGCCATGTCCGTTGACAGAGCCTGGTCGTCCTTCTGGATGCGACCTTTGCTGTCGCGGCCGAAGGCGTTGCCGCCGAGATATGCGTAAGCCGAATCGAGATTTGACTTTGCCTTCTTTGCCGACTTTGGATCGGTCTGGGCAAGTTAGCAGGTGCTTGGTAGGTTTCGTGGTACGTCAAACTCACCTGGACAATACCGCATACGAAGTCGAGCGGTAGACCGTATCGCAGCACCGTCTCGACAAATACCCTCAACGCCATGACGTGGATCCAGATCATGGCGCTCTCGCTGTATCCTGTGCGGCCCAGCCGTAACGCCTCGCCCCATAGCTTCTTCTCGTCTTTGGCTAATTGTTCCGCCTCTTTGGCCTCCTCTTCCTTGTTGCCCTCCTTGTACTGGTATTCTCTGGGTGTCCACCGCTTCTCTCTGCACTTGTGGACAAACTCGTTGGAATGCTTCTTGAAAGTGGTGACAGCGAACAACGTGAATTCTGAGTCTTTGGCGAGCTCGTTGGCGGAGCGGGGCACGACCATCGGACATAGCTCCTCGTAGTCTTTGTAAAAGTCCTTCACGTTATTGTTGGGGACGGCGATGAGATGCGTATCGAGGTATTCCGAGTCGCGGACGATGGATTTGGGGTTTACGACGTTGACGAGGGACTTGGTCGCGAGGTTTCCTGTGCGCTTCCGCTCGGCGGCTTGGAGGGCGCCTTTGGTCTGGTTATACTGGCTGAACTTGGACTTGACGTCGTTGTCGATGCCTTGTATTTCCTGTTCTCGTTAGCCATAGCTACAGCGCGAATCGTGTGTAATGTTCACCTTCTGCAGTGCGTCTATAAGGTCTGCAATAGGCTTGTCTGCCCGGTACTTGACCTTGTTCCACTGGAAGTTGCGCAGATACTGGTCGACAGGCTCTACATCATGTGAGCTGCTAGACAACAATCGCATACTGCCCATTCCACCTACTGTCGTTGATCGTCTTCTGCTGTTGTATCTTGCCCTCGTCGCCGTCGAGTATCTGCCTCAGGCTGTCGCCCACCTTGGCGACTACCGCCTCGCAGGCATTGTTAAGCTTGGAGAGGTCGTCCGCCTGCTGGACGAGTGCATCGAGGGTTCCGATCTTGAAGTTGGGTATGGCGAACGGGGAGGTGGTGCCCACGTCATTGGTCACGGTGGAGCGCAGCGCTGTCAGGGCGTCGTCGGCGTGGTTCGAGGGCGAGATGGACGTCGGCAGCGACACCAGCAGGTACTTGCTCCCCTTGGACATGGTTGCTGCAGTTCGTCTGGGGCGATCGGGGCGCGATATAGGCGGTTATGGGAACGATGGCCGTTTCGGTGGATGGAATCCAGTCGGGGGAGCTTGGGCCTCGTCGGGGCCTAGGGTGCTGGGAGCTGCCGTCATTGGCGTTTATATAGGCCGCCGTGTATACCCGTCGGGGAACTGAACAACAGAATTCCTCCCTCACCCACGCAAAATGGCCTCGAAAAAAGCTGTTCTGGCGATGCGCCCGGCCGTCAATGGTCTTGCGCCGCGGATTTGGAGGACAGAATATTCCCAGGTCGCGAGTTACTCCACAAGAACGCGCGCGATTCGAGCCCCACGTCCCCGCAACCTCACACGACTATCGCAGCAGCAAGTCCGGTATGCTTCCTCTGAAGGCGCAAACGAGCAGCTGGGCAAGACGGGCTTGTACGAGCTTCACAGCAAGTATGGCGCCAAGTTTGTGCCATTTGGCGGATATGCCATGCCCGTCCAGTACAGCGACATGAGCATTATCGACTCTCACAACTGGACGCGCGAGAAGGCCAGCTTGTTCGACGTTGGGCATATGTAAGTTGCAGCGACTCTTGAATTGGCCGATAGTCAATTACTCCAATCATGTTCCGAGCGCTAATTCATTCAGGGTCCAGCACCACTTTTCCGGGCCTGGCGCCGAAGCCTTCCTCGAGAGCATCACGCCGTCCTCGCTGTCTTCACTTCCCGTACGCCAGTCCACTCTGTCAACACTGCTGCACTCAACAGGTGGAATTGTCGACGACACCGTTGTCACGCGTCTACCCGACCGATTCTACGTCGTCACCAATGCCGGCTGTAGGGAAAAGGACACTGCATACTTCAAGACGCAGCTAGAGGCCTGGAAGAATGCACACCCCGATCAACCCGTGGAGTGGAACGTACTCGATGGGCAGGGTCTGGTCGCCCTCCAGGGCCCGTTATCCGCCGAGATACTGTCGCGCGTACTTGACGACAAATCCAAGAAGGATCTCGAATCGCTTTACTTCGGACAATGCACAAACGCCGTGATCAAAGGTACTGATGCCGAGGTGCTCGTCAGTAGAGGTGGATACACCGGTGAGGATGGTTTCGAAATTAGCATTCCTGCATACGCCACCGAAGCCGTGACCCAGTTCCTGCTCGATTCTGCCAAGAATGAGCTGCGGTTCGCAGGTCTAGGAGCGCGTGATACCCTCAGACTAGAGGCGGGCATGTGCTTGTATGGCCACGATCTTGATGACACGACCACTCCAGTCGAGGCTGGACTATCATGGATCATCGGCAAGGACCGCCGCGCAAAAGGCGGCTTCCACGGTGACTCCGTCATCTTGCAGCAGTTGAAGAAAAAGTCTGAAGGCGGTGGTGTATCGCGGCGCCGTGTCGGTCTCATTGTAGAAGGTTCGCCTGCACGAGAAGGTGCCGAGATTGTCGACGAGGCTGGTGAGAAGATTGGCACCATCACCTCTGGCTGCCCTTCTCCCACAATGAAGAAAAACATCTCCATGGGTTACGTCAAGGACGGCATGCACAAGGTAGGGACTGAAGTCGAAGTCATCGTGCGTGGCAGGAAGAGGAAGGCTGTCGTGACTAAGATGCCTTTCATTCCCAGTAAATACTACAAGCAGCCAGCGAACATCAAGGCATAGACCTCTCATCGAAGATGGAGCTACGAAGAAACTAGTATAACTTCATTTCGTCATCTTTCTCATTCGTCTCAAATATGCTGTTTTCTAACATTTCAAGCATGGGGGTAGTCACTGGCAATACGTGCTCGATTTTCGAGCAGCGCAAGACCAGACGCCCACAGACCCGACACTCGTCGCTTGTTCGTCGGCCTTTCTATCAGAGTCAAAAACGCATTACATCAACTACGGCGTTGTTCGGGTGCTACAGGACGTAACACGGCGAGATGCCGACCGGCGCCGTAACGATGCCGCTAACACTGGGTCGCGGCATCTGCGGCGTCTACGGCATCAACGCTTTCGACTGAGCATCGACATCGATGTTGAACATCAGTCCACAATTCTACTGCCTGGTGCAGTCGTTGCACCTACTGCTGTGTTTTCATTCGACTTCGTTATCGGCAGATCACACCACGTTCGCAGAAGCACGTCAATTAACCGGCTGCAGGCCCAGTGCAGGGAAGATGCTCCTGGCGCTACTCTGACAAACAGTGAGTGTCTAGAATGAGCGTGATGGTGTATGGAGACTGTTGTGTAACCATAGAGGAGGGGGTTGTAGATCACGACAGGTATTTAAGAGTTGACAACAGCCGTGACTCTGGCTATCATCCAGCACACTTTCAACTTCTATCTACAACCCAAACATACAACCGCTCAGTTCATATTTCGCAACCATGCCTCTCACCAAGTACAAGGCTGCCTGTGTAAGTACCTGATGTCACTTTCCACACCAAACTCCATCTCATCAAGTTATAGGTCACTTCCGAGCCATGCTGGTTCGACCTCGAAGCCGGCGTCCACAAGACCATCAACTTCATCAAAGAAGCAGGCGATGCAGGCTGCAAGCTCATCGCCTTCCCCGAGGTCTGGATTCCCGGTTATCCATACTGGATGTGGAAGATCAACTACCAGCAATCGCTTCCGATGCTCAAGGGGTACCGTGAGAACTCGCTTCCCATGGACTCCGAAGAGTTCCGTCGAATCCGCCGCGCTGCTCGTGATAACCAGATGTTAGTTTAGTTGCCTTGGATAAGTATTGCAACTCGTATTGACGATGCGCATAGCTACGTCTCCCTCGGCTTCTCCGAGATCGACCACGCCACACTCTACCTCGCGCAGGCCTTGATCGATCCTACCGGTGAAGTCATCAACCACCGCCGCAAAATCAAGCCCACACACGTCGAAAAACTCGTTTACGGCGACGGCGCAGGCGACACCTTCAAGTCCGTCACGCAGACTGAACTTGGCCGCCTCGGCCAGCTCAACTGCTGGGAGAACATGAACCCCTTTCTCAAAGCCCTCAACGTGTCCGAAGGAGAGCAAATCCACATCGCCGCCTGGCCTGTCTACCCGGGCAAGGAGACGCTGAAGTATCCCGATCCGGCGACGAATGTCGCGGATCCGGCAAGTGATCTTGTTACGCCGGCGTATGCGATTGAGACGGGGACGTGGACGTTGGCGCCGTTTCAGAGGTTAAGTGTTGAGGGGCTGAAGAAGACGACGCCTGAGGGGGTGGAGCCAGAGACTGATCCTTCGACTTACAACGGGCATGCGCGTATCTACAAGCCTGATGGTACGCTTGTTGCCAAGCCTGACAAAGATTTTGACGGCCTTCTCTTTGTCGATGTAAGCTCTCCTTACCACCAACCCAGCCTGATCGGACCACTGACATATCCTAGATCGATCTTAACGAGTGCCACCTGACCAAGGCGTTGGCTGACTTCTCTGGTCACTACATGCGTCCTGATCTCATCCGTTTGCTGGTCGACACTCGTCGCAAGGAGCTCGTTACTGAAGCTGATACGAATGGTGGGATTGCGAGTTACACTACGAGGGAGCGCTTGGGGTTGAATGTTCCGCTTGATGCGCAGGCGCCTAAGCAGAAGGCGGGTGCGGTGGATGGACCGGTGAGCTCTGCGTTCTAGACTTGAGATGATGCGACAAGGGTTCTGGAATCATCCATGTGTCGAATTTGACGTAGCGACAGCAACATATAAATCGAACATCTCCACTCATATTACGTAAGAAAGCAATCACAAGCATGATATTCTGAACATCTCTGCTGCTTACAAAGACTCTGGGCATATACCTCGTTTGCACCCTTCACACAGATCCTTCCTGTGCGGTGGTGTGTATTTCTCCGTGTACCCACGTGAAGCCTGTTGCACCCCACTCCAAGCCAGAAGCCTGTACGAAACGCGATCAATGTAGGAGGCATTGTCCAGTTTCAGCTTCCCCAATCTGTTGCAAGATCTGCAGCGTTGTTTGAACACCTCGGCGTTGTAACTGCCGTTCGCATATCGCCGTATGAGTATCGTCACTTTCCCGCTTGTCCACGCATGCGTTGGGCACGTGTTGTTGTGACAGCGGAATTCGCCAATAACAAAAGTGGAATAAGATTTGTTGGTTCCTTGGCTGGTGTTCGTCTCGTTGAAAGGGAGTGGAGTCATGTGTTCCGACACTGCGAGGGCGACGTCTGGGTGTAGAGATGGGTACATGCGGGTGGGTTTTGGTGGACCTTTCTTCTTTGCCATCTTTTAATCGTTCTTGGAATGGAAGTTGTATATGGTTGACGCTGGGGTTGCAATCAAGTGGTGGGGAACTATGAATCGACGTGAATTTGCTCAACGGCGCATGCTTTAATGAACCACAACTCACGAGATTTTGGATGAATGTCACCAATCTTTCCAGCAGGCGACAGCCGCAGACGTTACCCCGCGCCCTGATGAGTTGTACTGCAGCGTATGTTACACAATATGCATACCCCTCAGCGGTGGCATGCTCTGTAGAGGCGTGGTTAGTCGTTCCTCAAATCGCGAGGCGGGGTGGCGCAAGGCTGGCAAGGACGGTCTACGCGACATGCGACCTCTGTCGACCCGACGTGGGGTCTTATCTATTGCGATGAACAAACGCAGACAAAACCTGCGCCTAGACTCCATGCGCAAGATTCCGACAACTACATGACGCCACTCTGTCTACTGTTTTCGGTGTTTCGCTTTGCTGGCATGACTAAAGCGCTCCGGTCGTCCGCAGGAGGTCGTGTTTTGGACGTGCTAGAACTTGTTGTTTTTTGCAGTATCTCCAGGGGTTAAGGATGGGCGCTCAATGTGCAGCGATGAATTGCTGCTGGGCTCAGATGTCATGACCAGGAGGTGTCGTGATGATAGCGGAGTTGTAGGCGAGATGCCAGCCGCCACTAGTGCAAAGGGCCGCCGCGGGAGTCATGGATCCTTGTCGCAACTTTACTTTATCCAAATCTTCCCCACCATCACCGAACTTCCGACTTATGACAGCCGCTACAACCTCACACCCATAACAATGGCCGACGCAGACGAAGATGCGTCGCACTTGCGCGTACCTGACGCTGCCGACTACGACCCGACAGAAGAAGCGCAAGATTTCCTGAAGCTCGACAAACTCACGTAGGCTTTCACATGCCCACTCATCCTCTTGTCGCATTGCTGACATGATTACCGCAGAGCACAAGACAGCGCGCATCCCACATTGCCTAAGCGTGGCGAAAAGGACTTCGAAAGTCATGAGACGAACCTCCAGCTCGACACACTAGAGGCTTCACGCCGGGCCATGCACGGCGTCCTCTCATGGCAGCGGACGCACACGCAAAAGGGCCACATTTTGGCCATGTACGACCCAGAGCGCAACATGGCATGCGTCGACAAGGTCCGCTCACAGCACTTCCAAACAATCGGCACAAACAAAGGAGGACGAGAGTGGCTACTGCCGGAAGAAGCCTTGTTCCTGCTCGAGCGAGGGACATTGGATGTGCGATGGCCGGTCAAGCGAGAGGTGGGCGACAAGACAGTATATAGGACTGAAGATGGCGCGCCAATGAGCTTGCAGTCGGCGTATGCCGCCTTCATCGGGTTTGAGAGCGGCGTAGGGGGAAAGTTGACACTGGAGATGTACAATGTCTACGCGGGATTGAAGAGGTCGGGATACGTCATCTTCAGGACAGGAACTTGGGACCATGACAGAGGGGACGTCGTCTTAGCACCACCCAAGGCGGAAGAGGAGACCGGAACAGGACCAGGCATAGTCACACGCTTCTTCTCCGAACTATGGCGGCGACTGAATCAGCCCATATACCAGATCTCAGCCGAGAACCTTGCTTTTGGCCCGCTCATCAAGCCCGGCTTGTACCGAAGCTACAACGATGTCTACCGCCTACTCAAGCTGATACCCACCTACGACCGTTCCGTCCCACCGACCTTTATCCTCCCACCATCGTCAGAAAACCCATACCGCGTTCATTTCGACGTCTACCGCACCACGGCCCGATTTAAGAAGTCTGCCCGCGGGCCCCCAGACTTCCGCATATGCGTCGTCGACGCACGTTCGACACCCATACCAACAAGTGCACAGCTTAATGATCTCATGGCGCAGGTGCCAGAGGATAGACCCAAGGGGGATGGTCACCCGAATCAGAGGCTGAAGCATGGGTGCAGAAATGTAGTAGTGGCAGTAGTGGATAATGGCATACCGAGCTACCTGAGGATTGCCGATAGTCCGTTCGACGAGGTTAAGATTTATGAGAGGTCAGCGCCGAGAGGGAAGGGTGGTGGTAGAGGAAGAGGAGGCGGTAGGGGGAGAGGGAGGGGAAGAGGACGTGGTCGCTGAGCATGAGCATTCAGCTTGTCATCGCCACAATCGCCAACAACGGGCTGCCATCGAGAGTGCTCAACCAAAGGCTTCGCTTCCACCGCAGAAATATCCCGCCAAGCAATCTTCCCAGAACCATTATGAGTTTACACGGGACTGAGTGCTCGACCAAGTCAGCCCCACTAAGGGCGGTGAACACTCGGCTGATTTTGGCGTCAAGCGGAGTAAGGAATCTGGGCAACGATCCGCTCACGCCGTACTGTGATATGAGGCATTTGTCTTAGGCAGAAGTTATCAACCCTGTCAAAGGCAAGAGAAAGAAGAATCATGTCGCTTTGAGCCTATCGAAACAGCTATGAAAGTAAAACCCAAAGCAAGCACGAGATTAGGCAGGCCTATACACCCTGACAGATAAACACTCGACACAATACAGAATCTCTTGTCCTCCTCGGCATTACCTTCCTTAATTGCATCGAACCGGCCAATAAGCTCATCTCAGTCATCTCGCTCAATACATTGGGTCGCCAACAGCTGTGATAGATGCAGTGCACACACCATTCTGGCAGTATCCGGCGGGTGTGAGCCATCCCCAGAGTTCTATACGATATTAGCGTCGAGTCACGATGTAAGGATGGATGAAGACCTACCAACTGACTGTCCATTCTGGAAGATAGCATTCGCGGCGCCCGAGATTGTTGCGGAGCAAACTTGCGTACCGCTGAGCTGATCGCAGGTGATGACGAAAGGAGCCGTCGCGGTCACGGGCGCACTAGCGGTACCATAGCAGCGTCCACCTTCGCACCAGGCTACCACGCTGGTGTTGGTGCCGTAGTTGTTGCCGTCGACGAGGAGATTGCTGATCGTACCGGCTACGGTGATGTTGCACCTGTATGATGCGTCGCATGCACCAGACACTAGCCTACGTGTTAGTTGACTGAACATTCTCAAGGCTGGTGATTAGCTTTGAAGACTTACTGAGGCCATAGGCAGCACCAAGAACACCGGAGAAGGTATTGTCGATCACGGCGGGCATAGCAGGGAGGTTGTCGAGGGTGAGCTTGCCTTGTCCCTGGACAGGAGCAGAGAAGGTGGACGGTAGAGCAGTGGGAGCTGCAGACGGAGCAGTTGTGGGCGCCGCAGTAATGGTGGAGGTGGTGGATGCCTTGACAGATGAAGCTCCCAAGCTAAGGTCGACAGCCAACAATGTTGACGATGAAACCTTGACTCCCAAGAGAGGTGAGGAGGATCCACCGACATTGACACCGAGCAAAGGTGCGGTGCCCGAAGTAGTGACCGCTGCGCTGCTAGCCTTGGAGGTGACCACTGCACTGCTGGCCTTGGAGGTGATGACTGAAATGACAGCACTGCTGGCTTTCGAGACAATAGCGGAGCTGCTGGCCTTGGATACGACCGCTGCGCTGCTAGCCTTCGAAGTTACTACTGCAGCCGCACTGCTTGTCTTCGAAGTGGCCACTGCAACCGCACTACTGGACTTGACGACAGCTGCTGCGCTGCTGGTCTTGAGAGCACTGGAAGTCTTCGCGGTGGTAGTTGCAGCGCGGTCTTCGAGAATGGGCGCAGCTGCAGCCAAGGCGCCGAAGAAGGTGATGGTAGCGAGAAGCTTCATCTTGATTGATATGACGGACCGAGCGAGTAAGAGTAGTGATCGAGGAAGCGAGAGAGATGCCGAGGAAGACAAGAGATTAAGAGCGAAGGTAAAGCTGTAAAGCTTGTAAGGCGAGAGCTGGAGATGCTGGAGATGCCTTCTCCATGCAGCAGAACTGGCTGGTCTTTATGTATCTCTCCAAAACAAGAGCCGTCACCCTGGAGCATCTCCTGGACCAGCATCATTTAGATTTGTTCCTCAGCCACGAGCTCGATCGATGTTGACGAAGAATGCAAATTGCCGCATACTCCCTTGGTCTGGCCCTCCTCATCGCGAACGTACCCTGGATCTAGAACTTTGGTATCAAAAGCGTTGACGAAGAACGCCTGTTGTACGCCATCGGGAATGCGCGAGGCTGCCGGAGCTGGGTACCTGCGTTGCGGCAACTTTCATTGGCCCGGACCAGATCCGCTGCGCGCAATTCTGCTGAGTCGCGACGTCTAAGCAATTCCAAGGCACGGGTGCCGTTCCGTCATAGGCCTGAGTGGAGTAGCAAGATCTCGAGGCGGACCCTGCAGCTGGGAACTAGCGCATTGCGCAAAGGGCTGGCCCGTCGACCTGGTTGCTTCGTGAGGCGATAAGGCGCCAAGAAGGCGATTTGCAATCCATCGGACACGGTCATTTTGCTCGAATGCCATTCAAGGTTTGACACTAGGAGGGCTAGCACTAGTTCCCGCAACCATAAGTGCTCGCCAGGGATGGTGCCCAACGCGGGGTTGGTTTTCAGGGTGCAACACCATCTCCATTCCTGATGATATTGATGTGCAAACAGGGTAGAGTTTTCCTTCCCGCCATCCAGCCGTTGGATACGATAGAACGTCTTCGTAGAGGAAGTAGGTCTTTGATCGACAATCTTTCGGCACTCTTGTCTTGCCCGATGGTTGATTCACTTGACAACCACAGTCTCTCAAGGATTTGGTGACTGGCAAATACATATCGAAGTCATAGTTATCTGTTGACATGCAGCCTCTATCACAAAGCCTGCAAAGGTCTCACTGCAGGTCTAGAGCAGACAAGATACGTCGCCGATATCATGTCCTTGCTTTGCGCAACGATAGTGCCGAGAATTGGATGCACCTTTGGATCATATTGGGGGTTGGGCTTGTTTCGCGCTGACCATCGAAGTTGTAACTAGCTGTGCGACGATAGCGCAAATAGCGTGGAATTGAAGCCTCGTTCTCGCCGGCATGACGGTATCACAGATCGTCACCGCTAGCGTAGCGAACGGTTCGATCGACTTCCCACGTTTGGATCGCCGCAGGGGTGACATTTCGGTAGCGATCGTGGAATTAGTACGGTGAGGAGCGGGACGAATGCCGTGCGGACGATTGGGCTGGTGCGCGTGGGTGGCGCAATACCTGCACCTTGAATGCGTCTTCCGGGGGCCCTGCCTTCCATTGTACTGCGGAGAGGCAGATGTTGTGGACATCCAAAACAAAGCTAGGAAGAGCCTCTTCGATCTCTGCTATGGAGCATGAGAGATGATGAGGAATCTGCGCAGGGCGTTCATTCTGTTGCTTCGCTCAGATTGTCACGCGTTTTCCAGCGATCCAGATCCTGCTGTCGGCTCTGTGTCAGTGCTCACTGGCCAAAGCTCTACATCTGTACACACCCAGGTGTAAGCTACTGCGACTTGCAGACACAGTCGGAAACACCCGAGAGGCCTCGAATCGATGTTCCGTCAAAGCTCGACACAACGTTATTTGAAAAGACCAGGTACTTGGGTATGATATGAGCGCGTGGCGTATGCAGGTTGACTAGTAGTGTATGCACCAGGAGTGGGTGTGCCTGAACGCCTCAGCAACCATCCTATGGCCTGGCCCAACGTTATCCTCCGGAGTTCTTGCCGGCGATGCGCTGCCTCAAGTACGCCCCTAGTTGAACCCTAGGGAACAACATACATGCTGCCACATCTTTTGTAGTTAAGTAGAGAGAACCTGGGCCAACACACTCCAAGAAAGGCTGAAATAAGTCTGTAGTCGAGTGTGTGGGTGTGCGTGCACAACGTACAGTGATACTCAAAGGAATCTACTTCGATCGATCACTAGAGGATAGCGACCACGAATGCGGCTTGTTTATTAGCACTGTGTGAACGACGTAGCCGCATATACCCTCGACACTATGCCGGTTCGTTCGACTGCCGTGTGCAAGTTCCGAACTCCTGAAATCCATGATAGTGCTCCTTTGTAGCGACGATGGAGATACCTTATAGCGAAGCGGATGATGTTTTCGGTGAGGAGTTTTGTATCATCAGAATCATCGTACTTTGCTGTTACTCAAGTCTCTTGAAGTACAGCGCTGTATGGACGCTAGGTAGGGCTAGCAAGACGGTAGCGTACGTGATGCGCTCAATATAGTACGATTGAAAAAGGTGGTCTATGCAATCGTATGTGTGTGAAGTGATCGTAAACATGCAGGAGCGAAGTAGCAAAGACCATGCTAGACTTTGTGTCGATTGTCCCTCAGGCCCTATAAATCGCTTCCAGTACGACCTATCTTGCTACAGACGTTAGATCACAACTCTATAGCTGTCAACGATGTTATCGCTTAGCTATGCGCACGGGGAACGAGCGCAGCTGTACTTGATCTTTGGTGTGGGTTCGCATCATCTTGTCTTTCGACGCAGTATTGTAAACTCAAGGAAAGCGCATTACTATTAGGAGACGCAAATGACACCGTGATTCTTAACCAAGACGTTCTGTATCGTGAGATGGAGGTGTGGCGAATGCGCGCCGAATGGCATCACAGAGCGGGACATCTTGGACGCCTAAAATGTCTCTCCAGTATCTGGCCGCACGAGACCAAAAACAGACCATACCCATTGCGACTGCATCTATGTCTGTGTTCGAAGGCCATGTCAAAAGCGGCACTTGCGGCGCCGCGCTACTCGACTCCTCCAACACGTCTCTACACAACGCTGGTGCTGAAAATTTTACAAAGATTGTGACCGCTTGGGAGTACGAACGCTATCGTCAATGCTCTATGCGCTTTCCAAATCTGCCACGCCCCTATCAGACCAAGTTAGTTAGCATGTTCCGCCCACGCTGTCATGGTTTCTTGGTCTCCACTATAATTCAACGGTGAATACTTCTCGGGGGATTTCGCAACGAAGAAAACAAATCCGCTAGCCTGGCCTCATGACATCAGGCTCCATAAAAATGGGGCATCGCTGTACTTTCCATTTCGACAATGCAAGAGAACCTTTACGTCTTCGTCACTAGGTATTGTGGGAGTTGCAGTTGGCAAAAGCTGGTCTGCGTTATCGTAACAGAACAGGGGAAGACATCGCACACAGCCTATACAGTGCACACGATGCAAGTTCTAACAAAGGCCTTACGATTATAGAGTGTCGTCGCATCGAAGACGTTATCGCCCCCGTGAACTGGGGCTAATAAGTGGGTTGATACAGCATCGAAATTGGGCGCAGTACTGGGTACAGTCCGCAGTACAATCACGAATACGGCGTGAATTGAGGACGTTGCCAGATAAGAGCCCACGGGTATGTTTGTCGTGATGAAGAATTTTCTTTCAGAATCACCTGGGCAGTATTTGTAAGACCACGAAGTGGGGCTCTGCACCTATATTGATTATACATATATATACCGTTGCATTCAAGAACAACTCGATAGATACAGAACAACGTGAGACCGCGAATTTTCAGCGCCTTTGATTACAGACTGTTGTCTAAGTCTACTTGTTGCGCGTTCTTTCACGCGCTAAACAAACGAACCGTTCGCGATCTATGCAGTAAAGATGCTCTCCAGCATGTCGATTTCCGGACTATCACGAGTCGCATATGCTCCGTCGGACCTGTCCCCGCATGCACTCGCGCAGTCTTTCCCAACAATGATGGCTATCTTGCTGGGCGTTATGGTTGTGCTCTGGATCGCTATTGGTACCAGCAAAAAGCCGAAACCACCGCTAGCAAATCCTCCACGCTGGAACCAGACGACCCTCTCAAAACGGATTGAGTTCCTCAAGAACGGAAGGGCCATACTAAGCGACGCTAGGAAACGCTATGGCAAGCAGCCCTATAGGTTGATTGTCGATACGGGTGAATGTCTTATCCTTCCTCCTGAGTATGCGGTAACGATCCGTAACAATATGGATCTTAGCTTCGCAAAGGCAATAGAGAAGAACTTTTCGGGACATGTTTCCGGCTTCGAAATGTATGCCGTCTTGCTCCACGAGAAGAGACTTGTACAAACCGTTGTGCAGGACCAACTCACCAAATACTTAAGTAAGAAGCAAGCTACTACGTGTATAATACGGAACTAACAAGGTTCTCCAAGACGTTTTGACAAAGCCTCTCTCAGAAGAAGCCACTTATGCTATCGACATGATATTCGGCCATGATATGGGTGAAATGACTTTTCTATTCGCCTCAACCAGATAATACGAGCTAAACGTCTATCAGAGTGGAAAGAAACCGTTATAGCAAACAGCGTTCTCCAACTGATCGCTCGCCTTTCCACCAGGGTCTTTCTCGGCGACACCATGTGCCGGAACACGGCGTGGCTCGAGGCTTCCAAAGCCTACACGGTAGCAAGCTTTACCATGATTCTCAAGATGACTGCCCTCCCATCCTCGGTCAAGTTCCTCGTTCCCTGGTTCTCCTCCGAGGCGAAAAACGTCTTCAAACACGGAGCCACATGCCGCGCAATCCTCACCCCCCTTCTGGCCGAACGTCGAGCTCTAAAAGCCGAAGCTAGAAGAAACGGCAGACCGGAACCTTTCTTCAACGACATGATCGATTGGTTCGAGCAGAAGAGCGGAGGGAAAGGGTACGACCCGGCTCTTTTCCAGATTGCGCTATCTTTTGTGGCGATACATACAACCAGTGAGCTGCTAACGCATGCTTTAACTTTGTTGGCGAACGAACCAAACTACGTAGCGGCATTGAGGGAGGAAATTGTGAGGGTACTCACAGCTAACGGGCTGACCAAGGCGGCGCTTGCAAATCTAACGTTGATGGATAGCGCGTTGAAGGAGTCGCAGAGGTATAGGCCTGCTGCATTCCGTAAGTTGTTCGATTGGTGACGGGGAATCACTCCAAGCTGACCCTGCTCTAGTAACAATGCGTCGTCAAGCTCGGCGCACCGTCGTCCTCCCTGACGGCCTCGTTATCAACAAAGGCGAGCAGATCGCTGTCGATGGCTTCAACATGTCAGACCCCGATATCTACCCTGATCCACACAAATACGACATATACCGCTACCACCGCATGCGCGCCGGCGCCGACCGTGCCACAGTCAGTCAAGCGCATCTCGTTTCTACTGGTCCCAATAACCTGTCATTCGGGCATGGCGCACAAGGCTGCCCAGGGAGGTTCTTCGCCGCGAATGAGATGAAAATCGCCCTGTGTCATCTGCTGCTCAAGTTCGATTGGCAATTGGCTGAAGGGACGGACTTGGAATCGAAATTCTTGTTTGGCGAGACGGAGGCGCTGAGTAAAGTGAACAAGCTGAGATTCAGACGGAGGAAGGAGGAGCTTGATTTGGAGGGATTGGCTTACGTATGATTGTACTCGAGGCAGTGCATGTAGAGCAGCAATACACCTATCAACCATTTGACATCATGTCACCATCTTGCAGCGGATCTTGCCCTACATAGTATATACCGTTGATGCAACAACAACTTGATGAGTTCGGAACAGCGTGGCGGACCCTGCGGCTAGGTGTTTACCACAGAGCCCAAAGGGCTGGCCTGGAGACCCGGCTTGCCTCAGGCTGCGACAAGCCGCGAAGCGGCCAATTTGCATTGAGTCAGGAGATGGTGGTGTTGCTCGGATGTTACCTAGTTATCTAAGGTTTTGCACTAAAGTGGCCGGCGAGGCTTTCCGGAACCTTAAATGCTGGACTACAGGGTAGTTGCCCAACGCGTGGTTGGTTCTTAGGGTGCAATACTTACTCCATTTACATCAATAGTCCGCAAATACGAAGCGGGATCTTCTTCTCCAGGATTCAGACGTTGGTTGCGCCATAACGTCTTCGCAGATTTGCGTAGATGTTTGATTGGTACTCTCACGATGCTTCCGTTCTGCTTCACGTCCAGCCTTGTCTTGCCTGGCGCTCAGTCACCCTGAGAAGAACACCCTCAGAGATTTGGCGCCTGCCAAATATCTTCTGTATTTGTGGCTGTCTCTCAACATCTCTAATTCGAAGTCTGCAGAAATTCGGATACGGTCTAAAGTGAATAGGGTACGCCGCCAATGTTATGTCACCGCTTTGCGCGAAGATAGCGTAGAAGCACAAAGCTCCGTTTTCTCCTGCCGGACGTTATTATACCCAGGTAGATTGTCACCGCTAGTGTACCGAACCGTTCAATCGACTTTTCACGCCTGGATCGCCACAGGGGTCACTTTCCGGTAGTCGATAGCGATCGTAATCTCACTAGGGTAATGGTCGGGAGGACCGCCGTGCGGACGACTATGTTGGTGTGCCTGGACCATGGATAGCGCACCACCATTTATTAAGCGTAACTCCTTGGGTGCCTCCGCTTTGTATCATATCACGGAGGAGCTGGTATAAAGCACATCTAACGAAAGGTTCGAAATGAGAGTTGTTGCAGCCAACGGATGCGCCGCTAAGAGCAAATACGATATCACGCGGCTCAGAATTTACACACCATGTCTACCGGCTTAGCCCTCGACAGTAGCTTCGTGCCGGCGCTTATTGCTAGAAGTTGACAAATACACATGCCCAATACTAAGTTACTTATCGCACGGACCCGTTCGGCAACAACCAAAATGCCCCGGATTGATCCACGCATCCAAGTTCAGGAGAGCTTCGTCTGGACCAATTGCCAGGTACCAGGATATGGTCTGAGCGTGTGGCATATGCGGGTGGCCATTAGTCTGTACGCACCAAGTACGGGTGCGCCCAAACGGATGCGCTTCACTCCCGCTTCATACGATAGCTCACGATACGGTCTGACATCATTCTCTGGAGTTCTGGCCTCGGATGCGATGTTTCATCCTGAATAGCTTCTATCTAGGCATGCACCAAGGCACCTAAAGTCTTATAGTACTCGGTGATCGACTAGAAGAGGGCCGCGGCAGATGTGTCTCTAAGGGGATTAGGGGGAGACGCGGAGATAGAGACGTGTGTACGAGACATGGTAACACTCTGAGTGACGTATGACTTCGTTTGTCGAGAGAATGACGGAAGGTCTAAGGCTTTGCCCAGCCATGCGGTGTTCACGGTGCAGCTTTATCTGCTCTCCACTCGATTTCCGTTTGGATGATCGTCTTCAACTACTCTATGCAAGTTCCGAGCTCTTTAAAACAGCGACACTGGTAGCTTACGATGACGACACAGGTGTTTACCACCGAAGCGGATGGCGATGCCCAGTAACAGGGCTTGCATGACTGGAATGATTGTGTCCTCCCGCTACATAAGTTGCATGAAGCTAGGCGCTGCGTGAATGCGAAGTCGAACTTGCGCAGGTCTGTAGCGCGCGATGCGCCCGTTATGTTGCGACTCAATACAATAATCTAGGCGGTCCTAGCACACCTGCAGCACACCAAGGATGTAAAAGTGCGGACAGAATAGACATAGTGACCGACGGAATAGTCGAAGATGTAGTAAGCCTCGTCGTTAGCGAACCCCAGGTCAGATCTGAGGTGGCAGGACAATGCCGTTCTCGAGAACATTAGCTGTAGCGACGGCCCAAGGAGGCTCCATTAAACGTTAGCAAGAAATCCTTGATGTGGCTCTCACACCTGTCATTCGTCACGTATGGTCGCCTGGATACGTATCACAGCTTCCTGTCTTGGACCGAAAGCCCGCGTCAAGCAGAAGGGCCTCCCGCCAAGATCCCGTTCCTAAGACCATCAGTTCATCCAGGACCTAACAACCTGCCAAGAGTTCTTGATCAGGACTACGCCCCCCTCGGGTAAATCCCTATTATAGGAGAAGTGGGGATCGCGCCAGGTGCCGAGGTACTCGTGGTGCGCTGACTTACTGCGATCCTTTAGGGTGGAGATGCCAAGACTGATCAATGTAAGACGAAGGCTCACCGGTCGAGCACCCACTGTGACTATGCTACCGCATCTTGTCATCATAGACGGCGACTATGTACTCTGTCTTTGCAAGAATAGTTCTAGGTCAAGAGTAGATAATTAGAACAACATCTCTCTGCTACCATAGTCTTTTCTCTGCCATAATCTTTTGCGAACTATTATATAGTACGCCAAATACTTCATCCTCATGCTAGGTCCTGCACTCATGCAAGCTTCCTACTTCGTGCGAATTGCTGACACCCTGATGGTTTGCCAACGCTGGTGTTCAGCTTCATACTCTAGGCGTTTATGAGATCGGTATGCGGTAGTCCAGCGCTATGTGTGCTGTGATCAGTATAAGTACCACACCGTCTATTCAACTTCCTGCCATCATCAGAACATCAGCGCTCACATCATACGCCTACCTGAAAATCCTATCAAAACACCCCATATCTTCTCCAAGTCACGCATTATGGTCGGCATGCTCTACAAGCTCGCTGCTGTAGCTCTATGGCTAGGCTCGACAACCACCGCTGTGACTATCACAGCCCACCGTGCGCGGGTCCTTGGAAGTTCTCCTTGCTTCGCGCCTGTCGTGCTCCAATGCGACAACGTCCCACCCCGCAACTGCTGCGGCGTCGTTCGTCCTGGCTCACCCTTCCGTGCCATGCTATTTTCTGGTCTCGACAGTTCAGGCGTCCCTGAACAGGCCACCGTCTTCGCAACCGGACAAAACACGCCCTGCGGCCGATCTTGCAACTCTGACGGCGGCGCATCACGCCTATGCGTCAGCTGCAGCCAGACCAACCCGGAGATTGCAGGTGGTTTCTATTTCAGCCCTGCGTTGAAGAGAGAGGAGCAGAACTGCACGAATGTGCTGCCGAACTGGGCTTTTATTGATGGTCATAAGTTCGCGGTCTATCACAATGTGCCGCTAGATATCTCGGAGCGTATTATCGACTTTGCGCTTGGAGAGGGTAGCATTGAGCAGGTTGATGCTGATCTTTTGGCATGGGAGGTGCCGAATGAGGCCGAGATTGATGCAACTGCTGAATGAACGAAAGAAGGATGCTGTCAAATACGGTGCTCATTTTCTGGGTAAATTGTGGTTCAATCATCAGGTCTTCCGATAGCAGTCATAACGACTCTCCATATCTTTACTTGCCTTTAGTCAGCAGTATATTGGCGAGAATTAGTAGAGACTCTCGGTGGTATCGAATCAAACAGTCGCTAGCGATAATTCATACTCCAAACAGGCATGTTGAGAGGATCTTCGAAGCCTCGGATTGTGAATGAGATCGAGCTGGCACGGTAACAAACCCTCGGGAAGATGCCGCAGCAACGATGCCGCGACTGCTGAAATGAAGCCAACGCATCGCGCGCCATCGTGTAGCACTAGATGAGCAAGAGGAGGGCGGAGCGAACAGACTATCAGTCTCACCACAATGGTGTGTTGTGATGCGTGGTGTTGCTGCGAGCGGGCGTGATGAGGGCCGCCAAGACTTGGCGCGTGTGGGGTTCGACCGCCTTTGCCCGAGTTTCCGCGCACCGTCTCACTACCTCATGCACCCCATTCACCACCAGTGAGCGTTCCGATGCTGGTCGTGAGACTTTCGCATCTGACTGTCCTGTTGGGATGCGAGTACTGACGAGACTTCGGACACTATGATGGCCTTGCTCGGAAGGAATCGTTCCACACCAGTACCCGGCGAGTTGATCAAGTCTCCGGGATGATGCGTCGCGGTGGTCGACCTTCGGAAACATTACAGTAATCAGCACTCGAGATATCTCAACGTCAGTCTCATAATTGAAATATACGAAAAGGTTCCGTTCTTTCAAACGATGCTGAACATGTAGGGATGTATAAATACGTATCACGAAACCGGACCAAAGATGCGACACACGCATCGATCTAGTCACTCTTCAAGCTCACCCTCTCCAGCTTACCATGTTGTCGCAGGACCAGCAGGATGCAACAACCGTGTGGCTCTGGCCGACGGGCCTGTTCCCTCGCCGGGTCGTCTACTACCTCCGCGCAAAGAACATCACCACCTCGATGCTTCACAAGAAGAACATACGTCTTATCCCCATCTTTCTTGACAAAGACGCGCCGATGCCAGACCTCGTCCCCTACCCCGGCCTCGAAGCCCGTCCTCCCAGAACCTCAGTGCCGGCACTGCGCATCACGTACGCCGATGGCACGACGTTTTGGATAAACGAAACGAACGCGATCATGGAGTACTTCGAGGAAGTATTCAGCGTGGCTAATGGTTACCCGGACTTGAGGGGCACAACGATGCAACAACGGGCTAGGACGAGAGACATCTTGAGCTTGCTCTCCGATGCCATCACCTGGAGCAGCGTCGCGCTTGTACATTCGGATCCCGACACGATGTGCTGGTCGGGCTTAGCAAAGGATGAGATGAGTGAGAGTGCGGCAACGCATGCGCGTGGCAAGTTCCACATGCTTCTGTCGCGGCTGGAGGCTCGGATACAAGGAGACATCATTGGTAACAAGAGCCAGTGTTTGAGCGGTGACGGCACGGACGTCACATTAGCGGACATTTGTCTCATGGCTCAGGTGGAGTATATGCAGGAGATGTATGGTCTCGATTGGGTGGCCGAACATGGGTTATTGAGGGTTTGGTGTGACAGGAGTAAGGGTCAGAGTTGGGTTGTCAGTAGGAGTGCCTTGGAGGAAGTTGAGAGAACGGGTGACTGGACTGGAATGCTTGGAATGTAAGAGCCGCGGTATGTAGTTGCAAGATGTCCAGTCATTGCCGTACTGCTCTTAGTCGAAATTGTGTTCTGTGTCGCCGTTGCGCTGTTGTTGCATCGCTCTCCGAGTGCAAGGCCTTGGGGCAGCCGCTAAAAGCGAGCTCAAGTGGGGCGTCCATCCCACGCATCGAACCAGCCACTCCCGCGGTCATGCACACCATCCCACCTGCCACCTCGCAGCATGAACACCTATGGAACGTGACGCCCGACCGCCAGCCAGAACCTCGGTCTTCTCGGAACCCGTCGATGAGAGCTCTATTCGTCTTTTCCGCTTCTCGCAGCCAGAAGATGGCGTCTTCGTTGGCAAGCTGCAAAAGTTCCCCATCGCCAGCGCTCCTCATTATTACACGGCCAGCTATGTGTGGGGCGAGCGCAAGTACAAAGGCGCAAAGATCAATTTGAGGAATGGAGGACTACCCATACTAGATAGGCTGGTACCATTCATCCACATGGTCACCCGCCATGGCGACTTCAAGAGCACAGACTGGTGGTGGATTGACTCGCTGTGCATCAACTTGGATGATCCCAGCGAACGCGAAAAACAAGTGCGCATCATGGCAGATATCTACAAAAGAGCCAGGCGAGCAATAATTTGGCTGGGCGAGGAGAAAGACGATGGCAGCGACTGCACCGATGCCATCGACTTCATGCACTACCTGTCCACTTTGCAGATCGCGTTCAATGGAGACGACCAGGCCATGCGTAGAAAGCTCGAGAATCCCGAGTTCGCCGAGAAGTGTGTCGCTGTCAGCAACCTGCTCGCCAGGCCATGGTGGACAAGGGTCTGGACGTTACAAGAGTTTGTCCTGCCAAAAGAGGCGAAATTCTACTGTGGCGTAGACAGTATCAGCCGCGGCAGGTTCAAAAGTGCGATCTATAGCATCTTCCTGTGCAGCACCATCAGCAAAGATTTCGAACACGAGCTTGTTCCGCGGAAGCTCTTTGACGGTGCCTTCAACCGCCGCCGCATTCATCAATGGCACACCAAGCCAGCCTCAATCGGCATCAATCTGATCGCCATCATGGCGTACCTAGGTAATCACTCCGCCACTGACAGTAGAGATCGCATTTACTCCGTGCTAGGTCTGATCACTGAGCAAGACCGGGACCTTATCGGGCCTGCCGAATATACCACCGGCGTTGCGCATCAGTTCGCACGACTTGTTCGCTCTTTCTGGAAAGTTCATCGGTCCCTGGATATTGTCTGCTTTGCGCATCTATTCTGTCCCAACGCTGCAGTCAGCGACCCGGGTCTCGAAGATCCTGTGCCTACCTGGGCTCCAGACTGGAGAACAACAATCGATTTCGCTTCACCTGTACCGCTAATGGCAAGCCAAAGTGCGTGTGAGCACATTGGGAACTTCAGGCCGCTGCGATCGACACGCTGGAAAGCAATTTACGATGCTCCTGGAGGAACACTGAGGAAAGAGGCAGACGTTTCCTTCGCCGAAAACTTGAAAGAACTCCACTGCAACGGTGTCATATTGGACACTATTCACGGGCTCGGGGGACTTGACGAGCAGGAACTGCGATGCCAGAGCTTTGTCTGCCGCGAAGCCGGTCATGACTTGATGCAGTCGCAAAAAGACCAGCATAGCGCTTCGCAAGTCGCAAAGCCGCCTTCCGAGTGGCTTGAAGCCATAGCACGGTCCTTGGTCATCGACCGCCGCGACAAATACCTTTGCTTCCAGGCGCCATCACACTACATCAGCGACTTCCTTTTCCTCTGTCATGCCTGTGTCGACGGTGATCCAGTCGACTGGAGCTTTTCCACATGGTTTGGGCGCAACAGGCAGTTGATGCTCGGCAACACATCGCTGGAGGACATCGTCCAACAGATACCGACCGAGTTCACTTCACCTCCCCCGACACTGCATCGGCCACCGTCGCATCCCGTACACCAAATGAACGACAAGCTAGACACCTTTCTCTCACGCTTCCACGATACTGTGCGAAAGAAAGCGCGCCGGTTGATGGTAACCGAACAAGGCTACGTTGGCATGGCACCGTGTCGCGCGAGACCCGGCGACATCGTGGCTATCTTGTTCGGATGCAGCATTCCACTTGTTTTGCGAAAAGTGGCGCCGCAAGCTGCATGGCAGGTTGTCGGTGAAGGCTTTACATATGGTCACATGAATGGCGAGACTGCAGACGAGCTGAAGAGCGGAAGGCTCAACGTACGCCGGTTGAGGCTGGTTTGAGCTTCAGCAGCTACTTCTCACGCGCGTGATACGCCGATAGAAGGAAGGAACCAGCGAGCGGTGCGACGCATGCAAGGTAATCGGTTCCTCTGCTGTAGCTCAGCCTTCTGGTCGGACATCAGCCTCGCCAGTCTTGGTGCACCTCTTGCTAACCAGACAACTCGAAACATCTCACCATCAAGATATCTCGAGCGCGGCCCACCAAGCCGCTACACCCCATCTGCAACGATCCTCGCTTGCTTCCAAGACGCACGACGCTGCCGCAATTCTCCTGGACTTTATCTAAGGCTCGCGACTTTCTGTTCCGCACCAGGCTGTGCGCAAATCTATAGCAGTGCAGATGAAGAGCCCACATCCCGTCGCTGCTCGACGATGTATGGTATCACAGGTCGGATGGCCACCTCATTGCGCCTGGCAATGATTCTATTCGTTTCGCGAAGGGTAAGAGTTATCCTTGGGCATCAAGCTTGTGCCGATTGGGGGCCGTTTCGCTGTGTGATACTACAGCCTTTGCGCCACCTCGTATCGTCATCCGCAACAGTCGGCCTAGGCTGCAGTTGACGTACTAGACATTGACGACTGGCTTATGGAGCGCCTGTACAAAGGCATGCCTCCTGCGCTTGCTTACGGCGGCCCACTTGCCGTGCCTGCTTCAGCTTCAGACCCCCATACCTTGCCTTGTACCGAACGAGCCGCGCAAAGACCTTTTCAACATGTCCGGTGACTTCTACTATGCGCTCATCCCACTCTATGCTAACGTCAATGACAAGGTGGATGTGTCGTGGTAGTCAACGTTTGCCGAACGACTCCAGTTCTGGTGCCATGAGGGCAACATCAATTCACCTCCAGGTTATAGTGCGGCCCTCATAACACATCTCTCAAGATCATCTTTGGCCTGAAAAGATGATAGTATACCTGTACGACATCCCGCAGAATGGTACTCAAGACCTGTCGCAACCAATGCTGGAGCAGGACGTGAAGGATTAGAGAAAGTCTATCGTTTGCGGAATTAAGTTCTATGAGAAGGGTGGAACTACAGAAATCTTCGCCTCTTCAGTCACCATAAGCTCCATTGCGACTCAGGCCGCATCAATCTTTGCTTTGGCGTCGACCATCACGTACAAGCGGACCACGACGAGCGCGTCTGCTTCAGGCACGGCATCAAACCCCGTCAACACAGGCACTACAGCATCGCCAACGGTGACGCCCACCAACCCGGTCGTCACCACAAGCCTGAGCGACAGTGCTGGTCTGTCCACAGGAGCAAAGGCCGGTGTCGGCGCCGGCATTGGTGTTTCCGCGTTGCTTACCGCGACAGCTGCATACCTGCTCTATCGCAACCATCACAAGTTGAAAGACCTCAACGCACGACTTAGCTACCAATCTCAAGCCGAGCACTTCAACAAGCCCCCAGGCGTCGCGGTCGCGCCTCACGGAAGCAATGGATACGAGAGGCCGTACAGCGAGGCTACGACGTCGCAGGTTCACTCTTCGCCGCAGGTACCGGCGCAGTTCTCGTAGGCGTGCGCTCTGGGCGCTCCGGGCGCTAGTATTGCGTGCTGCGTTCGCAGGGTCTCTTGACCATTTTTGTGGTTATAGTATTACCGTATACTCTTCCGTTCGATTGCCCCGCTTGCACAGCTCTGAAGGTTGCGACTAGAAAATGAAGGCGGAAAGTGTATTCAGCCGGACTGGGATCGTCTCTGACTCGTCTCCAAAGGCTTGTCTGAACCCCAGACGAAGCCACAGCAGCTCTGGCCAACCACTGTTTCCGACTCCCCAATTCCCCCAATGCGCATACCCAAGGTATCTCTCAAGAAGATTGTAGCTCGAGCGCGAAGCCCAAAAGCCTTGTCTGGGTCGCTGTGCTTCCCGACACTGCCAATCAGCGACGATGCCAAATATATGGCGCAGCCCATGTGAGGTGGCTACCACCCGCGTTTTCGGCTGCCGCTCAGCCTCGCAGAAGCAATTTCAGGCTTCCCTCAACAACAGACGTCCCAAAACCGCAATTGCGCCGACGTATCTGAACCTACAATCTGACAGATCTCAGATTCCTAGATCAATGGCGTCTGCCACCGTGCAGATGCACGACATCGCCCCGACTTCTATCAGCGTGCCCAGGCCCGCGGCATGATGTTCCGCATCGTGCTGCATCGTGGATCCACTCCGCATTATGGCAGCGATAGAACATCGCATGCCGAATCCCTGTGATTCCAACATGGCGTTCATCTCCATTCGTCGTCCTGAAAAAAGAATTCGCTTCCAAATCAGTTAGTGTACTGATTGGGGGCCATTTCGCTGCACGGCGTTCTCAGCCTTACGCCACTTCGCCTTGGGATTCGCGCGCTATTGATCGAGGCTGCAAAAGACTTGCTGGCAATACAGCTAGGAACATGCGAGATAGAGATAGGCGAATTGCTGGCTTCTTCAAAGTTGCTGCTGCAGCCGCACTTGTGAACAACCACCTTTCCGTTGCTCCGTGTAACTTCTCACTTTCTCTATCTCCTCTCTTCGTTTACCTTCCGCCGCCGAAAGCGTTCGAATATGTCAGGCGCTTTCAACTATCCGCGCGAGGAGCACCACGTTGTATTGAACGTCGATGATGTGGTGGACGTATCCTGGTGGTCGACCTTTGCTAATACACTCGTGATCCAATGCTATGAACGAGGCGACATCGAAGCAGGGCAGGAAGAGAGTAAGATGCACCACAGCCTCTCTCATCATCGTAGCTCCGCTAATTTGCAATGAAGCCTTCAACATAGTGATTGACCAGAACGGAACGGAACCATGGTCGCCAATCTACCTATCCCGACGATTCGATGACTGGTCTATCCCCGCAGGGTGCATACTTTCGATGGAGGAAGCGGGCGCCGGGAACATTGGAGGTGCCACGATAGGCGTTACCTCCGCCACCTCTTCCCAAGCTGCATCGATATTCGCATTGTCTTCGACGGTAGCGTTGAACACCGAGACTTCGTCTTCATCAACGCCAACACCGACACCATCCACGACCCCGATCTCAAGCCCCGCTAGTACAGTACCTTCGGCACCATCGACACCGACACCCACAGGGCCGATCGATACCACCGCGACAGGTGCAGATAACAGCGGCGGCTTATCGGCTGGCGCAAAGGCTGGTATTGGTGCTGGTGTCGCGGTGGGCGCACTGCTTGTTGCAGTAGCGGCATACGTATTCTACCGTAATCATCGCAAGATGAAAGACATGAATACCAGAATGAGTTATCAGCCCGAAGCTGAAGCCCAGCAGTACGAGAAGCCACCTGGTGTTACGGTCGCGCATCACGCTGTTGACGGCGATACAAAGCCATACAACAATGCCCCGACTTGGTCACAGGAACTCCCATCGCCGCACGTGCCGCCGTCGGAGCTAGCCGCTACGCGGTAGGAATGCAAATGCTCGGTGTAGAACAAGGATGGATGTCATTGATCTGCTATGCGTCTGCATCGCGGAGGTACTGAGGTACAAGATGAAGGAGCTGAAAGGGCAAAGGGAAGAAACATACCACGCATGTTGGCGTTACAATCTCAATAGTACCGATAGACTCGATAAAAATCGCTGGTCAGATCGACAGCATGCTGCTGGCCCTCCCATTTGAGCTCAAGCCCTGCCCGGTTCGCCCGAAGCTTTTCCTGCGCGTTCGCATTACAACGCTGTGTCGCTTGATCCATGCGTTGTTGTACCTCAATTGGCCGACTCGGAGGAAAGACGTATCGCGGCAAGGGCCCACGCTCCGGCCAGATGTTGTACACCCGCAGCGCATTGTTCAATCCAGGAACCACAAATACGCCGTCTGGATGCGCCGCACAGCTGAAACCAATCCAGTCTGTAAATCCGGCTAAGCTGAGGAGAGGCATCCCGCCGTACGGTAGCTGCGGCGCGCCCGGGTTGCGCGTCACGACCTTGTGATCGAAGAAGAAGCCTTCCATCACGTTCTTGAACTCAAAGTCGGCCATATCCTCCTTTGCAAACATGCCACCATAGGTGAGACTTCTCTTCCCTGTTTGTCAAAACGCAGTACGATCAGTAGTCGTTCTTGCGCAACCGACCCTTCAGTGAGCGCCACCCCAGAGGGCAGCCGAGGACTTACAGATGTTGTCTGAGTCCGGGCAGCGCGATACCTCCGCGAAGCTCGAAAAGGCTTCCGGAGTTATGTACCCGGTGCCTCTGGGATCGAGCTTCGCAAAAAACTGCTTCATCAACGCTTCGAACGCGGGCGTCGGCGCCCCGTTCGTGTAGAACATGTGTTCGGTCCAACCTGATGGCGGAGGCGCCCGCTGCTGAGGCCGGGGAGGGAGCGGAGGTGGAGTATCGTACATCGCTAAAGTGTGATGATAGCACGCGAAGCAGGAGTCGTCGTACGTATGTCGCGCGATCGCGATGCGGTTTGAGTGCGATACAAGATGCCGTTACTGTGAGCCCCGAAGTCGACGTTGATCTCGCCGTCCGCTGAGGAAGAGGGCAAACGCGGGGCAGAATGGCTGCCAGCATGGCCCAGATACGATGTTCAGCTGAAGAACCCTTGCTGATTGCGCGCCTATGATGCGCTAACACCAGATCATGTTAGGACGACCTTCGCAGCAGGCCAAAGAACCAACACCAAGGTAGCAAAAGCACATGGAGTCTCAGCACCGAAGATTGTATTGAAGTTGTTACAAAGTAGCCTCGTCTGTATTCTATTCCTTTGCGAACTGGAATTAAACTATTCTCATGTATGCACTACATCGTTCCCTCTCGCCCTCGCCCTCGCCCTCGCCATCGCACCACTCAACCTCTACCTATCAAGCTTAGTCTCATGCCAGATCATCTCAGGCGAATAGAGAAGCGTCCCATTCACATGCACCGTAACCGTCTCATCTCGCTTGTACAGATTGCCATCTTGCACACAACCTATTATGCGCTGTTTATACCAGCGCGTGGCCTTAGTCTTGTACTCCTCGTAGACTAGCTTTCAGTCCAGTACGTAGAGCTTAGCGATGTACCTAGAACGTAGAGAGATGTGGAGTAGCTCTTCAAAGGTCAGGGCTTCAGCGTGCGTGTATGTTTTGCTTTTGGCGGAAGCGTCATCCCAGGAGTGTGAGACAGAAAGTGTCCATTAGACATCGTAGAATTCTTTCTTCTCGCAGCCAGATCCAACAGTGCTTTGCAGACAGGCTTTAACTAAGGTAGCTATTACATTAGTGCTTTCAATCGTAAGTTCTTAAGTTGCAGGTTCCATAAGCGCGATCTTGCTTAGCTGCGCCTAAGTGCTATAGTTCACGCCTTTCTTTTTATTATAGAGCATTAAGCAGGTTAAATAATTGTGGCGGATAGTAATAGGTTCGATCTTTTCCTTAACAGGGCTAACCGAGGTCCACAAAAATGCACTAAGATTGTTGCCGTAGTTAACAACATAGAGGTTATAGGCCTCCTTAGTTTTTCTCTATGCCCAGATGTTGTTAAACTCGTACCCAGTGCCATTAGCATGCTCGAAAAAAGTAATCGTTTGTTAGTTAAGAAGTGTGTGCCAACGCGCAGAAATAATTCGGTTGTTCATCCACTAGAAATTAAATGAATAGAGAACCTCTAGCGCCTACTCGCTTAAGAATATAGTTTGACAGTTGTATGTTTAGATTCCAATTAATTTACTAATAGAAACGTCAAAAAGCTCGACAGCCCCTATCAATAGATCCACTTCTCGCCACCAGAATCCTTTCACGCAAGTAGTCATCCATACTCAGGTTAGGTCAACTACTTCCGTCTTGCCAGTACCTACCAACCCAACGGTACAACCACAACCACAAGGATCGGCGACGGGCTGGTTCTTCTTAGGGGTTTTGTCGAGTTCGATCATTGTCATTACTGTACCCAATAGTAGGTTCCACGTAACCTAACAGGCCTTGTTGTAATTCTCCGCCAAGAGTCTGTAACGCTAGCCGCTCGCATAGTCTTTAGTATTAATCGTGAAACTAGCGCTACCAAAATTTACACTAGTAAAGACCTTAACAATGCCGCTGTTAAGATTATTATAGGTCTGCTGTAGTGCAGGTAGCTTTGTAAGGCGGGCTACCTGCTCTTCTGCAAGAATCTCGCCTCCGGTCTGCTCGATCATAATGTTTTGTGTAGACATTTTGACGAAGTGATCTTGTTCTCAAAAGACTTAATAGAAGTTTTGTGTTAAAGAAGAAGCTTAAGGTGTGCAAAATATAAAGAATATAATCTAGATAGCAATTATAGTCTGTAAGTATGTATGGAGAAATAAAACTAGTGAGTAGTAAGTTCTGCGAGCCTTTACATGCAGATCTAGTAGATCTAGAAGTTAAGGTAGTAGCTAATAAGAATGTTAGACTATACGTTACCTTGTAATAGGTAAAAGATGCGTCTTCTTCTATAGCCTTCTAAGTTAGAGTAGTATTTCAGACGGCAAGCCTGCATCAGGAAATGGTGACACCTCGTTCGAGTAATCCGAAGCTTGGCTTGTGGAGCTTCGTGATACCGCCCAAAAAGGCAACCAACCTCGACTTCTACTATAAGAGGCTACTGCTCTTCCGTTATCTTTCCTAATCCCCCAGCTATCCCTCTCTATTCCCGCCCTTTCACGCCGCATGTCAGCGCCTGATTCTGCTCTCCCTGTCTCCTAACAAATTTCAATGATGCATTAGCGTCGCACATCAGTATCCACATTCATACGCAGACGCAACGCTACGCCCAACCGGCCCCCTGATGCATCTACCCTTATCTAGGTCTGAAGTTAAGGCTTTGCTCTCGATATCGACCATCACACTCAGAAACAGAGAATCTGCCCTTGCCCTTTTATGAGCGATCTAATCTTCCAATTCATCGCAATTTTGTTACGACATGCTCCTTCGCATTCGTCGAGATTCCAATTTGGGCGCCACTGAACACTGCTCACACTGTCAAAGCCAACGAGTACGGTCAAGTGCCTGACGGTCGCCTATCCCCGAACAGGCTACCGGTCCAGCGCCATATGTCCCATATCCCCAGCATGCCCCTGCTGTCGGATCGACTAGACTGATAAGACCTGACCTTCATGTGGCACTCTAAATGTGGATAGATGGTCTAAAATCGGCTTCTGCAGAGACTAGACTAGAAGTCGAGATCTAACACTGCTTTCGACTGGCTCCGCGTGAGGGAGTAAATAGACCAAAGCACAACGATGACATTGACCGAGCTGTGAGCCGCCGATGATTTGGAACAAGGCAGCCTGACTTCGAGAGATTGATGGCCAGCCTCACTTCATGCACCGAACCCTGTTCCGTGAGCTAATAGGCTGGTTATCAAAAGACGCTTTCTCAACCACCGGCACCTTCATGGTTCCTCATCCTAACGAAACCAAAGTACGCGTACCCCCTACTCTATGGTGGCTGTTGGAAAGCTTAATGATTGGCTTACTCGGCTGCATGGAGGCATTAGTATTGTCGTAAATTGATTTTATGTTCCTTTTAAGTTAATGCATTTGCAGCACATATTATGCTGCGCTCTAGGCCATGATATTAGGCTCTACCCTGCTCTATTGACCTAAGGCTAGCGTTTATGCAGACTATGTGCATCTATCCACTAGCCGCCTTGGCGATGGTATATAAACGAAAGAGATGTTCTTTAGGGGGATATTAGAGTCCTTCGTCCAGCATGAGAGAACATCGTCAACGCTTCTTCAAAATGTCTTCTTCTGTTGCCAAAATTTATGCCGATCCTTTCCGCCCATGGTGCCCACCATCAGGTACGCCAAATCGAACCACTAAAAAGCCGAATCCGAAGAGTAAAGCATCGAAGTACAAGTCCAGCGACATGAGGAAGATCGAAGATTGTGCAAGGATCAAGGATATTGCTATGCTCCCAGGGCCAGCTCCTGAATTACCTCACTTCCCGGACGTAAACCCATCCACTCTGCTTGAAACAGCAGAGTCCGGCTTTACTCCCAGCAATCAAGGTACTTAGACTGATGGGTGTTCTAGTATGTCGAATCTCAACTAACTCGATCTTGCAGATGCAGTCTTTCATGCCGGCCCCATTGCCTTCGATCTTAATCAAGACTAATGCGAAGTCCAAGATGAAGCCTCTCTCGCGGAAGGGGAGAAAGATACCGCAAACACTGCGAGAACAACTGCAGCAGCAGAGTTTGGCGTAGTTGACGATACTTCCGGTGGGTCAGCTAGAGCAAGGCTATTCTCATACTAATTTTGGCAGCAGAGTGCACGTTTCTTGTGAGAGATGTTGTTACCACTGAGCATTGCCGTTTGACATCCAACGATCACGATATGGGAGGGTCACAGTCTCACCAAGACTTTGCTTCCCGATTGCCTGGCGACGGAGATTATCTGCGA